TTCTTATTATTATTTTTTAACTTCTTCTCCGTTTCATTCACGTGTGTGCTTTTCCAACCTCAAACGGGCCCTTTCAAAAACGACAACACTCAGTCGGACGTCAGGTCGATGAGTGGTAGTAAATAATTTTATTGCCGGTCCTTCAGCGAACGCGTTTGCGGGATTTGATTCAGATTGAGAAGAAATTACCCGGTTGTGCCTACCTGTTGTTAAATCTCATCCTGACATTCCTCGACAGGTTGTAATCTCCCCTCCACGCTCAGCGGCCGCCGCCGCCGCTCTTTTGCTCCATGAAAAAAAAACCATGAGAGGCTCTGTGTGTTGGCACTGCTATTTTGTATAACCAGTCTCGAGCCAAACTCGCACCTCCGTAACTTATTTACAGGCATGAATAAATTAATAATACGGCGCAGAAGATTAAATAAAATTTCAATTTTCCGAGGTCACTTTTTTAAATCTATTTTGTTTTTATTAAAGCATTTTTAATAATTAGTTAAATTTTTTCATTTCTTTTCATAAGCTGAGCTCACTTTTATTTTTAAGCGAGTCCATTTCCGCTTTTGCACGACATTTTTATTTACTACCAGTGTAATCTCGTTGCTCGTAAAAAAGTTAACCTTCATGGGCTTCATATGTCGGCTCTGTTAATCAAGTCCCTCTTCTATAGTGTGAGAATTGCAACTTTTTATGTAATATCATGTTTTTTTGCTATTATTTTAATCATTTTAATTTTTGTGAGATAAGTTATTATTGATAGCGAGTGTTCTATTTCCCAGAGATTTTTCTGTATATTTTTATTTACAAACTATTGAGCGAATTAAAATAATACAAGAGTAGTTTAAAAAATAATGTTTTAATATTGATGGATTGTGGGCAATTTTTCCGTGCCCCACGCTTGATTTCGTCGCTATTTTTCCAGGCTTTCGCTTTTGTTTATTAATCGCGATATTTTTGCAGTTAGCACCTTTTGATGGCGGGTACGTTGACCGGCACGAACAATGACGTGCGCGAGGAGAGCGTATGCGAGTGTGTGCGCTTCTTTCTTTCTTTCGTCGTCACTCGCTCGTTTTCTCACACTCAAAAAAAGAGTTGCGAGGGGTCCTTGCGCCATGAGAACATATTCTCCCGACAATTGATTTCCTGTGGAAAAATTGCCACCACTCGTGAATCACTGCTTCATCTCCAAACTTTTGGACGCTCTCATTATGCGTTTCACGCGCCGTTAATTATAATAATCATACGAAAATTTGCAATCCGTAACGTTCTGGAGCTGTCAGGTGATACTAACAAATTGAAGCCCACAAAAAAAATGTGTGAAGTTAGTAGAGCTGATAGGCAAATTTCTCCCGCGACTGTAAAATTTTAGTCTCAAATTCTGTATTCAAATCAAAATTAAAAATAATTAAATGGAAAAATTGGAAAATTATCGAAAACTATATTCTGTGCACATTTAATGTCATTAATGTCGTTGAAGTTTTATGAAATTTTTAGGATTTTTAAAAAATATTCCATGATTTGGTTCAATGTTATCTATTTTAGTATTCTAAAGTTTCACTTTAGCACCAGAATCGATGAGCCATGCCGCCTTGCGGTAAACGTGGTATAATTCTGACAAATTTCCCTCGTTTGTCTCTGCGTGGCTGCTTTGAGCGTCGACAAAAAGTGAATTTAATGCGGCATGTAAATCGCATTGCTACAAAATAAACAAACTTTTACCGACGAGGACGCGTGATCCGTGAATCCCTTTTCCGGGCATTCTCTCTACAGATATTCAAATATTTGCCGTCGATCGTTTTCTTTTCTTTTGCCGCTGCGCCGATGGACAATTAGGCGATCCAATAATGATAATTTTATGTAGGACCCCCTTTCACTCGCGGCGCGCGCGTATTGTTATTTTCGGTCGGCGGCTTTTTGTTTAACAATGAGATCGAGCCTCGAAATCGCAGCCTCAGATCTTAATTAGCGTATAGGGACGAGATAGCGGCGCAAAAAATTGATTTAGCGTACAGCTCTCCAAAGTGGATCATTGTCTTAGCTCACACAATTGTTAGATTAGAAACATTAAAAGAAATTAAAAACTAATAATGTAATTATAAACAAAATTTTCATTGACTCAATTTTAATGGCAAATATATTTTTTTTCAGTATTATCTTTACTTATTGTTTTTCCTTGCCTTTGAATGTAATCAATAAGCAAAAAAATTAAATTTAATAATTCTTATGTATGCATAATTTATTTATTATTTTCCTGAAAAAGCTTGGCGACCTAGTTTTTAAGGCGCAATTTCCCATCCTCGTCACTCTCTGTCCAATTTGCAGTCTGGCTTGCGAAAGAAATTTGCATCTCGGCCAATTAGAATGTGTTTGCAAATGATTTTCCCCCCAACTGGGTAGTGCGTGCAAGGCATTTTATTTAAATGCAAAAGTGACGATTGCTCGGCAGCCAGGTCGACCAGGAAGCGAAATTCATTATTTCCCTCTTGAAACGCATCTCTAATCGCCGACTAATTAATGCATCTGTGAATGAGAAGAAGCCGCTAACTCAAAGCCGGGAACTGTTTTCGTCACCGAGAAAACGAGAGAGCGAGCGATTCACACACACACACACAGAGTCGATTATTGCTCCGCGCGCGGATTTAACGGTGAATCCCAGATTATTTGTTAAATAGCTCCACGGAGCTTCACACAAACACAAGAGAGCACGGTGGAATTTCGATTTGTGATTTTTGCACCTGAGTGAGAAAGAGAAAGAGATGAGCAAGAAATTTTACTCGGTTGGCGTTTATTTATAAATTATATTTGCTTTTCGGGTTTTGCGGGGAGGGAATGACTATTAGAAATCAACTGAAGAAAACTTTCCAGACAATATATAAAAAAAATCTTTGTAGATTATGACTAAATTATTATTAATTGTATTAATATTTTTTGCCATTTTTAAATAAGTTTAGTTATTTTATTTATTGGAGGTTTATGTAATATTTAAAAATTATTTTAACGATTTTATGTTAATAATTTTACACGTTTTCATTCATAAAAAAAATTAAATACAAAGTTTACTCAAACTGTTTCAGGATTAATGATGCAAGACATTCCTAGTAAGATTTCTATCAACTGGGGCCATTAATTAGTTTTAAAAAATCGACTCTTACTTATTGAGAACAATAATTAACTACAATTTATAACTAACCATTTATATATTTTATATTACCAAAATTATTAAGTTCATTCCTAAGTAAGAATAACTTTTTTCGTGATTTTTGTGCTGTATAAAATATAACAGCCATCAAATTTCTAATGATAAAGAGATTGAATGTTGAATTTTTGTTAGTTAAAAGGATTTTTTCAACTACGACTTAAACATTTTATTGCATGAACGAACGGAAAGTCATTGTTTGAAATTGACGCACGACACTGGTTAGATCTGCATGATTTGCGCGGGTCGAAATTAGCATGACTAATTGGTGTCGCAACTTGTGTTTATTATTTGCGATTCAAAATTTAAAGCACGCGTATCTCCGCTCCATTTACAACGACCGTGTAATTCCGTAGATTCTATTATTTGCTCTTTTGCAGACATTTTCTTAAGTGGCCTCGGCTTCTTGTAGAGAAAAAATCCTTTCCTTTTTCTAGGAATAGAAAAATAAAATGGAAATAATGCTAGTCGTGTCACGCCAAGGATGAGATTGGAACGCACCCAAAGTAATAAATATAAAAAGTAAATAATTTTTACGTTCACTGCATGCTCATTATTATTGAGAATTGCAAACTTTTGTGGAAAAGTTGCACGACATGAATTTTTGATCGGTTCATTTCACTTTCTCTGGGGGTCATGGCTTGTGAGAAACTCTATTTGCAACATAGATCATTGAACCTTTTTTATCTTATTATATTAAATTATAGTCAGCTTGTTTACATGCATTAAAGACAGATTTTTTTTATTCAATCATTGTATTGACCAGTATGGACGACGAAACAACTTTATTATAATATTTTTCTGCAGAATAATTTCTCAAAAATTAAAATTTATTTATTTTGTCATATTATTAATGTATTTTTTCAGAAGTTCGTCGTTTTTGGAAATAAATATTTCAATAATAATAAAGAATTGGAACCATCCTTATCTGATCATAACAATATTTTCACCCTTCAGTGAGTTCCACTCCTCAAACATTCCTCTTGCTACGAGACACACTCATAAAAAGCAACAATTAAAACGCTGCGTGGAAAACACAACGAAGGCCCGCACATGAAGGAATTCTTTGAAATGTATCCAGCAGCTTTATGCATTAACCCTTTTTCTGTAAACAGTAAAAATAAAAATCTCGCATGCTGTCGCGCTGCGATAAAAATTTGTTGCATTGCTCACGTCGACGAACGGTGCTTGCTTGAGCGCAGAGAGATGCTGCGCCCCAAGCGCGAAAAATGATGACATGCACAGCCTCTCCTGCTCTCTACGCGGATTGAATTTATTTGCAAATTAAATCACGAACAAGAAAGTTAATTCATGTCTTTATCCAGCAAGTCCTGGGAAACGTTTCGCCAAAAGCTTCCGCTAATTTTTGCAAATCTTAACCTTGAATCAAATAAACTGACACGAATCATGACAAGTTTCCTTATTACGACGTTGACATTACCCGTGTGTGGGAACTCAAGCTGCCTTATGTTTGGGCTCGGGACTAAAAGCATTCATTAGCAGACAGCTTTATTTGAATTTGCGGGCAATGAACTTTTAAATGGTTTAGAAAATTATTGTTGATTATTAAATAATAAAAAACTAATATGTTAAAATACAAAGGCTAAAAAAAAATTTGCTACGTTTTTTCAGAGTGACGAAGCAAAATTCATATTCACTCACTCTGCTCAATATTTGACATTACTTGATTGTGAGAGAAAGTTGGCAGCAAGTCGTGATCTTCTTTTGTGCAACACAATGCATGCTTTGCTTCTTTTTACCCTCGGTCGATCGCCGCGCCTGACCTTTTTCTTTTTTCTGTTTCCAGTAGACGCGTGTTTCGAGCCTTGAACGAGAATCGCCGCCGTGTCTTTCCCTCGGAAGTGAACTATAGTGAGCCGCGGAAAATCGCTAATTTTCTCCACGTGCCATGAGTGCACAGAAACACTTGACTGAAGCCGCAGAAAAAGAGTGTAAATAGGAAAAGACATTTTATTACGTACGAGGAGTTCAGTGCCATTACCATATAGCCAGATTAAATAAAAATTAAAACACAAGTAATCATCACTCTACTTTACAGCATATAGATACGTGTATTGTTCTATTTTTCTGCGTAACAATAATTACTCTGGTGGTTAATTGTATTATTTAAATAAAAATCTTTTACCGGGGAGAAGTGCTTGCAAATTTTTTTGAATCAATTTCGCGGAAAGCAGCTTGCATTTTTAGATTGAATCTCCTCCATGTTGGATTTCTAATTTTATTAAATGTATTCTTTGCTATAGTATTACTCCTGTGAGCATTGTGAATTGTTGTGAGATTTATAAATGTGTAATAATTTAATGTAAATGTGTCGATCACACACTCGCGCGAATATTATTGAACAAAAATAAGGAAGAAACTAGCTGCTGCCACGATGTAAATTATTATAATTTTATGCAGTTTGGGAGGACCAACCTCACCAGAATCATAAATAAGAAATGAAGTAATCAGCAAGTCAAATGTGAACCATTATGTCATACTTTTAAATGGACCTTCTTGTAATTCTTACCCTCAAAGACTAAAGAGCAATCTTTTCATACAATATTTCAATAACAGTGTGAACAATTTTGAACAAAATAAAGTATTATGCGTAAAACAAATAAAATATTGACTTTCATTTAAAAGATAGTGAAAGTTTCCATTTCATAATTATATAATAAAAAAATCTACATAGCATTTTAAACGTATTTATTGGCAACATATCACTTCATCAACTTATAAGTAAACCGCGGGGTACATTCGAAAAAGTTCACTCTCAATGCAAAACAGTCATTCAGTCGAGGGAAACAAACTGGCGAACCTGTTGAAGCGTCTCGCAGTCCACAGACGCGACCAACTGGACCCACGTCTGCTGCCCAACCTGCCTACGAAGGCGATCCAGCTGCTGCTGCAGAGCTGTCGAAAGGGCTGTCAGATAAACAGGATCAGACAGACTGAGCCGCTTTCGACGCCTTTCAAACTCCGTCGCGTCCTCCTCACAAGTGTCCTCCTCGATCGCAATAGACCCGAGCATCAACGTGTCACCTTGAGAGCCTTGCACATCGTTCAGGACCTGAAACATTTGATTGATTTTAATGAAAATTAATTTCCTCTAGGAAGTCTCAAATTTCAAAATAATGCGTAATTAAAATCAATTTACCTCAGCCACAGCCAAGAGCAAACCGCAGAACCTGCGGTCGTCGGCAGACAGCAGCGTCACAAGCGCCAAGGCCAGCAGTTTGCGCCTCTCAGGTTGCGTGATTATGCTCATCTTGTCCAGCCACACGTCCAGCAATCTTTGCAAAACAGAGTCAGCCGTCTCACCCGAGGAAACGGCCACCGAGTTGACAGCATCGGCGAGCACATTTTGAGGGCCGAGAAGCAGACGCGCCAACACCGAGAGCTGAAGGGCCATAAGGATGGGTAGGGCTTCGGCTCGCAGAACTGACATGATGACCCGTTCGATAAGGACTTGCAAGAGAGGGGCAGCTGCTGGCTCTGCTCGCATGATCAATTCAACCAGACGCAACACCTTAAACACAAAAATCATATTTAAATGGACATAATTTACTAGCTTTCATATTTTGACGAGTTACACTATTCAATATCCTTTTTACTCGTAAAAAATGTAATACCTGCAATAAGCCTTCAAGTCGAATGTCTCCCAAAATTTCATCCAGAGTGGCGACAAGCACTTTTCCATGCGTTTCGAGGAACTGCGTTGGCGCCAAGAGGAGGTAGGCCTTTGTGAGTTGCAGACAAGACTGCAGGTGCTCGGTGGTCCTTTCCATCAGGGTTGGCACCCTAGTCCACAGCTGCAGCAACTGGGGACTCATCCTGGCCGCGTTTTCTAACACGGCCTGCCACAGATCAAGACCGTCTTCGAGCAGGTACACGTGGGCCTCCTGGTCAAGGTCAGTAGACGTTGCAACCACAGGGAGGAGGAAGGTGGATAGGTGGTCGTGATCCGGCCCCAAGGCGGCCACCAGAGGTACCAGAGCGGCCACTACAGCCGCTCGAAGCATCGGGTGGTCCTCGGCCCAGAGTTGCGGAAGACAGCGAACAAGATCGACGGCGTGCGGCCGCACCGCCGGTCCCACGCGGTCTACCACAAAGGTGGCTACTGAAAGGACGCGCATTTTCGAGTCGCACTCACGTGCGTCGCGCAGCAGGGTGAGCAAGAGGTTGAAGCAATCGCCCAGGATGGGCTCGATCTGTTCCGGGCAGAAGTCAAAGTCGTCCATTGAGTGTCTCAGGGCTTGAGCCGCGGCCAGTCTGACGGCCATGTCCTCGCCCGCCGAAAGCAGACTCAACAGGGTGGTATACAAAAGGGGGCGCAGATCAGGTGACAGTTTTACCGCAGACCATTCGCCAAGTAGCCACGCTACCCGTCTACGAATTATTTGATAATTGTCCTGAAACAAATATAGTTCGCAAGCTTAAGTTTCATTGTAAAGAAAATAATTAACACAGTGTGATTCAATTTTTAATTTCTTTTCCATTTTATTTCAAATAATATCTGATCGTTGGCCCACACTCCATTCTTAGCCTTGGCCAAGATCAGTAATTTGCGAACTGATTAATTGCTTTTTTTCCACTAAAATGCATACTTTGATGCTTGTAATATTGAGAAATAATTTGCGATTCATCAACAAGTCAACACAAAATTTGAAATTTATTAGCCTCAGTTCCCAACTTTTAATTTGAGCTTGCAGTTATATAGATAAAAATCATTGACCGACATAAGTAAAAAAATTTACAAACCTCCTTGCATGAGAGCTCCTGCCTGAGAGACCCTTTGAACCAAGAGTCAAAGTCAACCTCGTCATACAAATCATAGGCCACTAGACCAACCGCTGTGTAGACAGCTTCCTTTAACAGCAATGGTGTTTCAGATCCAAGACCCGTCTGCATCAATTGGACGAGCGGCGGAACCATTTGGCTGCGGAACTCTTTGAACAGGGCGACAAAACAACTCTCGACGCACGGCCTCAGGGCATACCGCCAACACTCGCCGCCCTCATCAGCGGCAAAAGTTTCCGCATCTTCGGCCCACTGACGCAGCTCATCATTACTGAGGGGCAGAAAACGACCCACAAGTCGTTGGCAAAGTAGCTCTAATAACTGGGGAGAGAAAAACCCGCTCTTGGCTCTTTGCGCCTCAAGAGCGGCTGGGTTTGTGTCGTTTTTGAACTCAGGACACAGGAGGATGCCCTTCAATAGGTTCAGAAGTTGGACGGCTGCCTTTTCAAACAAGAGGCTGCAGCCAGAGTCGTTGAGGATAAGACTGTCTATAAGTTCCAAAGTGGAGGCCACCAAAGGTCCGTAGGAAAATGGGTGATGCTCTAAGACGTCACCAAGAAGCTGAAAAATATTTTATTTATTTTAGATTTAAAATTATAAGAAATTAAAAAAAAATATATTATTAATTCAAATAGAAAACAAAATTTGAAAATAACCCTTATAAAAATGAAGAGTTTACCTTTAATAAAAGAGAGGCTAGTTTCTGAATAGCCACCTGGTCAGCAGCGTTTGGTCGCATTTCGATGAGGAACCTAGTCCTCGGAATTGCAGACTCAAGGAAGGGTCTGACAGCTGGCTCATCGTAGGGAGTCTTGAACCCGTGTACTGTCATCTGGCGAAGGATTTTCAAGGCTAGAGTAGCCTCGTTGACGGCCTGGGCAGACATGTGTTGCTCAAAGACATGAAGGACGTGCGGAAAAAGAGAGGCAGTCAGTTCTTGGAAAAGTCGTCGGTCTCCAGCCAACCGCTTGGAACTCAGCGTCTTGACCACGTGGTGCAGGACAAGCAGCGCATGGTGCCTAGTTTCATGGCGCTGAACTCCTTCGAGCAGTTGGTCCATCAACATGGGCCACTCTCGAGGCCAATCGTGCCTTGCGATTTTGGCCGCCAAAACTGCCAATTGGGTTAAAATCTGGAATAAAAGTGTCAAAATAAAATTTAATCAATTAACTTGGCTTGCCAGAAATATTTAAGTGGCATAATTTTAGAAAATAGGTGGAAAAAATATTTAAATTATTACAAAATTATGTCAAAAAGATTACTCTCATTGTGACTATTGATTGTTATTTGTTATATAAGTTAGATTCTCTACTGCGTGTTCATTTTTGAATTTATTTTAAGAAGTAAAAGCGGAAGTTAAAATCTTATATTTTCTTTTATTATTAAAATTTTGCTCAGAATTTTAATAGAATTATGAAGAAATCAAGAAAACAAAATCTATAATAATTTGTAATATTGAAAAACGATTACATTAATTTAAAATAATTTCATTAACTTTTAAAGGGCCCTTTAAACCTTTTGAGCAATTTGATGAAAACAAATTTTCTTAAAAAAAAAAATATTCAAACTCCATATGGGTTTACTTTTCTTTTTTTTTTATGCATAAATTCTTATTTTTTGTTTGTAGGGGCAGATTATATAAAAGAACAAAATCTAATGTGTTATCAAAAAAGACCGGCACCTGCGGGGCAGGTTCTTGGAGGCAGCACGCTATCAACGACTGCCGGACAGCGGCCTTCTCGCGCTCGTCGATGGCGTTGGGCGCGTTGCGTCGCCAGAAGCGGTCGACGCCGTTCTTGACGCACAACACGGCCATCCATCGCACGTTGACGGGCTGCCCGAGGTCAGCGAAGGCGGCCAAAAGGGCTGCGTAGAAGCCGGGCGCCGTTTCCCATTCCTTGAGGCGCGCCTCGGCCGGTCGCAGAAGATTGATGTCCTGGCTGGTGGCCGCTCCAAGGGCGGCCAGCACCTCGGGGTGCGACGCTTCCATCACGGCATCGCCTGTCGCCGCCGAATATCAGTCGAAAGCAGCGCCGATTTCAACACCAGCGGCAGCAGTGTCGGCTTTCGACACGAGATTGTTACAAATAATAATCAAAATCAACTCTCAGCTCAGCAGCTCAACTTCTGGCCGTGAAAAAAAGACTGCTTACGCGCACGCCCACCCTTCGCGGTGCCACCTCTAGGCTTTATTGATCAACTTGTAGCAACTTAGATTATTTTTAACATTTTTAATGCAAGAAAAGTTTGATTCTCAACCAATTTGATTAATTTCAGCTATATATTAAATGCCTCAAGGTCTAAAAACGCAATAAAAATGCATGCAAATTTTTAAGATGATATGAGACGTATCAGACGTCAGACGGTCAGACGTATGAAATGTAAGTGTGTATAGCGAAGCCGAAAATTATGCGGAGAGGGGCTTGCCTCATGCGCCAGGTGTGCGCGGGTTATTTGTATATTCCCGCGCCCTTTCCTTGAGAATTAAAGAGTGGCCAACATAAATATATTGGAAAAATTCAATTTTTTTTAATTTAAGGCATTAAATTCCTTATTCATTTTGGTTTACTTGAAAAATTACATGAAAAAATCATATTATAAATATCAGTTCTCATGAAAAAATTTGATTTTATTTGAATTGACTTCATCAAAAAAGTTTATATTTATAAGTTGGTGGCGTTGGTGCCCCTGGTTTAGCGGGAATTCGCCATTAACGCTAAAATTGCTGCTTGTCAACGGTTATTTTCATTCGTAGTTTTTCTTTGAATTACATGGTATATTCGGCCCGAATCTTCGGCGCAGTGTGCCCGACGTCTTCTTCAAACCCATTTCTCTCTATTTAGTGTTATAACAGGAGAACTTTCATTCACGAAATGGACGAAATTGATAGATTCAAGGAAAACATCCAACCACTCCGGCAAGGGCGCATTACGAATCAACTATGCGAAGCACTCTCAGAATGCAAGCAGCAAAAGCATTTGGCACAGATGCAGTGAGTTTTTTTTTAAATTTTCTTTGCCCTTCAAAGTTTAAATTTGTATCTTTCGCAGACAATTCGAGATGAACCTCCGTTCTTACGAGGGAGACGATCCTTTACAACCGTGGTTTGACTACATTTCCTGGATGGAACAAACATCAACAGGTCGCGGCAAACAGTTCAGAGAAATTCTCAAACAATGCCTGAAGACATTCAGTGGAGTTGCTCAGTACCACAACGACTCTAGGTTTATCGACTTGTGGCTCAAATTTGTAAGGAACCTCTGCTGAATTGGGAAAGCATTTTATCTATTATTTTTATTTCAGTTGAGTGTTCAGCCAAACAGATTGGAATTATACGAAACTGTCCTTGGCCATGGAATCGCGCACAAATCAGCCAATTTTTACATCAGATGGGCGGCAGATCTTGAATCAGCAGGTGATCTCAAAGGCGCTAATAAAATCTTCCAGCGAGCCTTGGATGCAATGGTGGAACCTCAAGATGTTCTCGAACAGGCCATGCAAAGATTTCACTGCAGAGCCGCAAAAGTGCAGCCCGAAGAGCAACAAGAAGTGGACGGACCACAAAGAGCCATCTTTGGCCGTCTGGAAGCACGATCTGATGGGCGCGTGGCTGCGGAACGAGCTCAGGCTCGACCACTGGGATCAAATAGACCCTTTGAAAAACAGGCTATCAAAGAAATGGCTGCCTTTCCAGTGTTCAATGGTAGCGAAAATGAAAAGCCCAGACGGCAGTTGATGAAGGAGCTGCCTGATGAAAGAGGAAGAATTGAAAATGAGGTGGCACCAAGCAGGTGGACTGACGCAGCCAGTGGAAAGGATGTTCGACCTCTAGTAACCACACCTTTCAAGGTATAAATTTGAAATCACGAAACGCAGAAAAATAAATAAAAATGTCACATTATAGGTGCTGGAGGATCCAGCTAGTGCAGTTGCCGCTACTCCCAGAAGCAATCTAGGATCAAAACGAGTGCTGCAGGAAGTGAAGCAGATTAAGCACGAAGCAGAGTGGCCTTTGGCCTATTTTGAGCCAGCTAATGACAAGAGCAAGCCCATGTACTGCAAGGACAAAGTCTACTGTGGTGGCACTGAATTTAGTTTTGAGGAGCTCCGCGCTGAGTCTTGGCGAAAACGCAAACTGAATCGCCAAATTATCAAAGATGCAAAGGATGATGAGGTCAAGGTGCAGAGGAAAGAGGTTATTATGTATGAGACTGTCCGCGATGGCCAGGAGTGGAGCTACGAAGAGATTAGGGCCCAAAATTACTTGGCCAAGATAAGGAAGAATTTTGAATGCCCAGTTGCATTGTTTGAGCCGGAAAATCCCAACCAAGTAATTTCAATTTTCCTTTCATCATTTTCTTATTTTCTTTTCTTTATATTTGCAGGTTAGGATGTATGAAAAGCATAAAGTTTATGCAGACAACACTGAGTATAGCCTTGAAGAGTTGCGTGCCAAAGACTGGCTTGCAAGAAGCAGCCAGTCTGGTCTTTTGTGTCAGTCAGCTTTGCTTGGTCAGTCAATGACTGTACACACCAGAGAGGCGCTTGCTGCTGTCCAGGATTTATGGAAGTCGACTAGGGAATCTCCACCCGCAACTCCCCCAAAGAGTATGAAAATGATGGATATAAGCGTGGGCATAGAAACTTAAGATATTTATTTCAGTGGCTTTTGAAATTTTCTGTGACGACAAAAAAGACGCTCCTGCCTTTGAGATCTTCTCCGATCCTCCCAAACAAGTTCCCTTTGAAATTTACTCTGAAAATCAAGAAAATGGTAAAATAAATTTTAATTTGTAATACTTATTCTGATTCTGGCTTTTCAAGAAGTTGGTGTTAAAGAAGGAGTTGGTCCAAAATGCCAAAGTGCACCATTTGCGATATTTAGCGATAATGCAGAGAACGGTTAGATTCGTAGTATATCTTAAGAAACATACCACTAATATTATTATTTTTCTCCAGAACCTCAGTATTTTGGAGGAAGCGACAAAAGACGAGGTATTTTAAATGAACCAAAATATAATTAAATATATTTAACAATTTCTTTTTATCATTTAGTTCTAGTGCCAAAGATTGTTGTGGGTGAGGTGGAGCAAGAAGAAGAGGAGGTTGAATCTGAAGACGAGGATAATAATGACGATGAAGAGTTTGAACCTAAACCATTGCCGCCTTTGCCAGAGCTTCCTTTTGTCCCCCCTCCGGAGCACTGGGAGGCCAATGGACCTGAAGGCAAGGAGAATTTTGATCCCTCTGTTGTAAATGTGCCAAAGAAGAGTCTGCTACTCCCTGAAGGTGGATTTGAGGACGAGGACACCTGCTTTGTCGTTGGTCCTCTGGGAAATGGGCCTGTCAACTATCTAGAAGACATCACCATCAATCTTATGAAGAAACCACCTCCGTCAGACTCATCGACCCCGTTCCATCACCAGCCCCAGTCTCTGATCATGCAGCCGCAGGAAACAAGACACACCATAATATTGAGCCCCATATTGGAGATGACTGGTGAATCCAGAGGAAGCAGGAGTGGCAGTAGCAGCAGTGGTGCCTCAACAGCCAGCAGCAAGGCATTCAGTCTCTACTTGAAAACACCTGGACAGTCGGTTGCTGGTGAGGCAGATCACATCACCGTTCCACCAGTCAAACTTGAGTTGCTCGAGGAAGAACCCGAAGTTTCTCAGAACAAAGAGAACAGGTTTGTTTATTTAAGTTAAGCACTTAAAAATATTAAAAAAATATATAAATATATTTCCAGTTTGGCTAATGTGATTGACGACCCTTGGAGCAATGATCTACGTCAGCGCCTGGTGGCTTACCCTGAGGGAGTTAGCTACCTTGATGGACTCATGCCTGTAGCCAGAGCTAACCAAGCGTACCGTTTCGGAAAGAAGGCGCTTAAGCTGAAAAAGTGCCTAGGAGAAGGAGCTTATGGAAAAGTCTACCTCACTAATGAGCCCTTGGTCTTAAAGATGCTCCCAAATGATACATCGGGATGGGAAATTCACATGAGCAGAACTTTGAGGAAACGAATTCCTGCACACTTGGTATTGCAGTCAAAAGTAAATTTAAAATGTAATTGCTAATTAAATATAAACTGTAGATGGATCATTTCTGTGAGATATCAATGGCCTCTATCTTCTCCAATGGCACCATCCTGGAGATGCCGTTTAAGTCTGAAATCACTCTCCTGAATGTGATCAACTACAGAGTTGGCTCCCTGGCTGAAATGTCAGAGTTCACTAAGGCGTTTCTGGTTTACGAAGTACTGCTCATCACTGATGCTCTATTGCAAGCTAAAATAATTCATGCTGACATCAAGCCTGACAACTTTCTTGTGGTGCCCATGAGGTAACCTGAAGCCACGTTTCCTTGGGTTCAAAGTTAACATGTCCTTTTTATCTTTGTAGGCATAGCAAAGGTTTCAAATACCACCTGCAGATCATTGATTTTGGACGAAGCATTGATCTATCACTCTTGCCTTCTGATGTTCAGTTTTCACCCACTTTGAAGGGAGATGCTAGATGTGTGGCAATGCGCCAACAACGGCCCTGGGGTGTTGATCTCGACCTTTACTCTGCTGCAGCCACAGCACATGCAGTACTGTTTGGCAAATATTTGACCCTGATTGATGTGAAATCAGTCTGGAAACCAACCTGCAAGCCTAAGAGATTCTGGCAACTTGCCAGTGTCTACGAGAAAATGTTTGAGATTTTGATTAATGCGAAAGGAGATGATCTGCAAGTAATCCAGGCGTTTTTGGAACCAATACTGAAACGGGCCACCGATGATGTGGAAGGAGTCAATAATGAGCTCATTGCCGCATGCCAATCTCAAGATTAATTTTTAACAAATGTCATGTCCTGATTAATTATTAATGTTTTAAAGAGTTTCTACTTAAAGTAAATTTGTTTTTTAAATAAATAAAATAAAAACATAAACGCATCACAAATCTTAGCTGTATTTATTTCTCAATACAATTAAAATTTTGCAGCGCAGCAAAAGGTTTTGATTTACCTTATATTAAATTCATTGCATCTTTATCAATAATTCAACTCAAAGAGTTAAAATAATTGCTGGTTCATAAATAAAAACTTTCCTATTCAGTCACATACTTTAAATTACACACTGTACCTTAATGTCTTTATCTGTATTTGTCACAGCTTACTTACGCAGCACTTGTCTTGCTCTTGCTGCCGCATATTTTCTTAACATAGGCGTTCACCAGTCTGCGCACTTTATGAGGATTTATCTCCTTAGTTTTAGTATGGCAGATCTACAAATATATATAAGAAATTAAACAATTTAAAAATTGCTACCAACAACTTCTGTACCTTTGGCACTGCCCTTCTAAGAATTTCCTTGTATTGCTCCTTGTTGACCTTCTTGCGGGCGTAGTGCGGCTTGAGGGCCAATTTAACCTCATCCACCACTCTTTCTTGGTGGTTCAGCTTTTTTAAGTACTGGAAAAGAATTAATTTCATGTTTGAAAAAAGAACAAAAATTCTTTAAGAAAGTTTAAGCAAAATATCTATATTTTGTATAATGTGTTAAAAATCAGGATTCGTTTTATACAGCAATCAAAATAAGGCGAATAAAAGTATATTAAAATAATTAATAAATTAATACCTTTTCTTTCACTTGTAGTTCAACTGCTGAGCTTGGCACTTCATCAAGAATGCGTAGTTGGTCTTCATCCATTTTGATTGCCACTTCCCGTTTGCCTAAAAAATATATTTTTATATTATAATGCCTTTAATACGATGATATTTTTGATAATAATCGCCTTTTTTATTGGCGGGCATTTATTTTCTAATTGATTAAATTTGAAACATACCCTTGCCAGATTTTCCAGGCTTGGATGAGCCTCCTGTCCTAGACTTCCAGGCGCCTCTGAGAGCGTCAAATTTATCTGCTGGTGCCTTGTTTTCAGGAGCTGGAGCCCTTTTTGTCCTTTTAGCCTCTCTTACGGTTGGAGGCTCAAAGAGATCATCTCCTTCTGATGCAGCAGGAGAATAGGGAGATTCAAGTTCCATGTCCACGACGTCAGTGGTTGTGTCTGGCAATTGTGTCTGCACGACGCTGGGTAGTCGAAGTTGAGCCAAAAGTGTAGGAGCGGCCTGCAGAAGCAGTGGCACTAGGTTGAGCTGCGAAGGAAGCACCAAAGAGGCGGCCAAGGGCGGAACGGCCACCACAGGTGGCGGCGGCCGCGTTTTGGGCGGACTGGCTGCCTTGACAACCTTGGGTGGCTCTTCAACAGTCTCCGCCACAGCAACTTCTTGCACTTCAGGTTGGACCTGAGTCTCCGGGGGCGGCTCTTCTGCTGGCTTATCTTCTGGAGGCGGCTCCTCTTCTGGTTCTGCCTGCTGTGCTTCTTCCACAGGCGAGTTGGTGGGTTCGAACGGGTTGTACACTTCGGTGGTCTCTTCAACAGCAGTTTCAGGTTGTATGACTTCTGGTGCAACTTCTGGAGCGGCTTCACCCTCAGCAGCTTCTTCGTCATCCTCCTCATCCTCGTGCAAGGGGTTGACTACCGGCTTTAGATTGGTCTTGGTCATAATGCTGAATTTTATCTGCGGCTCAGGTGGGGTCTTTGGACCTTCGGGAATCACAACCTCCGGTGCAGGTTCGGCTTCAAGATTTATTACGGCTATGGGTCGTTTCTTAGAGGCCATTTTGGCAATTTTTTTCCTCCGTTCCTTTTTCTTTTTTTCCTTAACTGCCGGTGGGGGTGGTGGAGGCGGTGGGGGTGGCGTTGGCGTCCTAGGCCGTTCTTGCGGAGGCTCTCGTTCACGTTGTTTTTTGAAGTTGACGGAAATAAGAATGTTGTTTCCTCTAGCAATGACCTCCTTCCTGCGCTTTTCTTTCTTCCGTTTGCGCCTCCGCCGTTCGACCTGCTCCACGTCTGGAACTCTGAAGCCCAGTCTCTCATGGACGCTGCGTCTGGTATCTGGACTGGGTCTTCGAGCCTCAGGCCAAACTTCTGGACTGCGTCTTTTGTCCCTACTGCGGCGTCTGATGGGACTCTGCGGTCTTTCTACAGACCGCCTTGGAGATCTTCGTCTGTCCGGAGAGTGCTGCCTTGGCTCGGAAGAAGGTCTTTTTCTCTCCGGAGAATTGTTTCTTCTCCTTTCTGTTGAGTTCCTCCTCCTCTCTGCTGAATTTCTTCTTCTTTCTGCGGAGTTCTTTCTCCTCTCTGGAGAGGTTTTCCTCCGCTCTGGCGTTCCTTTTCTTCTCTCAGGTGTTACTTTCCTCCTTTCCGGTGTTCCCTTCCGCCGGTCTGGCGTGTGTTTTCTTCTTTCAGGCGTGGACCTTCTTTCTACTGAATCCTGTCGGTCAACAGAACGCTTCCTGTCAGCCGAATGACGTCTGTCAGGACTGCGTCGTCGTCTCTTGTGCTCAGGGCTCGCTCGTTCTTCACTCAGTCTGCCTCGGTCTGCACTGCGTCGGCCCCGTTCTTCACTTCTTCTGCCTCGCTCTTCACTTCGTCTTCCCTGCTCTTCACTACGCCTCTCCCGCCTGGCAACACGACCAAATCGGTCCGTGCTAGGGCGCCTATCCTTTCGTTCATTTACCACACGGCGCACATCATACCTTTCTAGATCCTTACGTCGATTAGTTGTCTAGAAACAAAAAGCAAAGAAAATTATTAATGGTTTCAATAATTTTTGCTGTAATTTTGAGGTATCAACTGACAATGAGAAAATATAGAATAATTTTTTTCATTTCATCAAAGTTTCTACTAAATTAGTACTATAAAAATCATGCAATCTTGCTTGCAGTAATTGAATATTCTCTTTAAAGGCTGATCTAAGTATAATCCATTAGTTTGGTTAATTTTTATTTCAATGTGAAAAGCTGAACAAAACAAAAAACTTGATAAAATTTAGTTTCCAACAGCGCTTACCAATATCTGTTTCTTTTTTTCTCTTTTTCTGGTTTCCCTTCTTCTGTTGTCTGGTGCCCGTTGTTTTGGCGCTTCCTCATGATGTTCTTCTTCTTCAGGCTTGGCCCTTTTGTCCCGGTAGTTCCTTCTGTTGCTGGGCTTCTTCCAAGCTATTTCCACTTTCTCCTCACCAATAATCTCTCCTTCCTCGGCTTCCCGCTCCTCCTCTTCTGATATAGGCTCAGTTTCCAAACCCTCCAAACCGATGGGCTGGTTTTCGTCCAAGGTAGGAGTCCCTTCTCGGTCGTCATCAAGCACAGGTTCTTGGTGATGTGCATCCTTATTTTCGCCATCTGCAAATTCTTCTGCAGTCTTCTCCGGCTCCAATTCGCCTTCTTCTTCGTGGATATCTCCATTTTCAAGCCCATTTTCTTTACGTTCTTCTTGGTCTGAATCTTTTATGCCAAGGACCTCGTTAGCAACAGCCTCTTCGGCTTTAGGCTCAATCTGACCATTTTCTTCGGCATCAACCTCCAATTCGGGCTCGCGTTCCGCGTCCAACTCCGGTTCAGAAGCAGCACCTTAGAAAAATCCAAATATTCAGTTATTTTAGATGAAATTTGGCAGAAAAACTAGCTTACCTTCTTCTGCTGGGGACATCATAGTTTCACCTTTTTTCTGGCATCACAGATGATAAATTGGCGTCAAAAGTTAGAAAATTACCCGATCAAAATCAGTGTAGGTTTTAGACGCAATGAAATCGAAAAAAGTTCGCAAAGTTGATCAAAAATAAAGAAAATGCTGCAGCGGTCGCTGTAGACGACAGTTCAAGATGCTAACAACAAAGGGGGTGTGGATTTTTCAGAGGCCGATGGCACCGGAGATCGACGCCAACCGCTCAAAATTGTAGATCAATGTTTTACACAATAATTCTGAATTTTTGGAAACTCCTAGTGAAAATTTTCTAATAGTCTGTTGTGAGCCCTCTAGCGGCAGACAAATAAATTACTTTAGTCTTGATTTTCCTGCAAGAACACGAGTTGTTTCACTTCAGAAGTCCGAGAGATTTTAGTGAAAAAGTCAGGGTAGAAACCCTCAGGGCCATTAAGTTAGGGCCAGAAGTCTTCGAGACTAAGTAAGAAACATTCAGGGCTGAACTACAGCAAAGTGGCGACGAGTCTAAGGGAGAAATAGCAAGAAAACTGAACCTCGTGTGGCCGCCATCATCGTTAGAGAGAATTCGCGTGTGTGGAAGCAGGATTTAATCGTTGAAAATCAAGAAAGCAAGCGGTCATCCGGGTTTTCCCAGGGTATTTATTGAATCCAACATGAGTGATAAAGCGAAAGTAATTGGTTCATTTGACCCCAAAGGGGTTCTGTCATTCAGCCAGTACCTGAGCAGGTGGAAGTTCCATTTCGCTGTGAAGAAGGTGACAGAGGACGCAGACAAGAAGAACATGTTCGTTGATCATCAAAGTGAAGAAGCGTTTGAGGTCTTCTGCAAGGTGAGTGACCCTGAAGGGATTGAGGCCATCACCTTTGCGAAGCTGACTGAGAGGTTGGCAGTTTATTATAGACAAACAGAGCCGCAGACTATTGTCTATAAAAATGAGTTTAACCAGAGAGTCCAAGGACCTGATGAATCAGCTGCAGTATACCTAGCTGAGCTGACTAGTTTGGCCAAGAAATGCAAATTCTCAAAAACGGATGAGTTGCTAGTGCCCAAGATCATTTCAGGGTTGCGAGACCTGCGGCTGAAGCAAACGCTGCTGGCTGAAGAGGATGCAAAGTTGACTCTAGATTTTGTAAAGACAAAGGTCCTCGCACATGAACGAGCTGAACTGACCGCAAAGGCTCTTGGGCTGAGTAGCTCGCAGGGTACAGTGAACAAAATTGGCCAAGAAAAAAAGTCCCAGTGGAAAAAAGGTCAAGGTCAGCAAGGTAGTGACCAAAAGCAGCATGGACAGGTCACCTGTTTCGCCTGTGGTAAAGACGGGCACAAATTCTTCAAATGCAAGGTCAGAGACAAATTAACCTGCAAGAAGTGCAAGAAAAAAGGGCACGTTGAGCAAGTGTGCAGAAGTTCTACTCAGAAGGCAGCGCACCATCTGGAGGACCAAGAAGAGGGAGAAGATGAGGCCAGTGGAAGCGATGGCCAAGAACAATTGCAGGCAGTGACAAATTACCTGCTAAGAGTGGAGTCCACAAGCAAGCCACCAGTTTCAGCAGACCAGAAGCTGATGTTGGAAATTCTGCTGAATGGCAAGCCCTTGATGTTGGAAGTGGACACTGGTGCGACATTTTCGCTCATTGGACTCTCCACTTATGATAAATATTTCCCAGACAGAAAAGCGTTGCTTCCAAGCAATGTGCGGATGAAGGCGTGGGGTCAGCAAGGGGAAATTAGGGCAGCAGGAAAAGTTCAGGTGAAAGTGACTCCAAAAGGTGGCAAGCCGGTGAACCTTGAACTGTTGGTCATGGAGCAGAGTGGACCTTCGTTGCTTGGGAGGAACTGGTTCAAGCAGCTAGGAATTGCAGTGGAGTTGCCCATTATTCTGAAGACAGTGGACCTGAAAAAGGAGCCACCTGACCCTGAAAGACTGCCGGAGATCTTCAAGATGACACAAGTGCCGCCAGAATTTGAAGATCTCAAAGAAGTTTTTGAACCGGTGCTGGGAAAATGGAAGGGAGAACCGGTTCACATTCCGCTCAAGAAAGGAGCTACACCGGTGCGGCACTCCGCCAGACGTGTGCCGTTCGGACTGCAGGAGAAAGCGAGTGCTGCAATTGATGAGTTAGAAAGAAGAAAAGTCATCGAAAAAGTGATGTTCAGCGAGTGGGCTACACCGGTAGTGTATGTGGAGAAGGGGGAGGGAGTGCGCCTGTGTGCTGATTACAGCGCCACCGTCAACCCTTTGTGCTCAGCAGCTGATTTTCCGCTACCCACTATTGACAAACTGCTCGCCGAGGTCAAGCCGGGGTGCTTCTTCACCAAAATTGACCTGGCAGACGCATACTTGCAGTTCCCTGTGGATGAAGCGTCATCGGAGGTGCTCGCAATTGCTACTCACAAAGGTACTTACAGATTTTTGAGATTGCCCCCAGGGCTCTCCGTGTGTCCCCCCATTTTTCAAAAGAAGATTTCGGGATTAGTTTGCAAAATCTCCGGAGTGATTGTGTATTTTGATGACCTCCTGATTTTTGCATTTACCAGAGCACAACTGATTCAGAAAACAAGAGCAGTCCTGAAAATTTTTATAGAAAATGGGCTGAAAGTGAAACTGACCAAGTGCTCATTTTGCGTTCCAGAGTTGGAGTACTTGGGATATTCCTTCACTCAAGAGGGGATCCAGCCCAAGAAGGACAAGCTGGAGGCGCTGGAGAAAATGCCACCACCACAAAGTATTGAAGACCTTCGAGCCTTGCTAGGGTATTTCAACTACTACGACAGATTTGTTCCAAACAAAGCTCAAATTCTTTTTCCGGTCTACAGGTTGTTGAAGAAGGGCGTTCCATTTGATTGGACCCCTGAGTGCCAGCAGTCTATGGACAAGATGACTAAGTTGCTGGTCAACTCATTCAGCTTGGCGTACTTCGACCCAAAGAAAAGAATTCGGTTGGCCTGCGACGCCAGCAGGAAGGGGCTGGGCGCCGTACTGAGCCAGCTGGAGGACAGAATGGTAGAGGTACCAGTTATGTTTGTGTCACGAGCACTGAAGAAAAGTGAATTAAATTATTCGCAGGTTGAGCTGGAAGCACTTGCGATTGTCTGGGCCGTGAAAAAGCTGAAGAATTACTTGTGGGGACAACAATTTGAAATTTTGACGGATCACAAGCCGCTGCTGGGGATTTTTGGCAAAGGAAAGTTAATGTCTGATGACCTCTCCAGCAAGCTGAAAAGGTATTGCTTGTTCCTGAGAGAATATAATTTTGAGCTGAAGTTTTGCCCTGGAAAAGAAAACTGCAATGCTGATTGTCTGTCTAGGCTGCCACTGCCCGTCCTTGAAGATGAAGAGGAGGAAGAGGAGGCTCGAGTAGCTTTCTTGCAGGCTATCGAGTTGCCGCAGAGCCACATTTCGCTGCAAGAGTTGCGAGAGTTCACTGAGAAGGACGAGCAGCTCAGACGTATTCAACAGAAAATCCTTCAAGGTACACATCCTGATAATTTAACAAGTGAAGATGGAGAATTTGGAAAAAGGTGGAGAGATTTGAAATCCACTAATGGTGTGATTACCTTTGTAGGAAGGGCAGTGATTCCCCGAGACTTGAGGAGCAAAGTCTTGGGACTTCTACATTTGAATCATTTTGGCCAGACGAGAATGAAGACTTTGGCCAGGACGTACTTTTGGTGGCCAAACATGGACGAGGAAATCGAGCAGGTTACGCTCTCGTGCATGCCTTGCGCCATCACCAACAGAGCGCCATCGAAGGCGCCCATCATTCCGTGGTCGGTGCCCCATCGTCCATGGAGCAGAGTGCATCTGGACTTCTTCGAAGTGGTGCATGGCAAAAGCTACATTGTTGCAGCTGATGGACTCTCCAACTGGATTGATGCCGAGAGAACGAACAACTTGGAGACTGAGACGGCTATCAAGTACTGCAGAAAGCTTTTCCGAGTGCAGGGCTTATGTGACATTTTGGTGTGTGACAATGGGCCTGCATTCCGAGCTGAAAAGTTTAAGAAGTTCTGTGAAATGAATGGAATTGAACTAATTTACTCTCCTCCGTACAGCCCCCAAACTAACGGACTTGCAGAGAAGACTGTGCAGACTGTGAAATATTTCTTGAAGAAAGTGCCTGAGAAAGAGTGGGAGCTAAGACTGGACAGTTTTCTGTTGGGACACAATTCAACTCCAAGTTCTGCACTGGGAGGAGTGTCACCTGCAGAGTTCAACCTGGGTCGACGACCGCACACCCTTCTGGACAAGACTCGTCCAGCGTCGGCTGTCGTAAACCAAAAGGCAGCTCGGGACAAGAAAGTGGCAGCTGCCGTGGCAGAAAAGCCTTTGAAGTTGGTGCCAGATGACCAGCCAGTGGTCCTCCGGAGCTACCGAAACCCTAAAGTGAAATGGGAAGCCGGAGCCGTGGTGACCCAGCTGGGTCCTCGACGAGTGCTGGTGGAGACAGAGGCAGGCTTGACTGAGCGACACACTGACCAGATCAAGAAAATCATCAGACCTGCCGAGACACCGCCAGAGCCACCTCAAGTGGTCCAAGAAGTGCCCAGAGTCCGCCCCGACGTGGCCCCTGATCCTGTCCTTGATTCGGAGCAGAAGGATGGACCGAATCAGGGCCCCCTGGGAAGTGGATTGGCGAAGAGCGAACCACCAGACAAATCACCAATGTCGGTGCCGAGTCCCACTCGAGTCCAACCAACTCCACCTAGGCGCTCTCAAAGAGCTGCCGGATTGCCTGCTAAATTCAAAGATTTCATTGTGACCAAGAAATAATTCAGTTAAGTGAAGTGAGAAATTAAATTTAATTTTGTAAAGCAAGAAACACATCAAGAAAATAATACTGTACAATTTCCTGTTCGAACTTCTAAAATTCGTCAATAACTTTTCAAGTAATTGAATTAAATTGATTTCCAATTTTTATTTCCATTCTCATTTGCATATTTGTTCAAATCTCAGGAGGGAGGTGTTGTGAGCCCTCTAGCGGCAGACAAATAAATTACTTTAGTCTTGATTTTCCTGCAAGAACACGAGTTGTTTCACTTCAGAAGTCCGAGAGATTTTAGTGAAAAAGTCAGGGTAGAAACCCTCAGGGCCATTAAGTTAGGGCCAGAAGTCTTCGAGACTAAGTAAGAAACATTCAGGGCTGAACTACAGCATAGTCCTTAATTTATTTAAGAAATTTCCATCAAAATAATGAAATCGTGACTCTAAGTAATAATGAAAAGGAATATTAATTTGATTAATTTGTTCTATAAAATAAAATTATTGATAAATTTTGTTGGCAACATTGGTACGAAAGCAGCACCATCTGTCTCTTTCTGGTCACTGAGAGGTCGTCAGTCCTTTTTCATTTTGATTTTTCTTCGAACCCATTCGTACCTGCGAAGACCAGGATGGCTGCATCCCTTGCCCGTCTTGGGCGCTTCGCGCGTCCACTGGCTACCAGGTGAGAGAAATGTTGAATTTGACCAACCAGATGACCTCAACAGCATTTTGGCAATTCTAGGGCTGTGGGCACCACTTCTGCTCATTTGGACAACGAATCCTGGCTCAGCAAATTGCTTGTCCGCAAAATCGAGCCTACTAAAGAGTCGCACTCGCGGATGCTGTCCGATAAGGAGGTCATCTACGAACTGCTAACTCATGACGTCAAGCCGCAACACAATGAGGAATATTTGGTCAACTAGTAAGGAATTAACTTAATTAAAAATAATATATATGCAGCATTATTAACATTGCCAGAATATATTACATTTTTATTTAATTTCTTTAAATCTTATATATTTCCCTGATAAAAACTGTCATCGAAAATAAATTACATATGTCTGTGCTCTGCTTGCTTCTTCAATTGGATAAATTGATCATTTAGGAGAGATTGACGAGAATTGAAGAATACAGAATATGCTGCATCGATCTATTTCTGTTTGTTCTATCAACACGTTAAAACGTTCAATATAATAACTGTGCTCAAATTCTTATGTAATCCTGCATGATATAAGTCCAATTTTATTTATTCCCTCCTCATTCTATATTCATTAATCAAATGATGAAGATTTATAAAACAAAAAATCTGTATTTTGCATTTTAGATTTCCGTCAATGTTATTGACGATTGATTGATATATTTCAGCCAGAACAGTGTGAAACTCGTTCATGATAGGAAGCTGCAGTGTGAGCTAGTTGCTAGCTGGAAAGTGTCGGTTGGAGACCAAGATCAGTGTTTGCATCTGTGGAAATACACCGGAGGATTTGCCAGCATTGATAATGCCAGAAAAGTGCTGACTGTTGATAAGGTTTGCATAACATAAACAAACAGCAGATAATCCTTTTAGTTCCTAGCGCCACCACTCCTAATTGCATTTAAAAATCCATAATTTTCTGTATCAATTCATGTTATTTTAATAAATCAGACATTTTCTTCCGACAGGTTTTCTTTTTTATCTTTGAAATAATAGTGATTAATTTTTTCCTTTTGTTTATCAGGAATACACGACTCTGGAAAAAACTCGCGGAAAGATGCTGCGCGCAAGAAACTTGCAGTTTTTGCTTGCATTTAGCTATTGGCCCCAAATCATACCTCGCGCTGGTGGAAACTTGTATGAAATCCGATCATACACTTTAAAGCCGGGAACCATGATTGAGTGGGGTAATAACTGGGCTCGAGCCATCAATTACAGGCGCAATAATGACGAAGCTTATGCTGCTTTCTTCTCTCAGGTAAAAGCTGACAATAAAAATAATATATGCTTATAATTGAAATTATTAAAATAATTAGGTTGGACGACTGTACAATGTGCACCACATTTGGTGCTACCCAGATTTGCAAGTTCGCAAGGAAACTCGTGAGGCTGCTTGGCGCATGCCAGGTTGGGATGAGTGTGTAGCCTACACGGTACCGCTGATCAGAGAGATGGACTCTCGCATCCTGCACCCTACCAGCTTCTCGCCAACTCAGTAATTTGCTTGAAATGTTGATGAACGAAACAAGACTACTTTGACACTAAATGCCTGAGGCGCACAACTTTTTTTTTAATTGCTGTTTAACTTTATTGAACCTCTCTATTGTGCTGTGTCTCAATTTTTGTTTAAGTTTTGAAATGAGCTATATTTTGCAATTATGATCCTGTGATGAAGACAAAGTGTCAGAGTAGTCTTTCAGATTCAAAACTAACAAAAATCTAAAAATATAAAGCCTCTTTTAGAGGGATCAGTTATTGAAATTGTGTATCATGGTACAAGTTAGCAATTCATTTGTGAATATCACATTAATTCAAACTGATTTAAACGCTATTGGTCAACAAGATGATAATTTGTACAGCAAAATGAAATTAGGGAGAATCCATTAATAGTTATTTGTACGAACTGATGACAAGACTCTGAAATATGGAGTGTAAAAAATGAAGCAAATGATTTTTAAACAGAATGAGAGTATCACTGCCTTTTATTGGCTTGATCAGAACAGATGAAAAGAAATGATTGAGGAACGAGCTTAATAAAACTTACCTCTAGGTCTGTAAGGGTCAAAATTTCCTCTGATTGCGCGACCGCCGTATGATTGAGGGATATGTTCAGGTTGCTAGATTAAAAAAAGCAATTAGATCGGGATTGCATAAGCTAATAGAATTAAATACCATGAAGTGCGGCATGGGAAGAGTTGCAGGGTGTGGTGGGAGGCGATCCCAAAGCTGACAGAGAGCTTCTCCGACTCTTGGCTCCAGAGCCTGGCCGTCTCGGCTGTGCTGGACTCTCTGATTGTTGTGCCATGGATTGTGCAAATGCCTAGCCAACTGTTATTTTTCAATTCATGTCAAAACTGTTCATTCATTGTTAAATTAAAATTACCTGGAATGGGACATCTCCTACTTTGAGCCACTGGAGAGGACAGGTGGCCACCTCAGGTCGGCCGAGTCTTGCGTAGCCTTGAAATCCTCCACTGCCCTGAATGCTGAAGACGGCCACCACAGTTTTGCCTTCTCTCTGTGCTTTGGTGATGGAACGAAGGGTGTTAGGAGCAAAGGTCCATCTTGTGGCCGCAACAGCCTCGTGCAGCAATTGCAAAGTACCATTCTTGATCACCAGGTAGCGAATGGGGGAGTCGGATGTGTGAGAGGAGTCTGAGTTTGGAGACAAGCAAGGAGAGGAAGTAGCAGAGCTAGAATCAGTGGAGCGCTCAGAGGGTCCTAAAAAATGATATTAGCTATTTAATATTAAACAAAATTTACATCATACGACTGAAGTCAAAGGTTCTGGGTTTTTGACCGATTCCAAGAGGCTGAGGAAATTTAAGGGCCTTGTCTTCAGCAGAGAGAACTGCAACGACACATCGGACCACAAGGTCATCTCCCTGGCTTGGCGCCTTTTGAGCTGTAGGTCCTTTCAGCTTTCTAAGGAACAAAGAGTGAAGCTTTTGTCTCAGCTGCACCAATGCCCGCGCGTGAGATGGGTCAAGACGGAAGGAGGCCCACTCATCCAGTCGCAGCAAAGTGCGATTTGGCTCGTCCTCATTCTCGCTGTCACTCTCTAGTTCTGCTGCAAGTTGACAACGAGCCTCTGCAATGGAAATATATTATTGTAGGTTTAGAAGGATTTTTAATTTTTTCAGTTCACCGTCAGCTTCTCCGTCAAATTGGGGATCATATGCCATTCGAGAAGGTCCAGCCATAAGGAAAACTGTGACTGGGCTGACGACTGTGCAGGTTCTGGCATGGCACATTCGACCAACCCTGCCCATTTCCTCATACAGCACCCAGTCAGAGGGTAATTCGGCCAAGGTGGTATTGTGGTCGTTTCCATCACGAAGAACACTGCTTGGGTGGAATCTCACCTAAAATTTTTGATTGGAAAGCTGTAAATAATAGAAAAGAAAAAATACCCGTGACTCAGTTCGTGTTCGTAACTGCTGGTGAACCCTATCAACTCTGGCCAAATTAGGGTACAGACCAGCAGTAAGGGCAGCTTTGATGACGGCCCAGTTGTCAGAAAACTGGTTCAGCTCATGCAAATCACCACCACCCCGTGTTCGGACAAATCCTGAGGCGCGCAACTGGCCCAGCAGCTGAGATCGGAGGCCAGTCACCATCTCAAGAACTGCATGAGAGATGAAGTGCTGCTCGCAAAATCGACGTTCACGATTTTTTGAACGAGATTCTTGCCAGAGCTATACAAAATTAACCAATTCAAGTGTAAAAAAATCATGTTATTCAAAAATAATAATTACTAGGAAAGCTCTGAGGAAAGTCATGTGATCACTGAAAGAGCCAGCTGACAATTGGCGCTTTGCTTCATGAGCTTTATGTCTCAAGAAAGGTACTGAGGGAAGTTGGAAAGGCTCCCTAGAAATTTCAATAACATATTATTTATACTAAATCAAATGGAGACATTTCAAACAAATTTAAAAAAATGTACGAATAATGCATTAAAATGGAATTCTACTCACTTATGGGCCAGAGTGCATACAATGGTGAGCACAGGATCCAAACAGCGCAAAAGGATTGCAAAGAGCAGACACTTTCCCAATCGAGGCTCAACAGCAAGGTTGACTAGATGCTGTCCAAGTTCTGTGAGATCTTCACACGGAGTGAGAGCGTCAGTCAATTTGAGGAGGTTGACCGCGTTCCTGGTGGCCAGAGGAGGTGGAGGTTCTGGGGCTTTTGCTAGAAAGTCGGCTATCGATGTGTTGAAGGGAGCAAGAAGTTTGGCAGCCAGACAGAGTTCGTGCAACGGCAAACGAAGAATTTCTGGAGTAGCGTGGGTCATGAACCACTGGAAACGCTGCTTGGAGTACATTCTGAAGCACTGGCCAGGCTGAAGACGACCGGCCCGACCACACCTTTGTTTGGCACAAGCCTAACATAAAAATTTTGTGAAAATTATTACAAAAATAAAACATTAAATTAATTTTAAAAAAAAAATTAATCGGAAACAAAACTTATAAGCAAATTTCAAATTTTCCTGGTATTTAAAGAGTTATTTTACATTATATTATTTACCAAACAAGTAATCAAACTTTGAATGTTTGCCAACAAAATGCTAAAATATCCAGATGGACTTAAATATAATAAACGATATAATAGTAAACCTAGAATTTGATTGTCTTATAGAAAACATGCAAAACCTTGGATATAAACTGTTTAAAAGAAATCTTTACAAATTTTACCTTAGAAATCCAAGTGCATCGAAGTTGACAAATTCCACTTCCTGCATCAAGCGATTTCTCCTTCAATTTGCCACAGTCAATGACGTAAACTACGTCTTCAATGGTAATACTGGTCTCTGCAATGTTTGTGGCCAACACAATCTTTCTGTCTTTCATAACTTTAAATGCTTGCTTTTGCTCCGACATCTAGATATTGATTTTAATTATTTTTTAGATTTTTGCTTCATTAAATCATACAAACAAAAAAGTTGATACATATTATGGATAATATTACCTGCATGTTGGAGTGAAGCATGAAAACCCTGTATTGTATTTGTAAAGGGCCCATGGCCTCATTGACTTTTTCAGCCACCTCTACAATATCCTCATATCCTGGCAAAAATACTAAAATGGCTCCTGGTCCTGAGTTTGCAGACAAATGGGCAACTAAAGCAGCCACTAGTTTGTGGTCTATGTTTTCCTCAGCAGTGGCATTGTCCTTCTGGTATGACTCCAGTATTTGTTGGTCGCGGCAGACAACGACTCCTGATTCGGCGTGGTTCTTCAGCAAGGTGGCCACCTCGTCATAACCGCCCTCAACTGCAAACTCCAAGGCAGTGAAATCGTTGAATGCTGTGGCTGACGGATCTGCTCCTTTTGAGAGGAGTTGGGCAACAACGTCAGGTCTGTTCTTAGCTGCAGCAATCATCAAGGCTGTAGCCTGGGTGTAAGTGTGTCGATGGTCGACTGTTCGACCCTCCAGTAGAGCAAGAAGAAGACCAAAGTTTTGGTCACTGCCATCGTTCCAAGCAGCCTCCATTACTTCGTCAATTTGATTTATTAATTTGGCATCAACTGCTTCTGATTTCTTGCGTTTTGAGTCACCAGCGCCTTCATATCCAGTGCTAAAAATTAAATTATGATTATAACAAAAAATTAGGAAATGCTGAACTTTGTCTTATTTAAAGCAAATTAAGTATCCCAAATAGCAAAAATTTATCCTATTAATGAAAATTTGCATGGAAGTAGGGTAGGAACAACGTGTCAAATTTCATTATTTGCGATCTAGCATGGTTCGGCCGACAGAGCCAACAAAAGTTGCCGATTTTTTCTTTTGAAACTTGCTTCACATCCCCACTGCCGCGCTCTCTTCTAATCGCTGCTGATAGAGCGTTGATTTCAGCGTTGATAGATAATTAAATTATGTATTTTTAAAATGCCATTTTAAAATTAATTTTGACTAGGAGTCAAGTTAATCAAGTTTTAGCGAGAATTTTGTTCCGTCGATTTTAAAAAAAAATTTAAAAAAAAAATATTAACCTAAATAGAAAAATGTTGCCAATAAAATTTCATGAAATTCTTTCATAGACCTGATGACGTCAGAATTTTTTACTTATGTTTGATAGGCTCAAAGCCTCAAAGTAAAAATTTAATTTTTTATCATAGAATAAATTTTTTTTAAATTTTTTCAAGATAGCCAATCGATTGGAAAATTTATTTTAATTTTGGTATTCAAAATTCATCTAAAAATCTTGAGCAGTTTCAAAATAAGAAAATAATATATGATGGTACCTCAAACTGCTTTCAAAGTCGAGGGCGGCATCAGAGCGCTCATGAGAAAGCAATCTTCAGCTTAAATACTGCTCAATATTTCTTGATGAAATTTGATTCAATTTGAACTATAATAATGAATTCTACTGCTTAATTCTCATTACATGTTAATTACAGTGTCTCACGACTCACGAAATATTCCAAGGTTGATAAACAAATTAAATATGTTCAAATACTTACAGTCGCAAGATATCCTCGAGATAAAACTCCTCCACATCATAAAGCTTGCCAGGAACTGCAAGGGACAATTTCTGTGTTACCAGAAACTTGAATGCACAAATTTTCTTACCATTGACAACAACGGCTCCTCTGAAGTAGGTGGTGAGCACATTGAGATCAGCAGTGGCAGACATGAGCACCAGACGAAGGCCTCTGCATCTAGCTAGCATGTCTCTGAGGACAAGCAGTAGAAAGTCACAGTGGCGGTCCCTCTCGTGCACTTCGTCCACAATTACGTGGCTCACAGAGGCCAGAGCGGTATCTCCGGCCATCAGGGAACGCAAGAGCACTCCGTAAGTGCAATACGTCAGAACTGAACGGGGTGAAGTCCTGACAAATTATAAATATTTTTTTAAATTTGTATTTCAATTTCCTCATCTACCATTGGTCAAAATGTTAAAATTGGAAATTGATAATATTTAATGTGGTTAATGACAATCTGTGAGTGATGGGTAGATTAGGTACATATTACAGTTTTCAATTAAAATATATGGACGATAATAAATTCAGCATTAAATTTACAAAAAAAATTAGACCAATTAACACTAATTTAGTTAGTTGGTAATCACATTATGAAATTGTATGCAGAGTTAAAATTATCTACTAAGTCTAAAATATTATGTTGATTAAAAAATACTACGATCATACTTGCTCTCAAGACGAACTTGGTAGCCAATAGTTGTTCCAAGTTCTTCCCCACGTTCGGCAGCCACCCTTTCCGAAACACTGACTGCTGCAATGCGTCTGGGCTGTCCGCAGATCAATCTGCAGGCCTTTCCAGTGGCCGTGGCCTGTTCGAGCAGGTACTGCGGTACCTGAGTGGTTTTGCCACTGCCAGTCTCACCGCAGATGATGGTCACCTGATTAGCAGCAATCGCGTTCAGGATCTCATCTTGGTAAACAGTAATTGGCAGAGCAGCTCTCTGGAGAACAATCTCTGGACTGGGGTTAGCCTGAGGTGGCACTTGGGCCACAGTGCTTGACAAACGACCAAGAATGCGACAGGCGGCATCTTTCTTTGCCTCACTGACTGCAGTACGAACCATTGCCTCCATACGTCCTATAATGAAAGTAAGCATTAATTAAATAAATTAAATTTATGGGAAGAAATTTATTTTTGCAATTTTATTTCATAAGTTAAATTTTTCATACTTTCCGCATCTCGATCAACGTAGGGTGCAACCTCCTGCCTCTCTTTTGGAGTGACAGGATAACGAGACAGCAGCCGTTGAATTTCATCAATAGAAGTGGCTCCCAAGGGCAGTGTGGCGTCGTCACCAATAATGGTGGAGCCATCCCTTTTGAAGATTGTGAGGAACCGATTTGGTCCTTTGCCTCTGCTCTTGGACTTCAAGTTGTGCTGTTCCGACTAGAAATATGATTTGAAGTTCAATCAAATGATCAAGAATGATTATAACAAAATTATTGTGCAAAGCTCTTACCAACTGATGCACAAAAGCTCGTTGTTCTCTCGTGAGAGACGAAGGGAAAGAGTGCTCCATCCGAGTGTGGTCATTCAAGAACTGCCGCACGGTCATTCCAACGGCCATTTTTACCTCTTCTTCGATGGTATTGCCTATTGCCATCCCAGGACGCTGTTTTTTCCGCGGCATTTTGCCTCAAACTAGTGGCAGAGGAAAGGGAGGAAAAGGACCGTAGTTTAGTGGTGATCGAATTTTTCTTGTTGCTGCATGCAAAACTCGATTCGACATCAAAGGTTCAACTCGTGAAATTAAAAACATAACATTGTTGCCAACATGATTTGTTCCATACTGTATAACAAAAATCAATAAAAAAATTTGTTTGTCAAATTTTTTCTAAAATTAAATTAAATTCTCGTTGTGCAAACAAAAATAAATATTTTTTATTGTTTATATTTTGTAAATAAACAACAATAATAAGTTCGAATTGGTTCGAATGTTACAAAACCACCAATAAATTTGTTTGACAGAAGATATAAGAACTATGATTTATTGACCAATGTTGGCAACAGTTTGTGGTTTCTTACTGCAATGGCGCGAAAATAAAACAATATAAATTTTAAAATGATAATTATTTGTAAAATGAAATTAACTTCTAAATTAATATAATTATTTAGTAACTAATTTATTATATAAATAAATTATCAAAAAATTTATATGGTTATTGAATGATTATTTTAAATTTAACAAATTAATAATTAAAAATACCCCTCCCATTTAAAAAAAAAAATGTTCATTAAAAGCAAAATTTAATTACACAAAATTTTATTTAAAAAAAAATTGGAAGTGCGTCTATTGAAATAAATACAACAATAAAAACACAAATTTTTTACATTTATTAAATATTTATAAAATAATATTAAATTAAAAATATGAAAATATTAGTATTTAATAATAAATTTTTTTGTATATTATATTTCTTATATTTCAAATCAATGTACACCAGTAAATAAACAATATTTTTTTTTTTTGAAAAATAAATCCATAACAAAATTTAATTCATTTAATAATATTTTGGCAGCGCAATTTGTTTGCCCCAATGCCCCAATTCTAGTTTCTATCCCATTTTTAATCAATCAATTCTAGTTTTCCTTTTTTAATTTATAAATTTAAAAATTCTCTATAATTCTGCAAGGTCAATAGAACTTCATTTTCTTCTTCAATTTTTTACTTCCTCAAATGTTCATCAAAACCGAAATCAATTTCAACTAAAAATAGATAAGTAGGCTGTGCGTTTGTTAATTGAAAAGCGTGTTGATTAAATTTATTCAAGGTTTATTATAAAATCATCAAATGCTCATTGACATAATGGCTACAGAAGACAGCAGTATCAATATGTTCAAATTGTGTCTGTTCTCTTATAAAATATCTATGAACTGGGGTAACAGGCGCACAAATCAAAGCCTAAAATACCTCAAATCAAATTAATAAATATGTAACAACAATCATTATTCTCATTTAGTTTTTCTTGTGACGTAATAATTAGAATAATTAAATATGTTACTAGCAAATAGAATAGCAAGTTCACTTCTGTTTTCTCTCAATGTCCATGTGGCGTAATAAATGTGTTATTAGCACTTGAATCATATTATGTACATTTACAATCAATCGTTAAACTCAACACTTTACACTGTACATTGAGCGCGATTCGTTTTCGAACAACAAACCCTCCGAGCGAGTCTTGATTTGCTACATAAATCACCAAGAGAAATAAACAATAAATTAAAAAGAAGAGAGGAAACTGAACGAGGGGGCGCACTTGCTTCGATGCTGTTCTAAACAAAGTGGTCAAGGGCTGGAATGTCTGCAAGAGGTCAAGTTAGACACGCAATCATCATCGTCACCGTCCAATAAATAAAAGAGAGTTACTGCGTAGAGGTAGAGGTCCATTCTTATTATTGTGCATCATGAAAAAAATTGCCACAGGCCACTGCTTGTATGATAGTAGTTTATTCCCTTAAAAAGTCATCACAACCACTTGTTCGTATCTTACAGCTCGGAAAAAAACTTAAAAATGTTCTCTCCTCCAGACACAAAAACGGCGCTCCACGATGAGATCTTTTTAATTCGAACAAGACGGATCATTCTATCAGCTGCTTCTTGGGGGCAACCGGGTGGGGTTTGTAAGACGCGAGCGGCGGAGTGCTGCTCGTTTTATAAAAAAAACTTACATGTTGCCTTAGCACAGCCATTTTTCTTGATGCTCCTCCTCTCAAACCGTCGGCACAACAGCAGAGAGAGAGAGAGAGAGAATTTCTCAAAATTTTTACTACAACTGCTCCACAAACTTGGTCAGTTGGTCCTGCGGCGTGATGGCGTTTGTGTCGTTGACATCACCACCACCCATGCCCATCTGCTGCGGCGACTGCATTGGCATTTGGTGTTGGCCGCCTTGCAGCTGCGACAGCATCATCTCCGAAGGGCCGCCACCGTCGTTGCTCCCGACACCCATGCTGGGGTGCGGGCTGTGGGTCGGCGTGTGGTGCGGGTGCGGAGAAGGAACCGGATGGCTGCGAGGAGATGGAACAGCATGCGTTCGTGGCGACTGAATGGGCCCTCCGCCTCCTGCTCCTCCAACAGAAGGTGGGCCACCCGTTCTAGGGGAGGCATTAGGTTGCGGCGACCTTGCGATGGTGTTCGGGGGAGGAGACCTGACAGTCTGCATAAGCTGTTGCTGCTGACTCTGCTGCAAGGGTGGTGCCATCATTTGTGGCGAGACCGGTGGCGGGGTTGGCCTCAGCTGGGCCTGTCCTTGGGCTCCCTGCTGTTGGGGTGAGGGAAACTGCTGGCCGTACTGGTCTGTGGTGAAAGTGTGCTGCTGGCCAAAACCCATTTGCTGACGCTGCGGTCTTTGTGAGTAGGGTGGTGCTGGGGGTTGTTGGAAGCCACCCTGAGCCTGCTGGGCTTGCTGCTGGGCCTGTTGTTGTTGTTGCCGCATAGCCATCATCTGTTGCTGATGTTTGTACCACTGCTGCTGTTGCTGCTGCTGTTGTTGCTGTTGCTGCATTTGGTTCATCATTTGTGGATTGGCCATTTGTGCAGCGCCCATACCGGCAGTGTTAACACCCTGCTGCTGAGCTTGCTGTTGCATTTGCATTCTCTGCGTTTGCTGCTGCTGTTGTTGCTGCTGCATGGCGCCTGCACCCAATTGCTGTTGGTGCTGCTGCATCATTTGTTGCTGTTGACCGCCTGGCGGCATACCGCCCGCTTGAGGGACCTGCTGTTGGCCCTGTTGCATTCCAAATTGCTGCTGCTGCTGCTGCTGTTGTTGAGGTTGACCCTGTGGATTTTGGCCTTGCTGTTGCGGACCCTGTTGCTGGTACATCTATAAGGTTTATGGGAAAATTAATTGGTAAAAAATTACTATACAGGATTAGTAAATAGAATTATCAAAATTCAAGTGAATTAAAAATGGAGTACATTAAATTGTTTAGCGATTAAAAAACTCAAAGCCAGTTGACCTTGTTGCAATTTAGGGTCAAATATCAAAAGTATAATGAAAAAGAAACATTAATGTTCTCTTACGCTCATTATATTGACATTAATAGATTTATAAACATACAAAAGAAATTTGTAAATTAATTTGTTTATTGTTTATTTCCAAACAAATTAAGGAAGCTTTGAGAAATTTTAAAATTATAGTGTGAACAAGGATGGACAAAATTGAAAAAGTGATCTGCTATTGCAATCGTGATCGAACCATTTTTTGAAAAGATGATCGCAATCGCAAAAGGTGGTCAATCCCGTGCTATCATTTGCGATCTTTTTACAATTGCAGGAAGCAATTTTAATTCTTAAACTTGGATAATTTAATGCTAAATCTGGAAAAAAACTGACAATGTCAGGTAATTTGATAAAAAAAAAATAATAATAATAATTAAACGAAGACTTTTCATTTATGAAGTTCATTTTTGTTAGGATTCCTTGTTTTGAAAACAGAATTGATAAAAAACCGTTTGGAATTTTTTTTTTCAGAAATATATTTGATCGCAAAAAGTCGCAACATTTCAATACTATAAGATCACAATCGCAAAATTTGAGATCGCGTCTATCCATGATTGTAAATTTGTGTCACTTTTAAAATTGATGAAAAAAACGCTGCTTACCTGTCTTTGCTTGATAAATGCTGCCATCAGCTGAGGATTCTTCTTCAAGATCTGCAAAATTTGCTGCTGCTGCTCAGGCGTGTTAGGTGACTTCAATGTCTGCAACAATAATTGCAAAGCCTGCTTCTGGTTTGGATGGACGCCTCCAGGCTGGCCAGGTTGCATTTGTGCACCCATGGCCCCAGGACCAGCAGGGCCAGCCATCTGGGGACCGGCAGCCCCCATCATTGGTTGTTGTTGCTGTTGCGGACTCTGACCCATCATCTGGTTTGGCTGCTGTTGGCCAGGTTGCTGCATGGGCTGAGGAGCACCAGGTCTAATTCCACCTGGACTCTGCATTCCTGGACCAAAACGGTTCTGCCATTCCATGCCCATGCTAGGCAGAGGCGACTGTTGCATTGCAGGGCCTTGGTTCATTTGGTTCATCGGCCGCTGCATCTGTGGGGGTGGCATTATGGCTGGCTGACCTCCGACGGTTGGAGTAACTTTGCCATAGCCTGTGAGTGGTGCATGTTGTCGTGCAGCCTCCTCCTGAACCTGAATTAAAATTATTTGTTTTGTAAGTCACTGAAATATCAGAAAATTTAATTTCATAGTTTACTTTATTAAATACGTTATCAATGACTGACTAATATAAAGTTGTTAAATTAATACAAGAAATCAGTTCAACAATAAAAATTTTTGATTTGAATTTGAAGTCAGCTTTTCCTCAAATAAAACCCATCGAGGAAAAGTCGTCTATAAATTCATATCACCATGAATCAACCGCCGATTGTGAAATTCTACCACACAAATAAAAAGTGTATTAAAGTAGTAAAAAATGAAATCATAAGTTTCATATAAAAATATTTTTACCTGTTTAACAACTTGCAAGACATTTGCAGGTGGTCCTTGTGATCCAGGTTTCATGCCAACACCAGGTTGGTGTGGTGATTGCATGCCCATGATTGCAGCTTGTTGAGAACTTGGACCTTGGTGGCTCATGCCCATAACTGCAGGCGCCGCTCCCGTTGGTGTGCCTGACATGGCGCCTCTTGAGTTTTGTGTAGTCATAGCCATTCGCCTTCGAATCAACTGGGCTTGCTGGAGTCGCTGCTGCATCTGTTGTTGCTTCAGCTTTTGCTTGATGTTTGAGCAGAAAGGCACGGGACACTTGGTTTCCTGGCAGTGCTTTGCATGGTAACAACACAGGGCTATAAGTTGCTTGCATATAGGACAGCCACCGTTGGTCTTTCGTTTGCAGATCTTTGTGTGCTGCACGACTCTCTTCATCTTCTGACAGCTTGGAAGTCTGCAGTTGGCATCTCTACACTGGCAAGCATGAACAAGAGACTGAATGCAACGTTGAATTGATAGCTTCCTTGCCTCCTGAAACACAAATTTGCATTGTTGAGTATATTTTGAAATTAATTATTAAATTTTTCTGAAACAGTAAATTTTCAATATGTACACAAAAGAGGAACATACCTGTGGATTTGCTTGTTTGGCATCAGCAGGGGAGGATCCGTCGTCAAGGTCGAAGCCCAGCCTGTCCATCTTGTGTTCATGTCCGTCTTTCTCGTAGCAGGTGACACACAAATCATAGTCCTAATAATGCAATACATTTCAATTTTAAGCTCTAGCTAAATGAAGCACTACTTACATCACACTGTGTGCAGTGCCACCTGGTCTCTACATGGTTCTTGCAGTTATTACATGTGTAGACAAAGCGGTCCTGGCCCTGGTTGTGCAACTCGTAGAGCATAGCCATCGTTGAGTATTTTGCTCTTCGAAGAGAGGAGAATTCATAATGTCGGTCACGAGCCATTGTCAGGAAGGCATCACGACCGTCCATCAATTCGCAATTTATTAAAGGATCAGGATCTGTTATAGGCTGAAATATAAGTACAGATCAATTAATATCTTATCAGGACTTGGTATTCTAAGTGATTTTCACCTGTAAACTTGCTGCTGACTGTGCAGAGTGCAACCGTATCACAAAGAAGACCTCTTTGTGCTTCTCCATGGTGGCAAATATTTTTGTCGAGAGGTCGTTGCCAGTCTGTAGAGAATTTGACTTTTTGCTGTTCTTCCGCTGATTGGCTTTGGATTTATTAGACTTCTTTGCTTTCTTCTGACCCTTCTTTTTGCCTTCAGGGCCTGCATCACTCTCCTCAGCACTTGCAGCTGCTGCCGCCGCTGCTTCAGCAGCCTTAGCCTGCTTACGCTTTTCTTCTTCCTCCTGATCCAACTCCTTTATGCTTTCCTCAAGTACATTTGGCCAGAAATCCCCCTCAAAATAGGGCAGCTCAGCAGCTGAGCTCAGTTTGTCTTCAAGTGCTTGTTTCAAAATATCCTGTATATACATAAAAGTTAGACTAACCACACTTAATAATTCAATAAAACAATTACCTTGTAGTCCAGTACAATTCTCTCAATGATACCCTTGTCAAGCATCTTTTTGTACCATTCCTGCAGTCGCTTCGGCTTTGGTATTTTTTGCTCAGGAGGATGGCAATGGAAAATGTAGTCATCGCCTTCGGAGGGTGGACATGCCCATATGTGGGCCATCGTGTAGCCAAGCTGCTTTACGTAGTCCAAATAACCAAGTAAAATTTCATGATAAACAGCTGTCCTGAACTGGCGAGGACGGAAAAAGTGTACGGAGTCAAGGTATGCGATGTACACTCTTCTCGTGTTTGGTGTTGGACACTCCGATCCATACTCTTGGACATGCATTCCAAAAAAGCACACATCGGCCCCATCTACTTCTTCGAAGGCAAAAAGTGCTTTTGCTCTATATGGGAACGTCTCAGACAGGTCGCCAGTATCAACAAACCTATTCATAAAATTTCAAATTAACATTTATTGATCAAAAGTTTGCATTTATCATCATACCTCGACTTCATTCCTGGTTTGACTTCTACGATTTTATCAGAGCTTGAAACCACTCTTATAGAGACCTCGCCAGCACCAGCTTCCTTCTTCTTGAGAAAATTATTCACCCTGGTCTCTATGTAGGTACCTAACTTTGTGACCGGAAGCTTTTTGGAGTTAAACTTGTTTTCTTTGCGCTTTTTGCCTTGCTTGTTAAGACAATGGCTGCAAGTAAATCTGAAATTGAATACTCAAATTTAGTACTTACATTTAACAGTTTTAATTAACAGCTAATATACCCATTGGGCCATATGTTCTCCATGTGCAATTCGCATATCTGATGAAGTTTGCGGCCGCAGTCGGAGCATTCAACAAATGCCTCCAATTCAAGGTTATCATTCTTCATTTCCACAAATTGGTCTTTCTTGATGACCCTAAAATGAATTTATGAATTAAGACTTTTGCATGAAATGCTGATTGGTAACTCACGTTTGAGGCTGAGTAGGGTCATCGCCAAGGGTGATCGAGTCGCCAGGAATCTCGTTGAAGCACTTTTGGCAGTATGTGTATCTGTTTCCAGCAATTCCATATTGAATTAGGCTGAGGTCCAATGAATCAATTGTGGAGAAGCAGGCGAGGGTGCGCATAGGGTGCAGGGATGGCCAAAAAAGCAGGCAAGCAAGGACAGGTTAGAATCACAAATATCAGGTAAAAGCAAAATAAAAATGAATAAAAAAAGTGCGATGGACAGGGAAGAATTAAAAAAATGTGTTTCAAATTCAACTAAGATATGTGCCAAAAATAGGAAAAAAGTATCCATCGATAGTGATGTATTTGTGTTCTCATGCAACAGCTAACGACTAAATTGAAATTGAGTTTTACCTGCTTTGGTAGCTGAAATACTTTGCATCACGGGGAATAGTACATAGCTGCTTGCCATAGCAGCACAACACCTGTGGGTTAAAAGTGTATTTGCGCCCACAGCAATATCCCAGACTTTGCATCACAGGGTCGATTTCCACCTCAAATACCTCAGACAGCTGTTAAAGAAAAATGCATTTATTTTCTGCTCAAGATGCTTGATAATTTACTTTAATCTCTTACCTTGGTGCAGTATCGATAAACTTTGGAAGTTTTCCTATTATAGAGCCAGGCATTGTCGAACATAAGCCAGACATCATCTACATATTCCCACGGGTCTTGGTACATGCCTGTGTCTAGTTTACGCTTTATGGTGGACAAGTCCATTGGCTTTTTAATAATATCAAAATAGTCAGGAATGCCGAGATTCTGTGGATCTACGGGTTGCCTGAAGGGATTTGATTCAGGGTCTAATCTGTACAGCTTTTCTAAAGTTGGCATCAATGCTTGCCGCAGTTCCTCTGGCTTAAACACTGAAAGAAGAGGAACAACAAAAATACTAAGTTATCTGAATTCAAATTTATGATCCAAGAAACTTACTGCATTTGCGCTTCTTGTCTGAAGAACCAGGTGGCTGAGGAATGGGTTCTGGGATGGGAGGTTTAATGTCAGGGGTGTCTGTGGACATAGGCTCATCTTTGATCTCTCTTTTGATCTCTCGTTTGATTCCAGAGGGACCAGCATCATCATCTCCTTCGTCCATCTTTGATTCACCATCTGGATCAGGTTTGATGTCACGCTCCGATTTGATGTCGCACTTGAGATCCTTGCCTGATGGGGTGTCATCTTGATGCTTTCCTTTGCCCATACCACCTCCACCCTTTCCCATTCCGGCGCCACCTTTTCCTATACTGTTATAGGAAGGAGTCTCTGGCTCGGAAGCAGCGTTCAGAGCCGCTGCAATTGCTTGGTGCTGAGAAGACATGGACACAGTTCGAATAGGAGTTTTTGGGACCTGTTTCAGTTGGGGCTGCGGAGTCATTTGGCTCTGTTGAGGCTTTTGATTGCCCATCAAATTGTGCTGCTGCTGCTGTTGCATCTGTTGCTGTTGAGAATTCAACAAGTTTGCATTGAATTGCTGTTGTTGTGGCTGCTGATTGGCACCAAACGGAGGTGGTGCCGTCACGTTCGGTGTTGCCATTCGACTCTTCATCATGTCTGAGAATTGCTGCTGCTGCTGTTGTTGTATACCAGCCATTTGTTGTTGCTGCTGGTTCTGCATATTGAAGCTATTGGCACCCTGCTGCTGATTGGGAGTCATGCCTCCCATTCCCATGCCCATCGCCCCTTGCTGATTGGGGCCAGTAGGACGCATGAATTGCTGAGGCATTCGAACGCCCGCCCCTTGTTGACCTTGCTGGTTCAGCAATTGCTGCTGCTGTTGTTGCTGTGCTTGCTGCTGTTGGGGTGTGGGCGCTGCACCTTGAGCTCCTGCCAACTGATTCATACTCGGAGAAAGGTTACCCAAGCCTCCAGGAGTGCCCGCTGCTGAATTGGCCTGCATTTGGCCGCCGGCTGCCTGAGGACCGGTAGGACGGACACCCTGCTGAGACTGCTGCATTAATTGCTGCTGTTGCTGCTCTTTCCGTCGCTGCCGCTTTTCCTCTGCACAGGAAAACAAATATGATGACAAAAGAATACTTATAGTCAAAATAAGCCAAGACAATGATTGAAGATTATCACTTGTCTTTTATGTTTGAGATATCTAACTTAATAATAATAATTTAATAAACAAAATATTTAAATTAAACATCTATGTGCCGCTACTTAATTTTCTGATGATTTGCATAAAAAATTGGTAAAATGCAAATAAAAAAAATTGTTGCCTATAATTAAACAAAAATTTGCTGTACTCACCAAGCTCCTTTTGTATCTTGTATATTTTCTCCGCCAGTAAATGATAATATTCAGACTGCAGACAGAAAATATAAAAAGTATTAGATTATTTAATATTTGTAAGCATCTCTTTCAACTAACCCTTGAATTCGCCATTTCGTACATATCGCCTTCAACTTTCTTAGCATAATTAACAAGATTATTCATTCTTTTATCCATCATTGCTTGTGGGTCAGGGGTAGGGAATATTGCTTGAACTCTGCAAATTTAATAAAGATACATAAATATTTAAACAAGAAATTAAATCCTGAAATGCTTACAGCTTATGAACTAGGTGGTTTCGTAAGTCTGGAGTGACCGACTGATGCCACTCTTTTGTTCCTTGGACAGGTGCTGCAGTCACTTGGCCCTGCAGGCCAGGAAGGCGGCCGTCTGCCAAGCCCTGTTGCTGCTGGTTCATCAGGAACTTTAGAAAAAATAAAACGATTCATAATTACAATGATTGCTTATTTTCAAAGTTTTCAGAGTAATTATTATTCGGTTTATTCGTTCGATAAAATTCAGTTCAAAGACAGAACTTACGCAAATAAATAAAATAAATATTTAACATAACTGAAATGACTCTATGGAGGTATTAATACTTACATTTCCAGCTGATTGAGGATCACTAGGCGCAACATGTCCCCCAAAGAGGGCCTTCTGCATGTTAGTTACAGCCGCACTTGAAGGTTGTGATTGCTGTTGCTGCTGATTCTGCGGAGTCGGTGGACCCACCTGCTGGTCTGGAGGGATGCCCAATAGGACGTTTACGTTGGGAACAGAAGAAGTTGTGTTCTGCCCAGCTAACATCCTGACCTGACCAGGAGCTGTAGGCGTGCCTGGTTGTCCCATTGTTGCACCTTGGGGGCCTGTTGCCGGTCCTCCTGGGAGTCGAACGCCACGGCCAACACCAGTTAACATAGGGTCCGAGGGTACTGAAATGCCAAGTGCTCCATATGCTCTTCGCATGTCGCTAGCATTTGGCTGTGCGGGTTGAGCTGCTACGGCTATTGTAAAGGAAATCCTTAAGTTAATATTTTTCCTTGTGAAAAATTATTTCAAAGAAAAAAATGCTTTCATAGTGTATCATAAGAATGCAAATACGACAAACTTACCATTTTGGTTACTCCTGCTCTTATCAGCCTGTTTAAGAGGCAGGCACACAGGACAGTCTGATCTGGTACAGTGCTTCCAGTGGGAGATTATTTGGCGGGAAGAGGAGCAGTGAGGCACTGCGCAAGCCTTGCCTGCCTGGCAGGTTGTCATGTGATTGAGGACATTTTTCATGGTTTTGCAGTGTGGAAGTGCGCACTGGAAGGTGATATTAAAAAATTAACAAAACATAAAAACCTTTCACTTATCTGTTAATTATTTCAAGCAAGTTTTGGTTCTCTAAAGTGTACTTACCTGCCAGTTTTCCCCGTTTGCCTGGCTCTCTCTGCGCTGGCACTTATGGGCATGCAGCAGTAACACCAATTGCTGCTGTATAAGTTTTCTCTTCTCAGGATCAGCCGCAGGCTGGCCTGGCTGCTGAGATGCTCCAGGCTGGGCAACAGGTTGACCTTGTTGAGCTTGTGCCGGAGACTGCGCTGGGGGCTGCACCTGTTGGCTCCCGTCGGGTTGACCCTGCTGGGCTGCGCCAGGCACCTGTTGGGGTCCTTGCTGCGGCTGCTGTGGCGGAGCCTGGAACCGTTGACCAATTGTCATATTTGGAGGTGCGATGCCACGCTGTGGTCCCATTTGGGGATTGGGTGAACCGTAGTTGTAGCCACCAGGGCCACCCATCATAGGATTCATTCCTGCTTGGGGCATCCTTTGACCTAGAATAAAAAAAAGAACTAGCAGTTAAAATATATTCTCTCGTTACTTGTAAGATGTTAATAATTTATATTACACGTTTGTCAAATTAACATTTGTATATGCAATATAGTGACTATATTTTAAATTTGATTTTTTTAGTGTTTCATTTTTTCTGCTATTCAAGTAACCAATTTTTAACCTAGCATTTGTTGCTGTTGTTGCATGTGCTGCTGCTGCTGAGGTCGGAGATGCGGCCTATTGGCCATCATAGGCCCGTTCCCCTGGTGCATGCCCATCATCTGTGGCTGTCCAGGCTGCTGCTGCTGTTTGATACCCATGGGTCCGCCAAGATTCATAGAGTTTTGAGGCATTCCATTGCCAGTGGCCATGCCCATGGCCATAAGATTGTTGTTGTTTGCCATTACAGCGGCCCCTTGGCCACCTCCTGCGCCACCCATCATTAGGTGCTGCTGCTCAGACTTGTTTGGCGGCGACTGCATAGTCTTGGGACCACCTGGGCCCAAATGGCCGCCAGGGCCAGCACCTTTGTTCATCAGATGCGTAAGGTTGGGGTGGCGCTGGTTGAGACTCGAGCCGCCTCCAGTGTCGGGAGCAGACATGCCTCCTCCAGGGTCGCCGTTCTGCATACCCTGACCAGGTCCAGGCCCTGTAGGCTGTTTCGCAACCTCACTGGCGCCCCACGAACTCGAGGACATGAGCTCATCTGGAAGGTCATTCTCTAGGTCCAGCATGTCCGTGTTCGAAAAGAGATCTGTAACAGTGGATGGCAGTGGTAAGTGCAGGGACAAGAAAGATGCCAAGTAAAATGCAAGCAGCGGCAGGACGTGCGCCTTCCATGCTAAAAGGTGGTGGTCAGGAAGCGGCTGAAGAGTCAATAGGGTTAACTTACTACTGCTCAATAAAAATGTATATTTATTTATATTTACGGACTGATACACACTTGTTGGAAAATGAATGTTAGTCAAAAATTCTGTCAAACAGGTGGTGGTGGCAGTGATTGACAAAAAGGATCAGAAAGATTAAGGTGGTGTTTTCCTGAAAAGCAGGTTGTAGGGCAGAAGAACATGCTTTCATTTAGAGTGGGGTTTCTTGCACTTACAAAAAAATTAAGTGATGGCCAAAATGTATGTGAATCATAGACAAAATAAACTTTTGAAATACCAATTTTAAAATGTAGTGAATAAATTTTACGTTCCTTTGCTGTGGTACAAAAAAAATTAGGAAAAATTTCTGAATTTGGTTTAAATCTTAAATTCATATTTATTATTATTATTTTTTTTTAATCTTTCACTCTGTGCATTACAAAAATATAATCTTAAAATGATTACAATTTTTGGAACTTCAATTTAAGATTTGGATAATCTGATTCACACTGGGTCAAAAGTTAGAACTATTTGAGGGTGACAAAAGGCAAATAATTAATGTATATTTAAAACAAAAAATGATAAATTAATCATTTAAATAAGCAGTTTTCGGAATCCAAGAATAGAGTTCCATTATTTTACTATAATTCACAATTTAGATTTGGAGAAAAAGGCAGATTAGATGCTTTGTTAAGAGGTCCGAGGTAAATTTCTTTCAAAAGAGTCATGCAACCCCCGGAAAATGAAACAACAGGTTCTTCTGCGGCTGGGCAAGGAATTTACTTCTCTTCTGCGACCTCCATGGCGTTGAGTTGGAAGATGCGTCTTCACTGCCCAGCGGGGACGAAGAGCCAAAATCGTATGGATTGTGATGGAGCAAAACTGCGAACGCAAATGAGCAAGTTACTCCAGTTGTCGCCCAACTTTAGACTAATGTATGTGACATAAATTTTTGTAACAGTCAAATGTCACAGTTGTGGTTAAGAATATATTTTTTTTCAAATAGAATAAACGATTGGTGAGCGAAAGTAACTTGCTTGAGGGGAGGAATCAAAAAATCTGTATTAAATAACAAGTTAAAAAAAATTACAGATAGGGTTATGTATGCGTGAGGAATGCATGAGGAAAATCACAGACGCGCCACTTTTTAGTCTGAAGCTGGTGTAAAGTAAAAATTCTTAATTTTGCAAATTTCTCGTGCTTTCCATTCGGGAAAGTCTTAAAAGAAAAGGTCGGGCCGAGAGTCGGGCCAGGGGCGAAACACCCGAATGTGAGCATGTAAATAAACAAAAGGTGCGGGTGCACCTGCCAAAATGAAGACGCCGGAACGCCTCCTTTTGCAAATCAAGCGTTTCGGCCTCGGCCCGCTTCGGTCGGCCCAAAAAGCGGTCTGGGCTAAAATTTGGTCACTCACCAGACGAATCGGACGGGCCCTGGAAGGGGTCAGCGAGTTTTTGCCGCTTGTTGGGCGGACCGTCAACGATGTGATCAGCCATGGTGTTGTTGACGATTGCACTGCTCCGAATTTTTCGTAGTATTTTTCAAATCGCGTTATAGACGCTTTTTGCGGCCGGGGCCTCACTTCATTGTCCTGATGGGTGGCTGCGGCGTCAATCGCATGCCAGCGGCGCCGAGTAAGTGCTCACTGAGCGGCTGCCCCATCGGCGGGCATCCTCGTATGCCTCTTGCGGCCTGCCTCTCACTCCGCACCGACTGACCGTACAACCCCAGCAGCCAAACACCGAATCCAATTGCGGCGTCAAAAGGGCTTCCACGCCACCTCTGACTTGACCAGGGCGCGCACAAAGTTACCGAATCACTTTACAAGCCGCCTCAAGCGGCCCCGAATATCACAAAACGCCGCAATTTTGATTACAAATTCCAAAATTTCTCGGAGTCTGTGCTGGGCAAAATGGCCGCTGTTGATGAAAAGTTTTTCTACGCTTGTCAGAAAATATCCGATACATAATGAGAACTCGAGTAGCTCATTGGTGTACACCGGTCACGTGGCCAAATCTCAACCACCGATTGGCCGGCACAACACTTGTGACGTCACGCTGCTCCACACGGAAAGAGCCGAATGATGCTTTTGGCGGCCGCCGCCGAGAGCCGACACTGGCGAGCAAAGCTGCCACAGACTGCCAACAGAGGGCTATGGAGCCGCGCTAATTTACGCTAATTTAGTTCTAAAAGCGATAAATTTTTCGGAAATTCTACACGACGTTTTGACTTGCAATTTTTACATTGGAGTGACAAAAGATGCTTTTGCAGCATAAAATTTAAATCAAGCAAGGAATGTTTTAAAAAAAAACATCGTGAAATAAATTAATAGTCGTAGAGCCAAAAGCCATCAATATAATTATCCGCTATAAATTATATTATTATTATAAAATTATATTATTCTGTAAGGTGCAATATTTTTTTCTACATTTTGAAACTTGCAAATTTTAACGTTTATTAATGATTTATTAAATTTTGTTATAGAATATTTTGATATTGCAATATTTGTAAAATACATCAATCCAAAAACAAATGTTTCGCTGGTGAAATAATTTTATTGAATCAAAAAAATGCTTTTGCACTGAAAAATACATAAAATTTTTAATTTTCATCTTTTAAATGTCTGCTGAAACCTGTTAAAGAATAATACAAATTATTATATAAAGGTTATTTTAACTTTAAATTGGTTCAAAAATACCTCTGCTCCATTGGCGAGTTTGTGAAGTAGTTTTTTTATAAGTTTTAATCTTTCTAATATCTAAATTTAAATTTAAAACTGTAGCAATTATTCACAAGCTGCATTGATTTTGACAAGATTTAGACCTTTAATGTCACCATTTAAATTATCAAATATTACAGCTTGTGGATTAAAGCTGCAAGTCTTGGGATAAATTTATTTTCTTCAAAGACAATACCAATAATACGGCAAAGTTATTTTGGAACAGCCCAAACAAATTGAAATTTTAAAAAATTGATAAATTCTTAGAAAATGATTTAATTGAAATTTAATTTCTAAAGCTCTAACAAAATATTCAATGCATTGATAAATTTTCACACAGTTTAATATACACATGTATGTATGTTAAAAATGGATGCTTAAGATAAATGGACAGAATTAAAAATGTACGCCAAGCTTTCATGAAGTCATTAATAAGTGTAGGGTTACTGATTAGAAAGCAGAAAATTATTGATAATAAAACGTTCAAAGCACAGCATAGCTCACTAGTCTTTGTAGTAAGCCACTAAAGTGACAATATAAATCAAATCAACATTAAAAAGTTAAAAATTAATTTGCTAATCCCCTCTTTTAAATAATTTAATAGTTCTTTTAACATTTTTTTTTTTTTAATTCGTCTTATATGTTCCATCAAAAATTTCATATTGAAATTTTTCTTCAGCTTCCAGTTCGATTAACGCTGTTTTTCATTCTTTTTAGCTCTGGTTTGCATTGTTAGCAATTGATACCGGAGGCTGTGGCATGTTTTTTGAAGTTTCTCAGGCGCTTTGGATTTGTGCGTCGTCGTAGGTGGGTTTCCGTTGTTCCGTTCCTGTAGTTTCTTGCGGGCGGCCAAAACTTGCTGCTGAAGTCTCAGCTTGGATATCTTGCAAGAAGGCACAGGGCAACCTTCCGTTTTGCAGAACCGTGTGTGGGTGATGTTCAGCTTCTCGAACTGCTCGCATATGAGGCAGCCCTTCGTTTTGCAGACCAACGAATGTTGTGCCACCATCTTCAGCCTGCCGCAGCCGGACAGTCTGCAGTCTCTGGTCGTACAGTTGCTCATGTGCACCACAAGTTGAAGGCATACTTGGAGTTTGGCCGCCTTAAAAAGTAGGTCAAAGTTAATTTCTAGAAAAATTTAGGTCAAATCTAGAATAACGTTTTCAGTAAGAAACAAAGCTTGTGGAAATTCCAAAATAATTAAAATATAATTAGAGTAAAAATTAAAAATAATGCAAAAGGAAAAAAAATAAAAATACTAACCCGAGGTTTACAATTTTCAAGGTCATGATCATAAATTAATATTTTTTTTAAATTATTCAATAGAAATACGACTACGACAAGCGGGAAAAATAATTGTTATGGTAAATTTTACTATGATAAAAACCTAGTTATAATTGTACCTCATTTTCCATCATAATACCTTGCTTGCAAAACTGCGTGGCGATTGTCCTCTTCGTTCCTTTGAAACCGAATCGTTGGGCTGCGGCTCCTCCGCTTGAATGGTGTTAGAAGGCAATGACCCGTCGTCAGTGCCGAGTTCAGGACAGCAGCCTTTCATTTCTTGGTCCGGAGTCATCCTTGAGATTGAAGAAAATCTACAAAAAATAACCCAGTTTCTTCTCGGAGGGCCGCAGCAACCGCAGATTCAGATGTCCTTCATTGTCGCTTCAAGAGGTCTGATGTCGGTTGTTACGTGTTTGGCTTGTTTACTGCACTACCTGAAGCATTGTTAGCAGACCGTCCCGATGTTGCTCTAATTTGCGGAATGGGGGAGAGACCAGGAAAGAAACAAGCTAACGCAACTTGTGAAATTTGTTTTGTCCGAGAAATAATAACACAACTCCACGCAATAATTTACTCACATTTTTTTTCGTGTCTCCACTTTCGGCCACTAGAGGGATTTTGTGCGGCGCCAAAATATATTGAGAATAACATTGTGTGACGGTGTTATAATGTCCGATTCAAACATTTATATTAAATTATGCATTATGCATAAATTTGTGTTACTGGATGGTTGCGATTTGGTTAATTATTTTAGATGAAATAATTTAGGGGCCTATTATTATTAATGTCAATGTAATCTGCAAAATAAAAATGGAAGGAAATTTATGAAATTTAATAATATATAAAATTATTATCTTAAAATAAAATATTTTTCAGTTCCCTGGGGGTGCGAGAATTCCTTGCATGATTTTTAAAAGTTAAGACTTTTAAAGAACTTCTTCTAATCTTCGATTCAAATTTTGCTGAAGATAAATTTTGAGTTAATTAAATTGTATGCAAACATTTAATGAGATAATTAAAAGGAATACATGATTTAAAAAAATATTACTTATTCTCTCAAGAATTGGTATTCATTTTATTTTTCACGTCCTTCATAAAAATTTAAGCCAACCAACAATTAGGTTTTCAGTACAATATGCAAACTCGTGTGTTTCAAATCACTGTGTTTTCCTCTTCAATACTCAATACAATATAAAGTAAATTAGAACGGCAGCTGCAAATAAAAGCTCACGCACACCGTGAAAAATTGGTGGCTGCTCTAAGTATAATTAATATTTAATATTGTATTATGTAGAATATAATAAGGCAACAAACACTTTTATCCATCAAATCCAATCACAAGTACATAATATATTTAGTCAACATTTCAGGTAATTGTGGAATAATTTATCATTTTTTTTTCATAAAGCTGCAGCAATTTTTTCTGTCATAATATAGCAGTTTTCTTAATTTTAGAATCACAAAGTACCAATAATTAAACATTGATTTTCTGTATCAATCATGCTCATAACAGCTGGACCAGCTGGCAAGAAGACAAGAGGAAGAAACAGGAAGTCTTACTGGTTAGGAGTAAAATTTAACCATGAGAAAAGAGGAATGTAAAAGCTAAATAATAGCAATCATTTATCGTCATAGATCTGCGCTAATTTCAACACAACTTTTGGAAATCTCAAATGAAGATATTTTAAAAATCATCTGCAACTAAAAAGAGAAATTAAAATTTGTATTCAAAATACTAAGGCGAGTTTAAAACGTTTTCACAGGCATTTAAAATAATATTTCCGTCAGACACTTAACATAATATATTTAGCTATGCATGTTCGTCAATTTATTTTTAATTTATTATATAATAAGACAGGCCGCGAATAAAAAAGGCCTTGAAAGATCACAAGTTCTTGACAACAACAATGGCACTGTGAAAATCAACTTAATACATCTCTTTCAAATATTGTCACACATTTTGAGGAACCATAATCCCGTCGGAGTGTTTTAATTGATTAATTAATAACTACGCTCATGTGTGATTTTATGAATTAGCAAATTAAAACTGTTAATACGCTGTGATCAAAATAAAAAAGAAACAATAACGACTGAATGGGACTTTTTTGAGATTTCGCTCGCGCACATAATATATACAAAATGAGCCTATTTAACACTACATAAGGGAATGCTTCGGCAGTCAGCTGGCGGCGTCCTGCTCGCCCTTTAGCAGGAACACACGCATGTTGTCCTTGCCCTTGACGTAGATGGAGCCCCTCGGCTCAAATTGGTACCTCTCGTTGAGCTCCGACAGACAAGATTCGCCCACCTGGACACGTTCCCTGACACCAGTAGAGTCCATCCGACTTGCAATATTGACAGCGTCGCCCCAGATGTCATAGTAAAGCTTGGTGGTGCCAATGACCCCGGCGGTCACATCACCATGGTTGTAGCCTATCCGGAGAATGAGCTTGAACTCCAAAAGATCCTTGTTAAAATCAGCCACCACTTTTTGCATGGCTCTGGCAAACTCGATCAGGTCAAAGAGGTGCTGGTGAGGGTGGCCGTTGGCTGTTCTCAGTTTTGGGTTCAAACCAGAGGCGGCCATGTATGTGCTGCCAATGGTTTTAATTTTCTCAACATTCTTAAACTCAAGTTTGTGCAAAAGCTCGTCAAAGTCGCTGATGAGCTCGTTCAAGACTCGCAGATACTCACGACCGCCTAGGTAGGACTCGTCATACATCTCGTTGAAGTTGACAATGGACGCAAAGAGGATGCCCACCTGGTGGTGGTTTTCCGAGTACATCGCTTTGCTCTTGAGTTGCTCCGCAACGTGCCGGGGAATGATGTTGTGGAGCAGCCAGTCCACTTGGTTCTTGGTGGCCTGCACTCGGGCCTTGTCGGCGGCGGCCAAGGCGTTGCCGTGAAAACTCAATCGGAAGCTGATTTCAAATTCTCTGTTTAGCAGGACGATAAGTAACAGAAGCAGGAAAACGTCAACGTAGACTTCCTTTCTGAAGAGCAGCTCTGCTGAGCCTAGAACTTGCTCGCCTGATTCGTCCTCGGTGGAATTATAAGTTGTCGAATTAAAATTATTCTGGAGGTTGCAGCTTGGGCTGTGTGCTACGAGTGTGATGAAAAAGGCGCCCAGGGCTGCTGCCAGCAAACTTTTCATCCAACAGTTAAGCTGTGTGAAGTTGCAGAAATGGACCAGGCCGACGAGCATTAGCAGACAGTAGGGCTGAACAATGTGCGCCGAGTAAAGAGAGTTGCAGTGAAAGTTGGCGAGCACTGCGATAGCTGGAAGGCTCAGCACAAGAGCGCCAAATATGTGCCAAGGGTACCAACAGAGAGCTGGTCGCTTTGGGCAAATCAGCCTGAAGGCGCCCCACATCCCCACTGAGATGCAAATCACAGCGCCCAGGGCAAGGGTCACAACAAAGGCGGTGTGTCTCAGTCCGAAGAGGGCACAGAGGCCAATAGCGATAAAAATAAACACAAGCAGAGCCACAATTAGGTCCAGGTATGTATTGAGCCTGGCAGAGGCAAGAGTGTTAGGCGCGGTGATTTTCGATGTGTCGGCGCAGTGAGCAAGGGTTCGGTAGTCGCTTTCCATGGGAGCGTCTCTGAAGAACAAGCTGAGCTTGTTAAGAGGCTTTTTTGAGAAATAACAAGCGTCGTTCGGGTCGATCGAGTGCTCCTGGACACACCGGATCATCTGCAGATCAGACAGTTTCCTAATCTTGTTCCACTGGAATTCAGCGTCCTCAATTTTGTACTTTCCTAAAGAAGCTTTTTTAATATGTAAATAATTTTAAAATTTTAAAAGAACAGCTACCATCTGGGTCAGCTACGGAATCCTGACTGGAAGTGTAGTACCCACTGACGCGGTGTCCCATCATGTCATTCTGAGCCAAACCATTCATCATGTAAATCTAGGAAATTTAATGACACATTTAGCACTACCGAAAAGCGGCTACAAAAGCAAACTAACTATTCAGGAAAAGGGTAAAAATAAATTAAAATTGGGAAAAGTAACACCAAAAGCTGATTTTTTTTCACCTGTTGCTGGATGCTACTGCGTCTGCTTGTACTTCTGATGCCAGAATCTTTCCTGCTGTTAATGGAAGGGCTTGTGCTTATTTGGTCATCTGTAGTGGGGACCTTGAGCTGCCGGACAGGACTTGCATTCACTTCATTTTCACTTCGCTTCTAAATTTTTCAAATAATTATATAATTAAACAGATTTACGGCAAAGTTAAAGTAAAAAACCCTACAATTTTTGAAGGAGAAACTGCAATCGGACTTTTGGCATCGCTCAGCTTTTCTTGGGATTTTGATTTAATTGGCCCTGTAAAAATGCATTTCAGAAACACCATTTTTATGTATGAAATAAAAAAAATACACACATTTCCAAAACGACGTTTCTTCCTGGCCTTCTTCAGGTAGAGACTGAGGGGTGAGAGCTTTTATTTCTTCAAGAGGTTCTTCGTCCATCTCTTGTTCAGAGTCTAATATACTGGGTAGGGATGTTGCTTTGAGGGTGGAACGATTGGGAGGTGCGGGTGAGATTCCTGCTCGCTTTGGTGACAAGTCAGCCTTTCTGCTGACTATGAAATAGGTTTTCATATCTGGAACAAAAGATTGAAAATAAAAAAATCAATCTTTTAAATAAACATTGTACTACAGTGATTTAAATTTTAATGTCATTTTCAGATATTAAAAAAAATGCTAATTGTTTATTGAACTTTTCATGATAAAAGAAGTTGTACAAATTGACAGTGACAGCAGCTTGTTGTTAAATAAACACCGTGATAAGATTTATTATTATATACAGCAGTTCACAAAAGTGTTTATGTGAAAATAATGTTTTATCATGATGTCACGCAAGAGCATAAAAGCCAGTTTTTCTAACGACCAAATGTCAAAACAATTAACATTATTAATTAATTAATTAACATTACTAAGAAACTTTGAAAAAGTTGATAATTCAGTGAAAAAATTCTTAATTCTATTACCATTTTAAGCAGATTTATAAATTAAAATAATAATAATAGTCATAATAAAATTTAAAACAAAATTATGAAATTTCAATAAAAAATTTCTTGTTCATACTGTGCACATTTTTAACAAAATTTTATGCTAAAAAATTATTTTATTAAAGAAAATATTACTATTTATTGTATTTTACCCTGAACAGTTTCGGCTTCCTTCAAGATGTACATGTCGTTGAGGTACTTGGATGTGGCCTCCGAGATATGCACCTTACCCGGCTGTCCAGTAGACTCCATCCGGTTAGCCAGGGTGACATCATTGGACCAGACGTCAAATTTGAACCGTCTGGTGCCCACAATGCCACAGAGGACAGTGCCCGTGTGGACACCAACGCGCATGTTGACGTCTTCGTTGCGCTCCCTATCGAAGGCCTGGATGGCCACGATCATGGATAGGCCCATTTCGACGCAGCAGATAGCATGGTCTGGCCGAGGGAGTGGACAACCGGAGACACAATAGTAACAGTCACCCAGGGTGGAGATTTTTTCGCAGCCATGCCTAGCGCAAAGGTCGTCGAATCGCTCAAAAAGGTCATTCAAAAGACTGACTAGCTGCTCGGCCGTTTTGTTGGAGCTCATCCGAGTAAAGCCGACAATGTCTGCAAACAAAATTGACACGTTGTCCATGCAGTGCATGTTGAACGGCCGGAAGAGAGACCGTATATCACCAGGGTTGGATGATCTAGGAGTGGATACTTTTCGCAAGATGGAGCCATTTTCGTCATCAACAGTGGCCGCCTCGTCCTCTTCGCTGTGACCTTCCTTCAGCAGCCACTCGGCCACCTTGGACGGCATCAAGGACAAAATCATTTTTTCCTTCAGCTGCTTCTCGTTTTCCAGTTGCTGTCGAACCAAAAGCGACTGCCCCACTTTCACGAATGTGCCCCTCATTCGCACAGTGGTCATTACGAGTATGTGGATGCCGATGATGTGGATGCAAAGGTGTAGGACAAACCGGACGACAACCTCGGCTGGTTCAGGGTGAGTGAAGTAAAAGGTGAGGACCTCAAAGGCCACCGAGTAGATGACACCAATGAGCACACAGGCGTGCAGTCGTAGCGGAACAACGGTGTACAGAATCAGCAATAGTTCCATGCAGAGGGAGAAGAGGCCCACGGGGGTGAGGTCGACGGCAAATTCACCAGTCTCGGGGATGATGAAGAGAAGGGACAACAGGCAGGAGGACAGGATGACGACAGCGGCTACCAGTTGGTAGTGTCCTTGGAAATGTTGGCTGCGAGAGATGATGAGGGCGCCAATCAGCATGACAATGACAGTCACCAAAACAGGGAGGATGACGAGCCAATGGGGTGTCTGGGTGAAGGCAAAGTAACATGTCCAGAGGAGAGAGCCAACGCAGAGGTAGCTGAGCCCTAGTTGGAACCGCTCGCGGATCTGAGGGAATGAGCTGCGCCAAAATTGACCTTCGAGGACCTCAGAGTCAAAGCGAGGGTCCCACCAGGTGTCTGAGGCTCTTTCAAAGAGGGAAGGCAAGCAGCTGGACAGACGACGCTGGGAACCGTCTGAGCCGCGACCTCCGTTGGCCAGATAGGTCTGCAGGTAGGGTGCAAGGCTCATTTGCGTCTCGTCTTCATCCTCGGCGGTCACCTCGACCGCTTTGGCGCCCTTCATTCTAGACGAGGGTGTGGACGTCGTTGGTTGGGAAGAGTTTCAAGTGTCGAACGCACGCAGCTGTCCTTCTCAAGCATCTGTATACAAGTTCAATGTTCAATCAATTTTTTTTTTAATTGCTAATTACTCTTTGGACGGACGAACGGCTGCCAAACTGCAGCCGACTGTTTCGTGGCCGAGGTCGCTGCGTCGCTCGTGGACGGTTCAAGCTTCAAGGCGTCCGATCAGCGGCTGCTTTGTGTTGAAACACGCCGATGGACGCAAATGAAAGACGAATTTGGCAAAAATAGATTATTTCCCAACGATCTGCAAAGCGAAAATATATCAAAAATTTTTTGTTTCTTTACAGGGATTATTATTCTCATTTGGGTGGGGAGCAACAGCTGAATCCAACCATTACCAACTGAATATAAACAAACAAGGTAAAATTAATTAAGATAAATGATTGTAAATTTCCATTAAAAAAAAATCAAAGCATTTTTATTCAGTATATTAAAATTATTTTAAATAATAATTCTTTCTTCAAAAAATTCTTATCAAATTTGGCTTGTGAAGAGTTTTGTTAGGTTGGCATAGAATTTGTTTACATGTGGAACCAGGCAGCCTGCTTTTACCTTCGACCATTCCACTCTCCACATAGCGATTTGTGCGACTGACTATTGCCTGGATGGAACAATGTTATCTTGAATCTATGTGCATTTTATTTTTTTTTTATGCACTCACGGAATAATGATGATTTGACCACAGTGCTGCATAGTGCAATAATTTCTACTCCATAAAAATTAAAAACATATATGATGCAATAAAAAATATAACTTTTAAATTAGGATAATTACATTATATCAAATTATGTACATATACATCATAAAATATAATTTTATCCTAATTTTAAAAGTTATATTTCTATAAATCATATATACATAGTAATGAATTAATTATGATGTATTTAATTTTATTTATTACCATATAAATTCACAAAAAATGTATATATAATTACAAAACACTCAAGAGTTGTTGATTAAAACCCCTTTTTGACTTGCTTGGGTGAAATGCTGATGGTGACAGGCTTACAAAGTTCGAGTGTGCATAATGAGTCATCTCCTCGTCGGCCCATACTTGCCTCTGGTGCAGAAAGGTCCAGCACAAGAGACAAATCAACCTGAGTTAATTAACAAAATATAAATTTATGCGGTTAAATTTTTTTATTGAATTTAAAATACCGGACATCCTTCAGTCCACACTCCATGTGAAAGTAGCACAGTAGTTCTAAGCCTGAAGTTCTTTCCGGGCCCATCATTGTTATTTTGCTCAGGGTTCTTTACAACATCACTGACCCTTAGATCCGATTTGCAGGGCATCAGAAGTTGTGTGGTCTGGTCAGGATACTTGACCTTGACCCTAAGAGCTGACATGTTAGCCAAGTTGTACAGTTCCGCATCTAGGGACACTCCCAAAACAAGTCCCGCAGTAAATGTCAGGGCAGTGTCAGCTTCTCCTTTGGGCTCCAAAATCAATGCCGAGCACATTTGCAACTAAGAATTCAAAATTGATTATGAAATATCTCAAGAAATTTCTGCATACTGTTATATCAGGCCTTGGAAGGGGTCCAGTTGGCATCGAGGTCAGAGGAAGGAGGATCCTGGCAACTGCTCCAGGCTTTGCATCTTCCAGAACTGCCAAGTCACGGAGCACGGCTGAAGTAAAAGGGTCCATTGGCAGCATTTTTTCACCCATGAAACTATCAAATCTGTTTTTTAAATGTGTTATTAATGTTTCTGATATCTTACTATTGAACATCTTCGACTTCGGCTAAAAAATGTTCACATTGAGCTAAAGCTGAAGCATTGGAGCCTCGAACAGTAAAAACAAGCTGGAGTGCCAGAGCCCTCAATTTTATCTGCCTGACAGCACTCATTGTGGCATCGTTGTGGCCAACAAAAACATGCTGTAACCTATAAGTAAAAAATAAAAATTTAAACCTCACAATAAAAAAGTATATTTTTACCTCAAGCAGATCTGCAGCAATTCAGCGATTTGTGTTTTTATAATTTTTCCCTCTTCAGAGGCCAGAGCAGAAGGATGTGTCCATAATTTACTTGCAAGGAGCTGAAGAACGTTTTAAGTTATGTTTCGAACTGCTATAAAATATGGTAAGAATTGCCTTATTAAGAAGCTGATGGGCTTGAATTAGCATTGACATGAAGTGAGAAGCCCCGCTTAACCCTTCGTCCATGTTAGCTAGCCGAGCCAAGGTCTTTTGTGCAGTCTGCAACAACTCGGCTCTGATTTTGGTGTTATGTGCACATTCTAGCCTTTCCAAAAGTGCTTCCATGAAATTTGCTGTGTGCGTAACAGCAGCGGTAAGCTCCTGATTACAGTGTCTGCCATTGCTGGCACCGACTTGCAGCTTCAGATGGGGTACCAGGTTAGGCATGGTGTCTCGCAAGTAGCTGTAGTGTCGAAGGGTGTGCTCTTCAAACAGCTGAAGCATGTTTGGACACTTCATGGCAGCATTGAAGACCAGGATAAGCATGCACACATCTGGAGTTCAAGCATAAAAAAAAATACAATTTTTTTTAGTTATTTGTTATTTACAAGCTGGGTCTTCAACGTCAGGCTCAGGTAAATCAAGGAAGGGGTGAATCCCTAGTAAAGCTGGTACAAGTGGCAAAGTAAGGTATGGGTGTGATGTGCCTAATTTTTGCAAACATTGCCAAGTAGACCTTTTGTCCTGTATCAATTTAAAAATTTAGAAAACTCTCACAACTCTATTAAAAGAAAAAAAATACCTCTGGGTATTTCTTAAGGTTTTCCAGCAAACTTTCAACACACATTTGAAGGCAACCCTTAGTCGACAACTTACAAGCAGCCAGCATTTTGTGCAAGCCTTCTCGAACATCAATAGAGAAATCCTATAATGAGAGAAGCCCAGTTTCAATTTGTCATGAGAGAAATGTTTAATAAATTTTGCATTAACAAACAAATAAAAATTACCTCAAGGGCTCCAAGTATTGTTTCCAGCTGGTCCTCCCTGAGAACAATGAAACTACTGATCCTGGTAAGACTGTCAATAGCCTTTAGACGCACTTCCTCAATTTCGTCATTAAACATATCGACTAAAAATTCCAATGCCATTGTGGCAAAGTTGTAGTCGGTCATGGAAATCGCACACAGGGAATCAACCGATGCACTCCTCACCTCTGAAACTCATCCATTCTTATATACAATTTGTAATAAATTGTATCTTTACCCATGAATTCATCTTCAAGACCATGCACAAAAGCCCCACATGCACCAATTGTGATCAAGCTGACTGTTTCTGCATCCAACATTTCTCTTGGAGCATCATCAGCCCACTTTTTGCCAGAGGCCCACTCGCCAGAAGTCACTGACTCCCAATGTCTCTCATGAGCAGATCTCTTTTTCTACAAATAATGTTTATTTTGTAAATTAAGATTTAGCAGAAAATAATAAACTTACTCTCATATTTGACATAAGTTTCTTGTCCAGAGTTTGCTGCAGGAACTTTGGCTTGACAAGATTTCCTCCAAATTTTCCTAGCAAGATTGCAGCCTGGACTCGAACATTCATGGAAAGGTCATTGATGCAGCTGCTGAGTTTGCCAAAAGCATCGTCAGCCAGTCTGATCTCCTGGTCACTTGTGCCAGGCAGAGCAACAATACTGCAGAGTATAAATTGAGCACATCAAGTTATTCTCTAGCCATAAAATTTTTAATATTACGTGTCTGGATATGTTGAAGCGAGTATCCAAATAAGGTTCATGGCGTTTTTACGAACTATTTCATAATCGTCTTTCAACGCATTGCAGACCTCTTCGTAAAGACTAGGATCCAGTTTCAGGCCTCTTTCGTGCAAAATTATCTGCGAGAATATTAAAGTAAAATTGTTTATGAGTTTAAAATAAAGCCTGCATACCATGGCATTAAAAGCAGCACTTCGAACTCTAGGCTCTTGGTAATTAGTGTAGGTGGCAATAAGTTTCAACATTGCAAGTGAAGAGTCTTTAAAAGAAGTTCCTTCAATAGGGAGCAAAATTCCTATGATCTCTAAGCATTTGCACTTAACAGTGTGACTTGTATCACACAAATACTGAAATAAAAAATTAATAAAATTACATTGTATTGGAGCAACTTGAATTTCAGTTGAATTGAAAATTGAACGAACCTGCTTCGCAAGAGCCACAAGGCGTTGGTGTCCAACTGAATTAGACGGGAGCATGGAACCAAGTTTCAAAAGAGCATCTAGACCTTGAGTGATTACTTTATGTGATTCTTCTTGCTTCAAGAGACTAACAATGTCGTCCATGACACCCTGCGCATCCTGTCCAGGTAGGCAACCAATTGTACCCATCAGATTGAGAATTTTGGCTCGCAAGGCGGACTCCTTCTCGCTTGAAAAATGATCAGCAAGACGTCTTTGTGTATCATTGAGATCTTCCTGCTGATGGACAGTATTATCATCTTGGTCTCCCAGAGCGTCTGAAATTCGAAGCAACAGGGACATGGCATAGTTTGTGTCGTTGCTGGCACGGCACTTGTCAAGAAGGTTTGCGTAACCAGCAATGGATGCACTGGAGCAGCCACTCTGAGAGCGTTTCAAGAGCCGCAGACGCTTTAGTGGCTTTGAACCAGGCTCGTCCTGAAATTTAAATAAAAGAAATGTGAGACACTTTTCAATGGAAATTGTGATGGTTATGGACTTTGTGCTCTTACCTTCACAATAACGTGGCTGTATTCGGCCAAGGCTCGCTTTTTCAATACAGCAGCCATTGCACCGTAATTAAATTAAAATCAGTCAACAACCAAAAGCTTTTTTTCGAATATTTTCAATCAAATTTATTAAATAATCCGGGAATCTCACTCTGCTATCAGCAAAAATGTCAACAAGAGCAGCAAAGTTAAGATCAACGTTAAGATAAAGACTATAAAGAGGCGGGGTTGTAGGAAAGAGCAGGTGCGCCATCTAGGAAATGCTATCAAAAGCTCGGCCATCAATCAAAATACTAACACGTGTTTTCATCAATTTTTGAGCACCTCGTTGTTTTGTCGAATTTCGTCAATCTTCCTTTAAAATTTTGAAACTTAGACCATCTAGACCTACAAAATGCAGAACAATGATGATGTACGTTGGTTAAAAAGGTTTTGGAAGTCACAAATTAACACTTTTAAAGAGGGTTTAGATTCAGTTTTTTGATAGCAGAAAAACTTAGATTTGGATTAATTTATTTATGTGAATTATTTTTCCCCAGGTTGTATGGAGTATAATCAACAAATCATTTTGCTCCTTTAAAGTCAGGTAATAATTTTATAATTTCTCTATGTAAATTATATATGTACATAAATTTTCTAAACACAATGGTTTGATTTTTTACAGTACCAAGACGCAAAAGTTTTGCAGACACGAATATAACCTGACAGGACTATGTGGACGGTACTCGTGTCCTCTGGCCAACAGCCAGTATGCTACAATCAGGGAAGAGAAAGGTATCATTTACCTGTACATGAGAACTGCTGAAAGGTAATTAAAGCAAACTGATTAAATTGAAGTCAACTGATATTAAGGCACTATTTTTTTTCAGAACGGCGTTCCCTGGAAAGGCTTGGGAAAAAGTAAAGCTGTCAAGAAATTTTGAAAAAGCTCTTCAACAGATTAATGAAAACCTCCTATACTGGCCAAATTATATCAAGCAGAAGTGCAAACAGAGGATGCTAAAAATAACCCAGTATCTCATTCGGATGAGAAAGCTCACTTTAAGGAGAAAGTATGGTCTTTTATACTATGAAGTTAATGAATGTAGTAAAACTTTATGCTTAATTTTATTGAAGGAAGAAGTTAGTTCCTCTACAGAGGAAAATTGAGCGACGAGAGACCAGAAGGGAAGAAAAAGCTCTAATTGCAGCAAGAATTGACACTGCCATTGAGAAGCAACTTGTGGAGAGACTAAAGAAGGGAGTGGTAGGAAAGTGTGTTAAATGACAGAATTTTTGCTAACTAATTTGATTAGTATGGAGATATCTACAACTTCCCTCAAGTTGCTTTCGATAAGGCTTTGGCGAGTGAGGAGGTTCAAGATGAGAGTGATGCTGAGAGGGAAGAGGAATATAACAATGAAGAGAGGGAAGAGGTTTGTTTTAAGTAACTTTTAACCTCTACCTGAGTTAATCAACTCATCTTTTATTAGCAACTTGAGGAAGATACCAGGGCTGCCTTGGAGGACTCTGAATTTGTCGAGGCAGAGAGTGATGAAGATATGGAGGTAATCTTTTCCTAGGATATTTGTTTACGGTTCATCAAAAAAACCATTATTAATTTAGTCTGACGAGGAACGGGAGTTTACTGATGAAGGTCCCGAGGAGAGCGAAGTTTCTGACATGGAGGTATGTTACTTGAAATGAAAAAAATTTTAAATTCTATTCACGGAATTTTAGGACATGGCTGGTCCTTCCACAAGCAAGAGTTCCAAGAGAAAGGTATCTGTTGAATACGAGTATGAAACCGAGGACCCTCAGCCACAGAAATTGAAGGTGAAGAGCAATAAGTGATAGAATGTAATTCCAGTTGTATCCAAATCATTAAAATAAATTCCTAATTATGTGCATCTTACAAGCTGATTATTACTGCAACATATTCTCTCCACATTGGCATTAGTTTATAGAAATCTGTTCCAAGGAGACGTAGTAAGAAAATATGCAAGAATTTTTTTTTTCAAAATAACATTAAGTTTCCTATAATAATTTTGTCTGAAGATAAATATTAGCAAATCACATCCATATCACCACAAATAAAGTGGCTGAACGAAATCATTAGGCCAGTCAACAAAATTTAAATATATCTTCTGGCAAGAGGTTGAGAATTTTAATTTAATTAATTTTTAAGAAAAAGTAGGTGCTTTAGTTGACAAGTTATTGAAATTTTTTTCATTTTTTTATAAATTTTATATTTATTTGAGGTACATCTATTGCTGTCCACCCTCAGACGCAGGCATTGATCTGATGATTTCAGAGTCACCAGGGTCAGTGATGGAGAGTGTGCACACTCTGAAGTACTTTCCGCAAGCAGTACCGAGCTCATTGTTGTTGCCTGTGTAGTGGTGGACACCGGTCTTTGCGAGCATAGCGTAGTACTCAATTTCAGATTTCCTTAAAACAAAAAATTCTTTAATTAATTTCTAGTTCTGCACAATGTTCCTATTTAAATTATACACTGCGCACAAACAATAAAAGGCCCAATAAATATTCATACCTACTTGAGTATGAAATTCTTATTTGAACCACCTTATTTATGAGGTAAATTGTTTAATGTTTGTAATCCATAGACCAGGTTTCATGTGGTCTACTTCTCAGTGCTCGGGAAAATCCCAAATATTGTTTAAATAATTTGTAAAAATAAGAAATTATGACGTTGAGAATCAATTCAATATGTATTTAATTTGGGATTTTCAATATATAACGTGATTTTGAAAAACCAAAATCACTTCTTTCAGAACTCTGAGGCTACTCCATAGGCTTCAAAATTGAGAGCCTACTTCTCAGCCTCACCTCAGAGGTGGTGTATTGTTGGCAATGATGACCAGCTTGGCCTTGCCCTGTCGCAGCGTCCTCAGGGTTTGTTTGTAGCCGAGAACACATTTGCCCGACTTCATGACCAGCGCAAGGCGAGAGTTGATGCTCTCAAGAGCCTTTTTCTGTAAACATAAAATGATAAAATTAGGATTTTATTCTGGCTTCTACCACGTGGGTTAAAACAGGCATGGAGTGGAAAGTCGGAGCAGCCGATCGCGTTTTTAAGACAAAAGAGTTTAAAACTTTTGAAATATAAATCAGGAGCCTGATGGAAATGATAAATTTTAAACATTTGCGGAATTTTACCTGTTTCTTCTGGGCAACCATCGTGAAATTTGTAAAAAGTTTGCGGCCTCCTGGCACTCTGCGAGACGTCAGCTATTCAAGACTCAATGGAGAATGGAGGAGGAAGCGGAAGTTTAGGGGGATGGGCCACTTTTGAGATCAAGTTCATTCGTTCTTTTGACAAAAAGTTTTTCACAATATACTGGAGATTGTAAAAAATTTATTGTTATTTAAAATGCTTAAAATCAGCAAGAAAATTTTGATTTGAATCCCATTTTGAATGAAAGCCCAAAACATTCTTCAGTCCATTTAGGGTAGTTCTTATTGGGGTAGTTGTGCGCAAGCGCGACTCGCGTAGTACTTTGTAGTAGCCAGCCATTATCATCATTGATATTGGTGCTACGAAGTCGGCGAATCCTTTCCTGTTTTCACGGTGTTGTTCGGCAAGCAGATCGCCTGGCCGACGGTGCAGTGCAGTGCTCAAGGCCGAGGACGAGGCTCGCGGACTAGAGACGAGTTTGTCGGCTAGCGGTTGAGCGGAGAGGCGCGCGCGGCCCGTTCGAATCGCGGTGCGAATTTTCCGAGTGCTCCAAAGTGTGCAGACAGAAGCAGTGTCTCCGCCTTCTTTTTTTCTCGAGGCCCCGACCAACACTTCCAGGGCACCCGGCGAATGTCCATTCAGCGGATGAAAGGCCAAGGCAGCCAAGGTTGGTATCCGGGTCCTTCGTGACCCAAGAAAGTGCCTGTCGGATGACCTCGCGGTCAGCCGGCGGGGGCGTTGTTTTCGCTGACAGGCCGATTGATTGTTTTCCTGATTGATTCGCAGCGACGAACGGCCCTAAGGACCACGTGAACGAGCACGAGGATTTCGAGACATGGCGCACCCAGCAGCATCACCCGGTACAAAACATACGAGCACCAACCCTGACCTTAACCTTCGTCTTGTTTTTTGCAGCAGCAAGGCTACAACACGCCGATTTCGACGTCTATGGGCACCTCGGATCCGTACCTTTCCAACTACTACGGCACAACGTCCTTTCCGTACCAGGCATTTGGGGTCAACGATGGCACCTGGTCCAACGGCGGCGACCCGATGACCTTCCTCGGCGGCTACGGCGGACAAATGGCCGCTGCGGCCGCCGCCCACGAGTCGTACAACATGGAGGGCATGTTCGGCACTGGAGGATTCGGCACCTTCAACCAACCAGCAGGTAAAATCTGTCATACTCGACATTTTTCTGTTGATGTATCTGTTAATTTTAGTTTGCCATTTTAGTTGCAAGAGTCTTGAAAGTTATTAATATTCTGTTCGATCAAAGTTGTGCGACTTAAGTTTTATTACAGCTTATTTCCTAAAACGTGTGCAATCGTGTACAACTCCAATCACTAAAGTTATTTATTATCTTATCTCACTCCTGGTAACATTAGTTTTGTTATATTTTTCTTAAATTTAACTAGCCTCTTTTTTATGGTAATACTATGAAGCTTGAACTTGTTAATTTGATTAAGAAAAATATCCAAAAATATTCACTTATTTGAAATGAGGGGCTAGAATATAAGTCAAAGACGGTCACAGATATACAATTTTTCTATCGATAAATAGTCGTCTTATTAACAGAAATTAATAGTATAAGCACATTATCACAGATTATATCATTCAGAGTAACATCATGTTTGTATTGAAAGAATATTTCCTCTTGTTATTGTTTCAGCGGGGACTTTTAATTACTTTCCGGGCAGTGGGGCGACTGATTACTCAACATGGGGTGGCGGAGCAGGAGGGGGTGGTTTAGGACGTAAGCAACACTACGAGGATTACTATCGTGCCGCTACCGAGGCATCAGGAGGTGGCTACATTCCCCAGCAGCAAGCTCAGCAGCCAGGTGATGACAGAGTAAAAGCTGTCGAGCAAAGCATGCAAGGTTTGGGCCTTGCAGACAAGGATAAGGACAAGGACCTCAAAGACGGACAACCCCTTCAGGTAATTTTTCTCATCATTATAATTTGAGAGGATTAGTTTAGTTTTGAAGACTTTATTGTAATCCCCATTTTAAGTGTCTCTATTGAAGCTGATTGAAGTCATGAAAATTAATTCAAATAAAAATTATTTCAATGCTAAATCAATTTTTGTGAATTTTCGTAACAAATTAGCACATTTTTTGTTAAAAGGGCAAAGCTTCCAAACTTTGACTCTTTGAAAAGCGATGCAAAATTAAAATTCTTGCCATAACTACCACAATTTTTACCTCCAAGATTGTGGCTTTAAGGTAAAGATACAATTAAGGTAAAATTAAAACAAAGCTATTTTTTTAAGAATAAAAACAATAAATAATTCTACTTTTAGTAAAGAAATTCACAAGTGTGTGACCTGTTTTTTAGGAAAATCAAAATATTTTTCAGGGTGGTTCTGCCAAGAAGCTGACGTGGGCTTCCGTTGCAAGCACACCTGCTAAGCCGACGCCGCAGGTGAAGAAGAAGGCTGGCGGGCTTTTGCCACCACCGATGCTGCAGACCAAGCACAACATGGACATCGGCACTTGGGAAGCAAAAAATGGAGGCGCTGCCCTGAAACCAGTGGCTCCTCCGTCAGCGCAACCTCGAGCCACCTGGGCAACCACTCCTGTGGCAATGCGAGGACGGGCGCCACAACTTGGACCTCCGCAGCAGCAGCAGTACCCCGCCGTGGCCCCTGGCATGACCGTTGCTCCACCTGTTATTCATCACGCCATGCACCCTCCGCAACCAGATTTCTGTGAGTTATTAAATAATGCAATTCAATTTTGAGTGGATATTAATACATTTGCACACATTATTTAAGAGGGAAAAGCTTTTCAAACTTTGACTCATTGAAAAGTGATGCAAAATAAAATCCTTACCATAACTACCACAATTTTTGATTTTGAGGTTGTGGCTTTAAGGCGAAGGTACAACTAAAAAAACCTTTTTATCCAAGTTCTGAAGTAAATAATTGTATTATTAATAGAAGTGAAACCAAATTTGTATTTTCTTGCAGGTTCTATGGCTCAACCGCCACCACCATTACCCCAAATGCAAAGTCAGATTCCTTCCCCATTGACCCCTACCGTTCCTGCACCATCACACCCCATTCTAGATGAACTGAGGGAGAAGAACAATTACAATCCCCCGGACTATGACCTTTCAGCTAAGGGTGCCAGGTTTTTTGTCATCAAGTCGTACTCCGAGGATGATATACACAGGCAAGAGCATCAAAAGATCTCATTTGTCACCATTATTATAATTATTTTCATCCACAGGTCGATAAAGTATGAGATTTGGTGCAGCACGGAGCACGGAAACAAACGACTGGATGCGGCGTTTCGGGAGCGGGAGGCGGCCAAGGGCTGCGTGCTTTTGTTTTTCTCTGTGAATGGCTCAGGCCACTTCTGCGGCATGGCCGTAATGACGTCACCAGTGGACTATCACGCAAGCTCTAGTGTGTGGTCTCAGGACAAGTGGAAGGGCCAGTTTCGCGTGCGCTGGGTCTACGTCAAGGACGTTCCCAACGTGCAGCTGCGCCACATAAGGCTCGAGAACAACGAAGGCAAGCCGGTGACCAACTCGCGCGACACGCAGGAAGTGCCCTTTGAGAAGGGACGCCAGGTGCTCAAGATCATGCACCAGTACCGACACTCCACCTCCATATTCGACGACTTTTCCCACTACGAGAAGCGGCAGGAGGAGGAGGACCTCCGCAAGAATCAGCAGCAGCACCAACAACAGCCGCCGCCAAAAGTAGGAATTAAATTTTTCCCTGGGAATCATTGCGTCAATAATGAAATATTATTAATAATTTCTAGGAACGAGGTGAAGGTGGGGGTCGAGGACGCGGCCGAGGCGGCCCTCCGAGGAACTGAGGAAAGAGCATCAGCCAATTTTCTGCCATTATCCTGAGATCCTTTTTGCATAAAAACACATACACACACAGACACACACACACACCTAATAATGCTTGTCCATTGTTACTCAAATAGCTCGTGTATTTTGAAAAAAAAAGCAAAATGGCCGCCTATAAACAGTCTCAATTTGGCTGGGTTTCTTGCGTTTTTGACTAATTTGTTAACTCACTTATTTTTTAATCGAATATTATTTTTCTTATAAGCTGTTATTGAAAGTGCCTTTGATTTTAACTTTATTTTTCCAAGGACATTATAATTATTTTCCCCTTACAAAAAGCGGACGTAACTTATGAAAAATTTCAAGTGCGTTCCAACTTTATTTTCTTTTGTCTGTTGATTATTGAACGATTAGATTGTGGGGCTTAAAGTTGAACCAGCTGACTTAGATTGTTAGAATTGTCTTGTTGTACTTTGGGACTTGTTTTCTATAAAAGAATGGGCTGGCCTAAAGACATTTTCCACATCTTTCTCGCAAACTTCACTCCTAATTAATTGAGCTGTTCAATTGACGTGTATTAGAGAGAAAAAAAATTGGAGCACCCTTTGCAAATGAAGAGCTGCTTGAAAGTTGGTGAACGATGAAGAAAAAGGAGAAGAGCGGCCCGGTATCTGTCCAGACCTGTAGTTTCTTCGAAAAGTGCTTTTGAATTAACGTTTCAAATTATAAAAGTGGTTGGTTTTTGTGGTGGTTTGTGACTCGTATAACATAAAATCATGGTTACTGGTTTGTTGAACTTCTTAAATTACAATGAATTCTCCCTGCCGCAGTGAATAATCAAACAAAAGAAGACCCTCTTTATTGGACATTTAGTGCGACGGTTGAAGAACTTAAAAAAAAAATATTTATCAAATCCTGTTCTGTGAAAACACTATCTGAAAATGAACTGATTGACTTTTTCTAAACAAAAAACAAACTTATCCTGCTTTTGTTGCAAATTTGATTATTTTATTCAATTTCGAGAGGAAAAGACAAACAAGTGTTATCGATTGAATTTGAACTGTTGCAATTTCTTGATATAAAATCTGAACTCGAATGGACTTCAGTGAAGCTGTGAAAAGTGAACAAGTGTCTACTTCAAGGACAAGAAAAGAGGAAAAAAAGATACTGAAGTTGTTTGACGAAAGAACGATCAATCGGCTTAAAACAAAAAAAGTTACACCTCGAATCATTTTTGTAGGAAGCCTTGTTGTTCTCTGTCCTTTAATTGGCAAACCCGAGAGTAAAAAATTCCTACCGATTCTAATCACGACGATAATAACGAAGATGAATTGCGTACTTCCTCAACCACTTGTTGATTTCTTTTTGAATGGAAAGTGAACTAATAATTATTATTGGAGAAAATGGAAAAAAAACCGTTCATACTTATGTGTGTTGTATAATTATGGTCGCCAATATCATAAAAGGAAAAGCACCTCTATTGGCTACATAACATGAGCTCTCCTCAGTTTTATTTTTCACTTCCGTCCCCTTGTTACCACCAAAATATTTTTTATTATTAATTTGTTTTCCTCAAATGCCCTCGTCACTTTCAGAATAATCTTGGGGCCTTATTATTCTATTTTTAATTAGCATTACAAATTTTGATCTCTATTCTTTAGCAATATCCCCATAATATTTAATTATTATTTTATTTTTTATCTCTCTAGCTGAAACATGTATTAAATTTACATGATATACCACATTGTCGTGTCACCACGACAGGGGCTAATTAGTATTAATCATTGAACACCTAAAACTAATGAAGAGCGGAGCTGGAGCCGAGCGGCGCCTTAATTTGCAGACTGGAGTTGAACTTTAATTGGCTTCTCTCGATGTCCCTCTGGCCCCCATGTGCATTTCATCCCCCATGTGACTTCAAACTTATCTCTTAATATCTCTTTAATCCTTTAAATAAATAGCCCAAGCACTCCTTAAATGGCTTGGACTAAAGTTACTTTAATTTAGTATGACTTTAGTTGTGACTAGGTTTGAGTTATTAATTAAAAGCAATTAATTAAAGTTAAAGATAAAAGTTAAAGTTATTATTAAATATATATAGAGAGAACAAAATACAAAAGATGGCCAAAATAGGATTCGGAAAAGCTAGTCTGAACTTAGGAAGTTGAGGAAACGGAGGAAAAGCGATAATTACCGGTCAATTAGGAATTTAGTAAAACGTGGTCGCCATTAACCGAATGGGCTGAAGATAGGACAGGGTGTTGTCTGCGTTTCGGGCGTCGCTCGTCTGAGGCTCTCAGGCACGGAGAGCCGGCTTCGAGGCTCGACCGTGGGTCTGATTGGGCCCTGAGGTGGCGCGCGCCGATCGGTCTTCTCAGGTTGGCTGAAGGGTCCACGCCATCAGGGAAAGGTCGGCGGGAGATTCGGAAAAGCGCGCGCGTTGCTTGCTCGGAATGAAGTTAAGTTTCCTTTATATGAAAAGCTATGGCCATGGGCTAACCTTACTCGCAGAGACAATAATTGATACAAATATTTATTATTCTGTTCGACAATATTTCGCGAGTGTGTGTCACCACAGACTGCCCCCCCTTCAACTTGGACGCGCCCTCGCGTCCATCAAGCTGAAGACTGGTGGTGGCTTGGTGTCCGGTGTGGTGGTTTGGGGCTTGGCAGGGCGCCTCTGGTGTCGTACTGCTCGTGGTTGCGCTGGGCCAAGGCAGGCAGTTGGTGTTTGCGAGAGATAGGTCATCTCTGCTTGGCTTCTCAGAGGTTGGAATTGGTGTTCAGGTGTGTTTTTGGCAACTGTGAATTCAGGCAAAATGAATAACAAGTTGGAATTATCTTAACCTATTATTTGTTTCGAGCGGTATCATTTGCTGTGGTTTTGCTAAATTTTTACATTTTGAGATTAATTTTAATTTTTTTTAGATTACAGTAAATTTTTAATTTTAGCGTTACATGTGAATCTTTGAACCTTGTCAAATTTCAAAAATTTTCCTGTGACAACATGAAATATTTTTCCTTTTACATTCTGGTTTTGATTGCAACTGGAATGTAATTTTAATTTACAATTAATTACACTTTTACTTTTTGGACGATAGAAGGATTTGTTGAAGGTCTTGTGTGTGCGGCGGCCAGAGGCCACGGCCTCGGCTGGAGTTACTGGACTTGGAGTGTCTGATGGCCATGCTCCTTTGTTTGTTTACGTGGCCAGCTGTGTGTCTGTTGTTGTCTCTCAGCTTGCGAGAGTCGCGTTTCTGGTTGGCTGGAACTTTGCAGGCTGGCGAATGGGATTCGAGCTTGGAGTCACGTGACTGGTGCATGGCGAAGGTCACTTGCACTTTCACTACACAAATGTCAACAACTTGGGCTTTTGCTGCTGATTTAGGTGAGATTTTCGGTTGTTTTGCTTGGAAATTGGATTTTAGCTTTGTTTGTAGCACTTGTCTTGGCTGGCGAGCGGAATTGAGTGATGACGGTGCGAAAACAAGCAGATTTCGCGGTCTTGAAGAACTGGGCACAGGCACCGTGCGATTCTTGCGAAGCTGCGATATTTTGCGAGGAATTTCAACAGCAGTTACATAATAGTGGTGAGTTTAGTCAATTCCAGTGCAAGTAATTTAAAACTAATTGTAAGAAAATTAAAATAATTACATTTCTCTTCATGCATGTCGAGCATAAAAATAATTCATTTACAATACTTCCCGATGATGTTTTCTAACTAATGGGAGGAAAATTAATTATTTCATTGTTGTGGCTGCACATTTTGTTTTTAGATTATTTAACAATTTTTTCAATTAAAATTTTCGTTTCATTTTAGTTTAAAAAAATTTTTCCCGTGGACAAAACAGCTCAGTTTGACACACATTTTTAAACATTTTAGAACACATTTTAATTTACGATTTCAATTAATCAACATTCTGTTTCATTTTCTTCTGTTGGACTTAAATCTAAACATGTTATAATATTTTCAATTTTAAATTTTACAATTTTCCCAATTTGAATTTAACTTCATTAAAAAAAAATTTCAGAGTGAGACGAAGATGTCGGTTCTTCTCCTGCCGAGGGCTAGTTGTGTTTCTTCTTGCGGAGCGGCTGGCTTCCAACTTGGTCCACTGATGGAACTGGATGTTGCGCTTGGGCTGCCACTGGAAGTGGGTCTTGTGGTCCGGACAGTGGACGGTGGTACTTGTGCTGCGCAGGTGTGTGTTGCTCTTGTCTGCTTTTGTCGACAATGCTGACTGATTATTTCTTGCAGTAGTGGTGAGACCAACTTGGACTGTCACTGGCCTTGTGTCAGTCCTAGTCAGTGCTGAAGTTCCGTCGAGGGCGCCATGACTGGTCGTTTGTCGACCCATCTTGCAGACCAGCTGAAGGTGGAGTCGGACAACTCGCAGAGCAAGGTGGCTTTTATCTGCCACGGAGTGGACGGCGAATTCTGATGCTGTTGGCAGCGAGACATCTGCAGTCCTGGCTGGGCAGAGGCTGGAGAGGTCTGCTGTCGGTGAGTGATGTACACCTGAGCAATGAAATGCTCCCATCTGCTGAAAACTGGAGTACTGGCAAAAGGGAGGGATTCACAACAATTGTGTAAAGATGTCACTTTTCGATTGCCATTCAGGTGCAGCCTTATGGTGGAGGTTTTGCTTTGCATTTGTTTTCAGAGTACATTTATATACAATGGTGAAACAATCATGAAAGTTGTTATTTTTTTATACACTTATATAATACAAAATTAAAATGTGCAATTCCTTCAAAAGTTTTAAATAGCCACAACAATAAAATAAATTGGCACCTTTTATCCAAGCTTTTGTACAGCTTTTGTAATTAAATGCTCACACCGTAGAGCTTTCCCTTAATTTTAACTTGACTGCTACCCTTTCCCAATGACAGTCTGCCTTTACTTTTGCTTGAATTAAAGTTTCCAAGTAAAAGTCGGGTATACTTATCAGTAACAGCTCATCTTCTAAAACCGTGCAGCGCCGAGAATGACGTCGCGGCGCAATCTCGAAGAGGTGAGCGTTCGCCTATGATCGTCTCGTTTTGTCTCGATGCTGGACACTGAATCCGCTAAGCGCTGGCCCTGCAGAAGCCAACGCCGCTGGGTGGATGCCTTTTCTATGGACGCTTGTTGGTCACTGGCCTTCCTGTGTTCGTTGAGGTTCCTTTCTGGTTTGCGCCGCTGGTGGACGAGGAATGTGAGGCCGTACCGGAGGTGATTAATTGGAAAAAAAAATCACCCCGCACCCTGACACCAAATCTGTCGTGTCACCACGACAGGGGCTAATTAGTATTAATCATTGAACACCTAAAACTAATGAAGAGCGGAGCTGGAGCCGAGCGGCGCCTTAATTTGCAGACTGGAGTTGAACTTTAATTGGCTTCTCTCGATGTCCCTCTGGCCCCCATGTGCATTTCATCCCCCATGTGACTTCAAACTTATCTCTTAATATCTCTTTAATCCTTTAAATAAATAGCCCAAGCACTCCTTAAATGGCTTGGACTAAAGTTACTTTAATTTAGTATGACTTTAGTTGTGACTAGGTTTGAGTTATTAATTAAAAGCAATTAATTAAAGTTAAAGATAAAAGTTAAAGTTATTATTAAATATATATAGAGAGAACAAAATACAAAAGATGGCCAAAATAGGATTCGGAAAAGCTAGTCTGAACTTAGGAAGTTGAGGAAACGGAGGAAAAGCGATAATTACCGGTCAATTAGGAATTTAGTAAAACGTGGTCGCCATTAACCGAATGGGCTGAAGATAGGACAGGGTGTTGTCTGCGTTTCGGGCGTCGCTCGTCTGAGGCTCTCAGGCACGGAGAGCCGGCTTCGAGGCTCGACCGTGGGTCTGATTGGGCCCTGAGGTGGCGCGCGCCGATCGGTCTTCTCAGGTTGGCTGAAGGGTCCACGCCATCAGGGAAAGGTCGGCGGGAGATTCGGAAAAGCGCGCGCGTTGCTTGCTCGGAATGAAGTTAAGTTTCCTTTATATGAAAAGCTATGGCCATGGGCTAACCTTACTCGCAGAGACAATAATTGATACAAATATTTATTATTCTGTTCGACAATATTTCGCGAGTGTGTGTCACCACACACATATATCATTTATTTTTATATACTTAATTACAAAAAATATTCCATTAAATTATGACTAACAAGCGAGAATCTTTTGGCCCCCACTACTTAAAAAGAACAAGACAAAAAATTAAAATTTGAAAAAAAATATAGTGATAAGCTAAAAATAATAAATAAAAGCTGGTGCAGCTATAGTCAGAAGGGACAAGGGACGCTGCATGTAAGTAGATTATTTATATTTTTCCATGTACATTTTAATTAGCGCGCATTATTATATTTCCCCCGAAGACAACCGAAGGCGTGTTCCTTTTCCTTGGGTCACGTGACCTTGTTGATGACGTCGTGACGAGGCACATTTGAATCGAGTTTCGCTAGGTCACAGAATTGAATTCGCAGTGATTTTGCACAATTCCTGAGAAAATCGCGTCGGCAGGATGGCGAATAAGTCGGCTAAACCGAAGAAAGAGGTCGGCTTCCTGGGAAAAACCTACCTGCTCGCCTACAACGGCGCCCAAGTGGCCGGGTATGTAAAATATATTTCTTTATTTTTGTCTGGAGAAGAGATTTCATTCTCATTCATTATTTACGAAAATTCATTATTTATTCTTTCAGATGGAGCTATATCTTGTACCTGATGGGTCAGTACTACGCCGACCCCAAACCAGGAAAATCTCTATGGGAAATCGTCCGTACAGCTCTGATCATTTTCCAAAACGCTGCGATTCTTGAGGTTCATTTCTTAAAATTGACTCAAAAATTTATTTTCTTATTGACAAATTTTCATTTTTTTTAGGTTTTCCATGCGATCTTTGGACTGGTGTCCTCAAACGCTATGGTGACACTTTTTCAAGTAGCCTCCCGAGTAATGGTTGTGTGCGGAGTACTGATTGGAGTCGAAGGCTCCTCAGACAGTCAAGGTATTCACTTCCTACTCTTTGCCTGGACTGTGACTGAGATCATCCGCTACAGCTTTTACGCAATGGGAATTATTGGGGTCTCTCTTTACCCCATTGTGTGGTGCAGGTAAAAGATATTAATTTGTATTGATGTCATTAATTAAACAATACAATATTTAGATATACATTCTTCATTGCTTTGTACCCAATCGGGGTAACTGGTGAGCTTTTGTGCCTCTGGGCAGCATCACAGTTGGTTGCTGCCAGTAAACAGTGGACCGTTACGCTCCCAAATAGCTGGAATGCTACATTCAGCTACCAATACTTCTTACTCATCGTTATGGCTCTCTACGTTCCATGTATGTTTAATTTAATAATTAAAAAAATTTCACCTAATTTTGTGATGTAATTTTTAGTGTTCCCCCAAATGTACCTGCACATGTTTGGCCAGAGGAAGAAGGTGCTGGGAGGCGGTGAGAGCAAAAAGAAGAATTAAAGACTGTGTTTTGTTTGTTATTTCTTTGCCAGTTGTGGCAACTTGCCATTAGAATGGTGAATGGTGCAGACATTGTCCAGCATGAACGAAAATTTTAAGTTACAAAATTTCTATTTTTAAACCAGTTTTTGACCGCAGTGACAATTTGTAAACTGCTTTTTGCTCAAAATAGCTCTTTAGCGCATTTGTTTAACCCTTTTGTTAATTATGGTTTATTGATTAAACTCTGTTATTTCTTTATAGAAACGCAATTTATTAATTTTTTATGAGCCTGGATTTTTCTTTAAAATAACTTAGATTTTTTTAGAATTTGAGAAAGCTCAATAGGGTGGTACAAGCAGATGAAAGTGAAATATAGCGTTTGAAGTGCAAATAAAGATAAGTAGCTTATCAGGAAAGAGCGCAGCAAAAATAAACTTTTGACAGTCGGGCGAGTGTTCACTGCAAGAAAATGTTTCACCTGGTGCTGCTTACCATGGCTATTGGCCTGCTCTTGTACTGGCTCACCCAAAAACCTGAAAATTTTCCTCCTGGACCTCCGAGGTGGCCAATTATTGGTAACATTCTAGAGGTACTTGTGTTCTCTAATGGGAAAGGGAAGCTTGAAGTTTTTGCAACTATTTCAAGACTGTAAGTTTTAATAATTTACTTTAAATTTTGGATAAAACAAAAACTTCTAAAGTTACGGAGGCATTGTTGGTCTATACTTAGGGGTGCAGCCGACGATAATCGTTAGTGATTACAAATTAGTAAAAGAACTGAGTATCAATGATGATCTGTGCGGTCGGCCTAGTGGTAATAAAGATATCGATAAACTCATGTACAAAGGGAAGAGCAGATGTGGTATGAATAAAATTAATGAGCAACTAAATATATATTTTTAAATTGAAGGAATTATTTTTAATCACGGTGATGATTGGCGCGAGCAGAGGCGCTTTTCTTTGCGCCACATGCGTGAGTTGGGCTTTGGCAAAATGAGCCTGGAAGGAGTGATCCAGGAAGAGGTTGAGGACCTTCTTAGACAGGTGACAAAGAAGGCTGGTGCTGATTTCGAACATCCTGTGGAGTTGAGCGACCTTTTGGGGGTGGCGAGTATCAACGTACTGTGGTATGTCGTCGCTCGTGAAAGATACTCGCATGACGACGCCAGGGTCGCCGTTCTGACTAATTTGATCAGAAGCATCGCCAGTCGGCTGGACGGCGCCGGCAGCGCGTACAGCCACTTTCCGTGGATAATGGCTCTTTTGCCGGGCACAGCATCAAAATTCCAGGATTACTTGGACATAAGAGAAAGACTGCAGAATTTCATTCTGGTGCGAACTGAATTAAATAATGATTATTTTATGCTTTTATTAATTGTGTCTATTATAATTGAATTTAGATTTTTCTCTCCTCATAGTTAGATATATTTATCCATAAAAATTTCAGGAGCGAATTAAAGAGCACAAAAAAACACTTGATAAGAATAATCCTCGTGACTTCATAGACGTTTATTTAGCCGAAATGCAAGAGCAACAGGAGCGCAACAAAGAAAAGACGTCATTTCATGGTAATCTCCATATTTAATATGAAATCTTCAAAATTTTTATGAATAATAATCTCTGTCTGAAATTATATTAGTAGTAGTTAATTCACTACACAGGTGGAATGTGCGAGCCATATAAATGGCAGTAAATATATTAAAAAAAAAAAAAATTAGAGATATTTTACAGGTGTAAAATAATACAAATAATAAATATATTGTTATTGGCATTAAATGTTTTTGAAATAATTAATTTAGTTAAATTTATGTAAATGATTTAAAAAAAATAACATTTTGAACATCTATTTTTAAAATAAATGTTTTTCTGATTTTAAGCACTTGGTAAATTTAAAAATACAAATTATTATATAAGATTTAATTAATTATAAAATAATAAAGTTATTAAAACCTAAATCTCATTTATTTATTTAGAGTTGCAGCTTCTTGAAATAATCAGTGATTTTTTTATCGCTGGTTTTGACACAACTTTTAATTCGATGGCTTTTGCTCTCATCTACATGGTGTGCTATCCTGAAGTGCAAAAAAAAAGTGCAGAAGGAAATTGATACTGTGGTTGGAGGAAATAGATTGCCGAGTCTCTCTGACAGGAGCAGGTTAATTATATTCCTGCAATTAATTTTGATGATTGAAAGTTAAAATCACGCAGTCTTCCTTACGTGGAGGCAACAATTGAAGAGATTTTCAGGACGAGTTCAGTTGTGCCACTCGCAGTGCCACACGCTGTACTTCACGCAAGCAAAGACGTGCCTTTTCACGGCTACACCATTCCAAAGGTACAATTAATTAAACCGTAATTAAATACAAATAAAAGTTTATTTCAACTATATTAAGAATTGGGGGGAAAAAGAAAATATTGAATTTAATTTAATAAAGATTGAAATTATAATTTTTTTAGAACACAAGAATCCTTCTGAATTTGGCGCATATGCACAGTGACCCGAACCTCTGGGGTGACCCTCAAAACTTTCGACCAGAACGATTTCTATCGGAGGAAAACAAAGTCAAAAGGCCTGAATATTTGATGCCTTTTGGAATAGGTTTGGCTCGCTTTGAATAATTTACTTAATTGTTAATCCATTGCGTGATATGCAGGGAAGCGGCAGTGTCTGGGCGAAACTTTGGCACGCAGCAACATGTTTATGTTCTTCACTTCAATCATGCAACGCTTTGAACTTTCAGTTCCCAGCGGTGGCAAGTTGCCCGATAGCAAAGATGTGATAGGCGCCTTCACCCTATGTCCCACACCTTATCAGGCTAAAATCACGCCAAGATTGTAAAAAAATAATACATGAAATAAAAAGGAAAGTTTAGTAAGAGTTAATAATAAAAAATTGAAAAATTCATAAAATTATTTTATCACCATATTTTGGTAACTCATCGCTGTTGGGAAAATGAGGTTAATTATCGATTAGGTATGGTTGGGCATGGTAAAGCGACAGCCTCAGATAAGACTTTGAGAAAATAAGAGTAAACCGTTATCAATTATTAATCTCATATTGTCAGCGGTGATGGCCGCATTTGTGTCTATTTCACTTATTTTCTTGGCTATTTTTTTTATCCTGCGATGGCTAAGCTCCAAGCCTGCGAAATTTCCCCCTGGACCGCCACGCTGGCCGATAGTGGGCAATTTGGTTGAGCTCATAAGAGGCGCAAAAGGAGGAGCCATCCACGAGATTTTTATGAGACTCGCAAACAAGTATTTGATTTAACATTTCATGACAAATTAATTAATTTTTTTTTTTCGAAAAAAAAATTAGATACGGGCCGATTTTGGGACTATTCATGGGAACTCAACCAACTATTATTATATCCGATTACTTAGCAATCAGAGAACTGGGCGCACGAGACGATCTTTGTGGAAGGACCATAAATAAAGTAGGGCAAATCATGCAAAAAGGACGAAAATATGGTCAGTTTTTTGCCGTTGAAATTTCGAAAATTTCATATTTTTTTAAGGTCTTATTTTTAACCACGGCGATGATTGGCGTGAGCAGCGCCGTTTCACCCTGCGTCATTTGAAAGACCTGGGTTTCGGAAAGAAGAGCATGGAGTGCATCATCCAAGAAGAAGCCGAGAACTTGGTAACAGAGGTGGCGAAAAAAGCGGGTGCCAACTTTCAGCAACCAGTCGAATTGTACAACATTTTGGGCACGGCGAGTATCAACGTTTTGTGGTTTATCATTGCGGGCCAAAGGTACTCGCACGATGACGCGCGCCTCCAGAAACTCATCACCTTGATCAAGGATATATCAAGTCAATTCAATGCTGCAGGAGGGCTGGCCGCGTGTTTCCCAATAATTTTGGATATTGCACCTGGACTGACTGAAATCGAAAAGTTCAAGCTTGTCCGTCAGAGAGTGAAGGATTTTATTATGGTGCTCGTTTTTTTTTCTTTTTGTAATAAAAAAGGCCTTATTTTTTATTAAATATTTCCAGGAGGACGTTAACGCACACAAAGAGACTTTGGACCAAGAAAATCCGAGGGACTTTTTGGACATGTACCTGATTGAGATTGAGAAGAACAAAGACAAGAAAGACACTTCTTACTATGGTATAAAAAATTAGGAAATAATAGATTTTGTTTTTAATTTAACTTTTTGTTCAGAGGAGCAACTGGTTTTTGTTGTTGGTGACTTATTTCTCGCGGGAGTGGACACAACTTTCAACGCGATGGCTTTCACTTTGGTTTACATGGTATGCAATCCGGAGGTTCAGAAAAAGGTGCACGATGAAATTGACGCCGTTGTTGGGCGTGATAGACTTCCAAGTTTGAACGACAGAAGCAAGTAAGGGCTTACTAAATTTAACTTAAATTTATGTGACACCCAAAAATAAATTAAATTTATGTTTAATTTTTAAACACCTTTTAATGAAATTTAAAATAGAGATTATTTTAATTATTATAATAGTCTGTATGTATCACTAGATAGGCAACCTACGTAGCATTTATGATTAGCATGTTGCATACCCACTCTACCACAGGCGCTTTGAGGTTACAAGAAAAATTGCGTGTTAAAATAAAATTATATTTAATAACTCATAGCAAGTAAAAAGAGATAAACTTTTTCAATAAAATTTGCATATTTAATTCAGCATGCCGTATGTCGAGGCCACAATTCAAGAATCGCTACGAATGAGTTCAGTGGCACCGCTTGCAGTACCACATGCCCCACTTTTCGCAAAGTTCGACACACCGTTCAGAGAGTTTATTTTCCCAAAGGTAAATAATCAAGATTTTATTATTATGTGGAAAACAGTTCAATTTTTCCTAGGATTCAAGAATTCTATTGAATATTGCTCACGTTCATATGGACCCAAAATTATGTGGGGATCCGGAAAATTTTCGACCAGAGCGATTCCTCACCAAGAACAGCAAACTAATCAAGCCGGACTACCTTTTGCCCTTTGGCTCAGGTCAGTAAATAATTAAACAAAATATTTTTTTTTCGTACTTGATAAATTTCTTTGTTATACCTTTTAGGGAAAAGACAGTGCCTGGGTGAAACCCTGGCCAAAAACAACTTGTTCCTTTTGTTTTCGGCGCTTATGCAGAGATACAAGCTGGAGGTGCCAGAAGGGTGCGCTCCACCCAATAGCAGGGAGGTGGAAGGTGCGTTCACACTTGGTCCAGTACCATATAAAGCTAAAGTGACTCCACGATTTATGGCCTAAAATCACTGCAACTGGATCAGAATCATGATGTACAGGCCAGACGTTGTAATGAGCTAAAATTTTGAATTAATAAATAAATAAATATTACACCAAAAACATTAAATTTACCCGAACAAAAAGTTCCATGGAGGAAGTGAAAAATCCCAGGGGCTCGACGTGTTCTGGCGGGGCACCTGCGGATAGGCGCGTTATCACGACCAAGAGGCTGGAGCGCGCGCCGCCCGATCCCTGCAACCCGCCTCGTGCCACTTGAGATGCGTTCAGAACTCGATTTGCCAGATTCTCACTCTAGGTTGGTCAGATTTGTGAAATATTTGAAGTTTGATAGCATTGATAAGCAAACTTACTTGGTCGATTAGACCCTGGCCACAGGACGAATAAATGAATATTTGAACGAGAAATCCAGCCATTGTTGTGATGGTGACGGAATTGATTGGGTTTTGTGGATACTGAAATTGAAGAGGTTGGCTTTCAATAAAAATGTTAATGGTTTCGATATTTTTCTAGACAGTGACAAATTTAAAGCCTAGAGATTGAACTAAAAGTAGGTGATAAAAAATCTTACACTCATGAAAAAATAGCAATAGGCCAAAATGCTTATTCCAGTAAAGCCATGCGTAAGGAAAATTAGTGATCCCATGATTTTATTTATTTCACCCACGGCTCTGAAATTAAAAATAAAAACAATTTTTTTTTAGTTAAAATTGCTTTGAAACCTGACTTTAAATACGATTGGTGGTGTTTAACCCAAGTTTTAAAAATTGGCGTTATTTGGCCTCTGGCACCAGGTAGAAGGGCCATAGGCGCCGTTTGCGCCAGAAAAGCAGCTCGTTCCGAGGCGGCCAGTGTGAGTGAGCAGCAAAATGCGTCACAGGAACAAGAAATCGCAGTAAATATTAAAGCAGAAATCACTAGAAAAATATATGTGCAATCAAAAATTTTTGCAGTTAAAAGGGAAAGAAATACTCTGCCATATTATTAATATATAGTAAGTTGGTTTCAAGTGGCTGTCGGTTGGAAACCAAATTTCGTAGCTCATTTCTCTGGAGCATTTTACTTCCTCGCATTCCAATGCACGTGAAACCCTGCGTCGTTAACTTTTAAATTAGAATTTTTTCATATTTGTTTAAAAATACGGAAAATACCTTTCTGACGCCGGAAGAATAGCGGTGATTAAAACAGAAATAGCGTTGTAAACCAACATGGTTATCGTCAGCTTCATAATTTTATACTTCGACGTCCTCCGCATAAATCTATTTTCTTTGTCCAGATCGTCACTTTGACCAAAATTTTCTGAAATAACTTTATTAAAATAAAATTATACAATCTTTCAATCACCTGAAAAAATCCTTATCAGATTTTCTAGTCTCGCTTTGTTATTGAAAAAGAAAGATATGCGGAATATGGTGAGTATCAGGTTGACTAGTATGTAGCCGTAGATGGTCGCGTTGATTAGCGAAAAAGGTGACAAGAAAAAGTAGGCCATGGCTAAAAGCGACATTATCACGAAAGGGGCAGTAAACGCGGAGATGTATAAATTGCCCCAGCGCGAAACTGGGCAACCGTCGGGACTTGCGAGACCTGCTTTCATATAAATATTTTAACAAAATTTAAAACTTGGAAAAAAATATTGTACCTGCCCATCTCAAAACTTGAACGTTGAGACTGAACTCACCAGAGCTCATTTTAAGTCAAGACCTATCACCAGTGGCCACAAGTCGCAAACTAATACAAATTCACTTGTATTTTCCCACTTGTAATTAAATTTGCATCGAGCCAGAAATCAAATAGACAAAGTTCCAAAGTTAGTGGAGTAGTTGTTTTATGTTTGGATCGATATTTCTCATCGTGAACTTGGGAACTTGCCCCACTCATATTAAAATATTAAAAGGAATTTCTCCCGAAATAAAAAGAGCTGAAAGTTGTTGGACAGGGAAATGCAAAAATACTTTATTATTAATTTAAGACTATTGCATATCAAGAGCAGCTAATAAAAATCAGTATTCGTAGTCGGCTTCGTCGGCGGCAGGAGTGGTGATCTCCCCAGTGCCTCCATTGATCACGGAGTCGATCCAAGAGAGATACAGTGATACTCTTGTGAAAAGGGGTTTCGTGCCAGGGCAACTGCCCTCGTTATATCCGTAAGAAAACACACCCACAACTCTAGCAGTGCCTTCAGAGTCTACAATGTAAAGTGCAGAACCTTCATCCTTAAATTAAACACAAAGTTTTAAAATAGCTATTTTCCATTATTCTCTTTTTAATCATTACCCTGCAAGGGCCAATTCCTTCAGCGCCAACCAGAGCACACATTTGTCCTTCCTTCAAATTCCTGCACTCTGTGTCAGGTAAAATCTCCAAATCTGTATAACGCAGTAGTTGCGTGCCAGAAGTATCTAAAATTCATTAAAATAATGCATTATGATATAATTGATTTAAAAAAAATGCCTAAAGAACAAGTAACTTAATTGTTAATTGCATTATAATTTTTGGATAAATTATTTATAATTTAATCAACTTTCCAAGTAATAAAATTAATATTGCATATCATATTTTGAACTGCTTTTAAAATATGTAGTGAGAGTGCTGCAAATATATAATTTTAATTATGAAATTTATTTTTAATTCTTAATCAAAGTTAAAAATATTTTGAAATTCATTATAACCGTTGGAAGCGGCAAATCCAAATCCAGAAATTCTTCCAAGGTAGTTATCATACACAGTAGTCTCATCAGGCAATCCAATGGTATCGACATAAGCTAAAATTAATATTATATTTCATATTTTTTAACGAAAAGTAATACAAGCTTTACGCGAAGAGGGAATTGGCTCATTTAATTGAACTAGTGCAATATTTCTTTCATTAAATTGCCCCGGGTTGTAATCAGGGAAGATGAAGACGTTTTCAGCGGCCACAGACTTGACAATGCGACCTGGCTCAGTATTAAGGTCCAAGTTCCGAGCCCCAAAAATTAGAGTGTGGTCTGGTGATCTGAAGTGAGCAATGAATTTAAAGAATTGGATAAATTTTTGTATAAAAAAATTACTTGTTGATGCAGGCGGCGCAAGTAAGCACCCAAGAGGGATTGATCAAAATACCAGAGAAGTTAGCACCAACATTTGCAACAGGCTGAACGTGTACATGCCACGGAAATTGGCCTGCATTTGCAATTGGTCCACCATCCAAAAGAGGATTGACGGCGAAACCATGTGCCTGCCTTTTCATAATATTTATTCAAAAATGATAAAATTAAAAGTTTTAAAGAACGTACCGTCAAAATGGTGCAAGCGAGGCCAAGGAAACCTTTCATCGTTCTACAGAGATTTCTAAGACAAGAATGCGAGAATGCGTGATCGCTCACTTCTAGCTTTGTCTCCTCAAAGTTATGACAATAATCGTCTTTTTATGCAAATAGTATCTTATCGCTTTTTAATGGGTTAAGTGCCGCAATACTGGACTGTTGCGCCGCAAAAAGTATGACGTTGCCAGGCTAATATTTGTTCATTAAGTAAGAACAACCTTAATCACTGAGAAGAAATCAAGTGATCACTCTGATTCTGGAGTTATCAGCTTTTTATTGGTTGAGCGTTTAATTGACTCTCGCATTGTAATAAGAGGAAAATTTTGATACATACTTTAGTATTGTGAAAATTTTTTCAAAGTGCTCTTGAAAAGCCTTTCAGCAAAATAGGTGTGGCGTAATCACAATCAAGCCGCATGATAAAAGAAAAATTGCACTTATTGTATGTCACACGGTGTAAAACTCACAAAGCGTGAATTGGCTTTTTGAAAAGGTAATAATTCAAAGACCGGACGTGGTAATGCACCGGAAGGCTAGCAAAAAATACTTTTTGTGGAAATAAAAAGAAGCGCAAAATTGGCCTTTGGTTTAGTTTGGAAATATTCACCTCTCTGCATAGGTTTACGAAGAGCAGATGATGGATTTAAAGCAGCTAATCGTTTTATTATCTGTAAAACATATTCAAATTTTTGCTGATTTTTAATTTTATGTTTGATTTCATTTTTAAAAGTGTTGCTGCTTGGTGGCTTCAGGTCAAAACTCCACAAAGCCACGCAATTGTACGCAGCAATGGTATGGGGTGAGTTTCGGCTTAATTAATTAAGGGGGGGAAAAGTAATTCTTGTTTTGAAAAATTAGATCATGAACGAGTGTTGCAAAAACAGCCCGACAAACTTTTTTGATCAGGAGACGCGTTATAAGAGCTACGTTGACTGGGAAACAGTTAGCAAATTATGCGGCCCCAGAGAGTTTGTTTTGCAAAAATACCAGACAAAGGATGGTTTTGCTTTAGACATCTCTTCGGCGGATGCTTTCGCTAGAGATGGTATAGTGAAATAGCAAGTGGCATTTTTACGCTGTTAATTCATTCACATGTAAATTGCACGGACAAATATTTGCAGATAAACGGCTTAAGTACCATTTGGTAATTGATACAAGTACATAATGTTTAAGGAGTGTTAATACATTAAATTTTATCATTTTTTTCTATGACTTTTTGTTATCTCATAAAATAGTGTTACTCGGACAGTCTTTTCAAGATCAAGAACTTGGTGATTAGTTTAAATTTTTATTTAATTGCCAACTTTCTTAATGGCCTTTGCCTGGAAAATTAATAGATGATCGACAATAAAACACTCGACTTTGCGAAGATAGCGGACTACTTCAAAGCCATGCCTACCTCGAATGATGATAACGTCAAGCAGGCGCTCGCCACGGCAGCATCTACGTGCTCCAAACAAGTTCCAGGTGCACCCTTGCCATTCATATTAATTATAATTTCAAATTTTTGCACTAGTGAAACACGAATATTGAAAAATAGAGTGATTTTTTTCAAATATGATAGCATCAAATCAAGATGATTTCATTAAAATATTAGATTAGGAATAAAATTTTCAAGCGATGAAAAACGATTATCAATTTTTTTCAAATTTCAATTCTAAGACAATACGAAATAAAAGGGGGGAGGGTTACACTATTAATATAAAAAACGTTTATTAAATTTTAATTATTTTCAATAAAGGGAAAACATTTGGTGAATTTCAGCTTTGATTCCTGCCAATTGGGATTCAAAATATTGCAACCCCCACGCATTTTTAGCAACACAGTGCATTAGGAAAGAATTTTATCAGGTAATTAAAAGATTTAAACAATATTTCAATCATTAAGTTTATTCAATTTTTATTTTCTATCCTATCTCTCTCTGTACATCTGTTAAGACGTGCACCTTGCCAGCGATTCCAAACACTCCCCGTACTGGATTCAGAGTTTTCGGTTAAATTTCAATATAGCATAATTTTTAAATTTCTTTAATGATAAAATATTATTTACAGCTGAGAATTGCGCAAACCGAGCCAAAATACTGAGCGCCTGTGACCCCTTCAAAATGACAAGCCAAAATAATTGAGCGAAATCGGCACAAATTATTTCAATCCTATGGCAAAACTTCTAATTATAAAAAAAAAAAATTAATAATCTCTGCTTTGAAAAAAAAAACTAAAGTGTTTTATTTGTAAATTGGAAGTGAACACTGAGGTGGACTTCACGAAGAATGTTTGAAAATACAACCGGACCACAGGTCACTATTGGTGCCCTTTTTTTTCTTCAACGAGGTTAAGCCTGGTTTCACTTTAGGGTCTTTATTTGTGCGTAATTTGTACTTTGGACATAAGACTTAGGAAAACAAGATCTTACAATTAATTGCAACTCATAAGTGCTCATAAGTTATAGGATAGGATGTTGTTCATATTGTATTAATATCAAATTTACAGCATTCTATACATTTCGTTTTTAACTTTTGTAAACGTAAGCAATAAATTACAATCAATGTGATCTTCATTCCTCAATAAAGTAAAAAAAAATCTATATCTGGCCTTCTAAAATAAAAATAAAAATAAAAATTTAAAAAAATAAAATAAAAAAATGGCCATTTACAAACTCATTTTAAGTTTCGTTTAAAGTTTTGTTGCACGAAAAAGCATTTTAATTAATCAATCTATTGTAATTAAATGAATAAAAACGCTTCCATAATTTTTTTGTGGTGTAGAACAGTTTACAACGGTTAAAAACAATATCAAATGATTATTATTATTATCCTTATTTACCTGTATTATGAGATGACTGATTGCTGTTTATTTTATATTAAGTTTTCGTCTTGTTTGTGATGATTGATTAAAATAAAATTTTAGAATAAAATATGAGCTAATAAAATCAGTAGCAAAATAATGTCAAAATGATTTTTTATGTATATCGATAAATATTATCATAAGTGTGCATGGGTGTGCACTTGTACAGTCATGAAATTAAATTTGCCATAGTAAAGTGCCAAATTTTAGTAATTATGATGCAGACACGTCGTTAGCTCTTTGAACAAAATCTTTCAAACTATAATTACATATTTCTTTTAATACTTTTTGCAAACACAAATTTTTAATTCTATATCGGCCGTCACGGATTTCGCGGGTCAGCGCTGGTGTTCGCACAGCAGTGGCCTGTGATTGGCCAGTGATAGCAGTCGATGAGGGCCGCTGATTGGTCAACCTTGAAGTCAGCTGCTCGTCTATTTATTTGTATACAAATGCACTGAAGAGTGCTAGCGAGCGAGAGTCAACTGCGACGAAGAATATTCAGACATTTTGCATGGTGGATTGGCGAGCGATTCGGCGAAAATGTCGTGGCTGATCCCGCACTGGAGCGAGAGCATCAAAAAGCGGCTGTGTCGATACCTGCTGCAGCGCTACCTCGGCCAGTTCCTCGAGGAAAAACTGACCCTCGACCAGCTCACGATTGATCTCTACAATGGCAAGTGCATTGTCAATGACGTCAGCCTTGATGTGCAGGTACGTTCTCTAATTCGCAAGTCGGACAATGGCAGACATCGGACGCTGCCACTGTCGTTCGGACGCACGAGTCGTCCCGCTCGCATGTTCGCACACACCCGACCTTTGTTTTCACGGCCAGTTTGGTGCGCACTTCGTGGCTGACCAAGGTCAGCAGCTGTCTATGTATGTGTTACACGCAAGTGTGTTGCCATGAGGAAATATTATTCGCGTTTGCGGAAGCGATCAAATTATTTTTTTGCAATCACGCACATCTATTTATAAGACAATTTAATTAAAAATTTCCATTTGGTACCAAATTAATCAAAACTGTGACGAAAATGAAATTTTCTGAAAGGTCATTTTTGTATAAAAATCCTTGGGTATTATTATAACAAATGGCATTGGTTGATCTTGTTTACATAAAATAAAAATAATAAAAATATGAATTTAAATTTGGCTCAATATATATGGTTCTATAATTATAGATTTGTTTTATGTAAACACTTTAATCTTTGATGAAATAAAGTACGTTCAATAAATAAAAAAAAAAAAAAAATTGGGATATCCAAGAAAGTTCTGAAATTTAAAGAAACAAAAATTTAATAAAAGACTAATTCTGACTTTTTTTATAAATTTTCTTTTTGCTTAACGGCAATTATTTTAAAAATTTATAAGCTGAAAATTAATGAACCAAAAACTTAATTTACGTGCTTTGATTTTAAGCTCTCTTTCGCGCTTGAAATTATTTTTGTCCCCAAATTCAATAAGCTATTTTTGTCATTCGCAGGCGCTGAACGAGGTTTCTACGCAGCAAAGCCTGCCCTTCTGGTTTGTGGAGGGCAGCGTGTCCCAAGTTTGTGTCTCCGTTCCATGGTCCTCCTTACTCTCCGACTCAAGCTATGTGGAAATCTGTGGGCTCAGTCTTACCGTCCGGCCGAAGCACCGAGTCGAGACGGGTAAAATCATGAAACTAAAAGAATTAGATCTTTTTCAAGCCATATTAATGCAGGAGCATCAATGCTTGAGTCAATGTGGAACAGCTTCAGCAGCAGTATGCAATTGGCCGAGGAATGTCTCAAACAAGACATGGAACAAGACACAGCTGCCCCGCTGGAGGGATTGGAAATGTTTGCACAAATGATTGAGAGCAGTATGTTTTTTTATTAAAATAATGAATACTATTAAATAAACGGGTTTTTATCAGTTTTGAGCAGGATTAAAGTGAAATTTGAGAACCTGAAGCTTCGCCTTGAGAATGTGCCGAAAGGGAGCAGAACAGGAGTTGCTTTAGAAGTTCATGTCAATGAGTAAGATTACTTTTATACAATTTCTCATCAAAAATTTTATGAAAATTACTTGTAGAATGACATATTTGGATGAAGCCGGTTTAGATACTCCTGCAGAATCAGAAGAAAGTGAAAAGTACCAGGTAAGAATAATTTCAAAGTTAATATACATGGAAAAATTAATTCTATAAAATCTCTAGATCTCAGCCTTTAGCACAAAAAAGTTTTCACTAGAAGGTATTTCTCTCTACACCGACGAATTCTATTTACCTAGCATGGAAACATCAGTCTGGGAAGCACAGGTTTTTTTGCTAAATTTAAATTTAAATTTTCCTTAAATTCTATATTAAATTAGGACGAAACTGAGCACAACCTGATTCTTGCGGCCAAGTTGTCAGCCCGCCAGGAAATTCGATTGAAAATGAAAGCGTCCGACAACATTTCTGGTGCCAAAGTGACCCTTGAAGTGCTTCTTGGTTCGCTCAACTGTTTTCTGTCACCGAGGCAGTTCCAAGCAATGCAGGAATTGATCAACGGCCTATTAAGTCCTGGTGACGACCAGGACAAGCCCACTGGTCGACAAAAACCCATGGGTGTGCAGGATTTCCAGCTTGTAGAGCAGGATTTGCAGCAGAGACTCATGCCTTCGGAAATGGCTGGGCCCTCAGGACACCTTCAGCCAAAACAGGGATGGTCTGTTGCAGGCAAGTAGATTTTTCCAATGTCATAAATATAAAAATTCATCTTGTAGATGGATTGTTTTTTTATGGTAGAAATCTTGCTTTTGTTTTCTAATTTTTTTCCATTTTGGCAATTGCAGAGGACAGTGATGAGGAAGGTGATGAGTTTTTTGCAATGGCGAAGTCAAAAATGAAGGCAAGCATGGGCGCAAGCAGCTGCGGCACATCTAGTGTTGGCGGTGGCAGCATGGCCAGTTCGATGACCGGCTCATCACTTAGCGTCAGCCCGTTCACACACAAGTGAGTGTTTGTTGTAGAGTTATTGATTTTTAATAATCTGTAGGAGACACAAATTTTCCAGTTTCATTGCTTTGACTTTGCAATATGGGTATGCCCTTTTGCACTTGCAATTTTTAAAATTATTTTTACAATTTTTGCCGTTATCATGAAAAAATAATTGATTTTTTTATTTAGATGCCTGGCCGCGTCTGGATTTCCAGAAATGGGCAAGAAAAAGTCTCATTATCATGTTTCCGAGGACGAACCCTGGAGTGCAGACTTCACCAATTTCTCAATTAGAATAAGTTCGCTATCCATAGTTCTTTTGCAGGTGAATTTATTATTCAAATTTGTAAATTTACCAGTATTTTTATTTTCATTTCTTGTTTTAGGAGGACATTTTAATAACAACTCCGACTGCAGCATCACCTCATTTACGACAAGTCACCCCTACTTCTCAACAACAAATGGTAGAACTGGCAAACGCCTTCTTCAAACACATCGAATCAGCAATGCCTGACGGATTTGGCGTCAAAGACTTTGATAACGCAAAACGAATCATCAGGGATGCAACAAAACCAAACCATTTGCGGTATGCAACAATTTTATTTTAACTCCGTTTTGGTATCAAAATTAAAAATCAATTCAGCCTTGTAGCGGCTCCAATAACAGTCGAGGGAACCGACAATTTGGGAAGCAATGGTTCTCACACAGAGGGTCTATTCACAGCTGCTAGATTGGAGTTTGCCGAGTTATTGAACGACCAGCCAAATCAAGATTCGGAATTACTTGTGTTTCAAGACAGCAAGGCGTTCAGTTCTTATCCTGACCTTCAAATGTCTTTCTCTCACAAAGTTAAAAGCAACCGAGGAATTACTTATCCAAGAACAGAAATCAAGTAATTTTTTATTGTTAGAATGAAATATTTGATTAATAAAAATGACAAATCTCTGCAGATTTAAACTACAATCCTGCCTAGTAGAGGTAGACCTTAGCTTGATGGATAGAATTTCTAGCGTTACTAGCTCTTCACATCCCATTTGCCAACAAACCAAAAAGAGACAGTCACCATTAGAAAATCCAATCAACGTATTCCAGGCTGTGGAACCGTCGGGATGTTCAGATAGCCGCGTTGATATAAGTGTTCAATTTCCAAACAAAGTTGCATTCAAACTGAGGTTATTAATCAACCACACTACTTAACAGCAGAAATTTAAACCTTTAAATTTAGGTTTCCCTGTCCTGATTTACGACCCTTAAGTGACATGGGCCGGGCGCCTTGGTGGCAACGAAATGTCCGAAGCGAATGGCTTTTAATTGAGCTCAGTGAGGCAGAGCTCAAGTCCACAATCGACAGCCGAGATCCAACAACCAGAGTTGAAGTTGCTTGCAGAGGTCTGCAAGTCATATTTCAGGTATATATTTTATTATGGCTTAATTCATTTTTAGTAAATTGCAAACTAATTGTAGGATGGAGTTGAGGAAAATGATGTACCTGTGTTGGTTTGTGATATGGATGAAGCGGGCCAGTCTTTGCCCAACAACGGCAGAGACTTTGGTCTTATTAGACTGACTGTTGTGATTTCCCCGTCGACCAGTGAACTCTCTGAGTTGGTTCTCACAATGGAGGACTCGACGGAAGACAGCCTTGGGCAGTCGTCTCTAGATTCACTTGAGAGACAGACGCGTACTAAAGATCCTAGTCCATTTAGTGCCAAGAGAGTTGTGCATGAAAGTGATACTCCACACGATGTGGCAGGTATGTCTGGCATTTAAATTTTAAAATATCAAGCTTCATCAAAATCAATAACTGATTAATGAATTTTAGATGAATCAGATGAACTTGTGATACCTGGAGATAAGAGGGAAATAACCAATTTTATTGAGTTTGCCTCTAAGCAAAGTAAAATTCACATCGATTTGGTTTTGCCAAAAGCTTATCTGACAATTCCGTCAAAGCACTTTTACGAACTTCTTTACAACCGGTAGGAATTGTGGTTTTAACTTTAAATGCCAAATAATTTATTTTAAACATGAAGGATAACAACCGATTTTATGTTGTGGGAGCCATCACGGCCATCGAGTGCCCCTGCGCCAGACTTGATGTCCGAAGTGACTCTTAACACAACTGCCTTTAGCATGTGCAAGTCAGGAATTCACATGGGTAAATACAAAATTTGAAAATAAAAAAAAATTGGTGATAAATATTCTTTGTCTATTAGAAACGGATTCGGACTCAAGTTCTGATTCAGAGGGTATCTTCTACTCCGTTCATGAGCACAGACAAAGACAAAAGCTGCAGTATATTAAACAGACGAGAGTGCCCCTTGGTCAAAGCAAAGTCACAATCAACCTGAATATAAATCAAGGAACTATTTCACTGAGCACGCCTGCAAGGGTATGCAATAAAAAACATTTGTTTTTGTTGTATTTTATTCTAAATTATTCTCCATATCAGGATTCAGCGAATTGTGTTATTCCAAACCAGAGGGGTGAGTTGAAGCTTGCAATTGGAGAGGGTTCGCTTTTCGTTGTTTCGGAGTGCAGGGGTGATCCTACTTTGAGCTATGTCTGCATTCAGTCCAACCAAGCCTCTCTTTTTCATGCAGGTATGTAGGCAAAAGCGTTGTTTCAGTGAAATTCAAGTCAATTTTAAACATAGGCCTCGTGGCTGCTGGTTTGGACGATGCACCTCTTTTGCCAACAATCTTGCAAACTGTACCAGGAGTGAATATGAAGCCTCAAGACAAAGTTGGATGTGGGGGTCAGAGTTTAGACATGCTCTGCGTTGCAGTTAAAATACACCTCAAGCAGCCTGGGGCCCTCAAAGTATGTAAACCAAAATTTAAAATTCCGAAATTCTTCAGTTAATTTTTTCATTTAGATGATCAAAGTGGCTACGGCCGTGCGAGGCGCCACATTGCAGCACAGGGTAGTTCCTGGGCCTCAGAGTTGGTTGTCTCAAATGATAGACATGCTGGACGTGATGGACTACCCTGTGCCAGGCTACTTGCCTCCGAGAGTAATTACAGAACTGCATCTCCATCTATGGAATTGCGCTGTTGATTACAGGTTAGAGATTGAATAATTAAAAAAAAAAAATTGGCTTAAATTGATTTAAATGTAATTTTTTTAGGCCTCTGTACTTGCCATTACGGTGTATGGTCACAATGGGCAGTTTCTCTGTTTCAAGCAACTTGGCTGCTCAGACAAGGTCCTCTTCTTTGAGGTTCATAGCAGAAGAGGGATCCCTTTTCATTAGTGATAAAGTTTCTCTAATGAAGACTCCTGACCTAGCCAAAGATTACGTCTCTGTTATCACATTGGGACTTTTTGAATTGTCTCTTCGGCTCAGCGATGATCCGAGAGTGCCAAAAGTAAGAAATCAGAGTATGAAAATCGATTTTAATATTTCTCTGCAGGTTGATTTGAGAGCGTCCAGCACGGCCCTGCATTTGCGGACATGTGCAGATTCTTGTCGAGCATTGGCTGAACTGCTGTCTTACTTTGCAAGTGATGGAGATTTGACGCAGCCCATCAACATGTCAAGCAGATCAACAACACCATTGCAGGCAATTTAATATAATTATCAAGTTTGTCACATTTATTTAAATATAATTTTTTTTTACTCAGAGTGAAAGAGGTTCACAGTCCTCCCTTTCTACGCAGAGCCAGACAGACCAAGTGAATTCAATGATGGAAGATGCAATGCAAGACAGCCACACCGAAGAGCATCATATTGAGGAGGATGAGGAAGCAAAAACACCTAGTGCAACTGCAGAAGATTTGGAAAACACGGAGGAATTCAGTTTCCCTGACGATAACAACAGACCACATGTGAAACCTTCTAGCGATGACGAGGAGGAGTTCTGCATTCTGGGAGAGGACCCAGGAACTGGAATTATTGTAATGACTATCATTATTTTCTTCTCCTTAGGTAATTTTCAATTTATTGCAGCCTCTGCACGGGGAGCCAGAAATAAGAAAACTGATCAACGGGCCTATTCGAATAGTAGAGAATCACTTCGGGGTGCCTCTGCGACGAATGGACCTACTGGAAACACCAAAGAATTTCCCCAACCCTGAACTACGATACACCATCTGTGATTTATCTTTAGTCTGGCACTTGTACGGCGGCTCTGATTTTCAGTCGTCTGAGAAAAAAATCGTTAGAATCAAAGGCGAGACCAATGTGTAAGTCAAATTATATCTTAAATTTATAGAAGCTACAGTGTTCTTATAGGGCTACTAATTCTCCAATGAGAAACATGGGACCTTCTCCGTCAATCAGCTTTTCAAAGTCGGCTCCTGGGGAGATCCAGTTCAACATCGAGAAGAGCAGCAACACACAAAAAGTTTGTAGCGACTGGCAAGAACGAGGTGGACCTGGCCGAGACCACAACGTTCTGATGGAATTCCAATTCAATAAGGTACTATTACCCTGCTAATCTTCATAACATGCAACTTGATTTTATCCATGAAATTTTAGGTGCGCTTTAGGCACGAAGTCTATCCTGAAAATGCAGAGGTGGCATCAAGACAAGTTTTCCTTGTGCAGAGTTTGGAGGCGCGAGACCGTCTTGCCACCTCTGCCATCAACAAATTTTTGTACCTGCACTGCAGTGAGTCCCAACCAAAACAAGCTCATGCCAATATGGTATTTTTAAACATGTTTTTAATTTCTCTCTTAACAAAGTTTTACATACAGGTTGTGATAAAAGCAGTTAATCTACGTCCAGATGTCAGCTTGCCAAACCAGCAAGAATGTTGTTTGAAAATCTCTCTCCTGCCTCTGAGATTCAATATCGATCAAGACTCTTTGCTCTTTTTGTGCTCATTTTTCTCGGACCTGGCAACAGTTGCACCTTCACAGAGCAGTGAGGACATCAGTGCTGCTCTACAGCCGCCAGTCATGTTAGTCAATTGCCCTGCTTCGCCCACTAAAGTCATCACCGAAGAGCAGCCACTCGTTCCGGAGTTCGACAGTGAGGACAAGGGCAGTCCGCCAATATTCTTCAGGTATCAATCAAGAATTGAATTTTGAACTAGTTATCTAATTTAAAAATTTCATATTCTAGGACGCTATTATTTTCTCCAGACGTTCCAATCAGGATTGATTACCAGGGCAAAAGGGTTGACATGAGTCATGGTCCTTTGGCTGGAATCCTGATGGGTTTGGCTCAACTGAACTGCTCTGAAGTCAGCCTCAAGCGGCTCTCCTACCGCCACGGGTACTGCTCTCCAAATTTATTTGATATTCAGCTTTTTAAATATTCATTTTAGCTTACTCGGAATGGACAAACTTGTTTCCTTTATGATGTCAGAGTGGCTCTCGGACATTAAGAAAAACCAACTGCCTAGCGTCCTTGGAGGAGTGGGACCAATGCACTCAATTGTGCAACTTTGTAAGACAGACCTCTGAAACCTTTGATTGCAAATTTTTATATATTTTCTATCAATTCTAGTCCAAGGCGTCAGAGACTTGCTTCTTCTTCCACTTGAACAGTACCAGAGAGACGGCAGAATTGTACGTGGCCTTCAACGTGGTGCTCACAGTTTTACATCTTCTACAGCTATTGCCGCCTTGGAGCTAACAAATAGACTTGTTAACGCTGTTCAGGTATTCTCTTATACTTTTAATTAAAAAGACTCTTTGTAAGAATATTATTAAACTAGATTACGGCTGAAACTGCCTATGACATGTTGTCCCCTGGGCCTAGTTTGAGGCAGCGACGAATGCTGGGTGGTACTGATAAGAGGAGGAGAGACCGACAAGCACCCCCAGCAGACATTAGGGAAGGCGTCACTAATGCTTATCATCTTGTTCAGGAGGCAAGTTTACTAATAATTATTAATATTTCTTTGTTCGACATGGTATGATGATGGAAATTTTGTAAAACCTTGAGGTGTGTTTATTTTTTAGGGCCTTGGTGAAACTGCACGCAATCTGGTGGCTGTAGCAAGTGCTGAACATGAAGAAAAGGGAGTGTACGGTGCTGTTGGGGGCGTCCTGCGGCAAATACCACCAACTGTGGTGACACCTGTTCTTCTGGCCTCGGAGGCGACGGCGTGTGTCTTGGGCGGTCTGAGGAGTCAGCTGGCACCAGATGCGAGAAGAGAGGCTGAACACAAGTGGAGGACCAACAAAAAGTGACAAATAGAGACAGAACTGTAATCATTGTTAATTAAGGTACTTTCGATTTGCAAAAGTAATATTCTCTATATATTCTTTTATTTCTTTGTGTAAAGGTGTATAAATGTGCAGCATTTTTGAAGTTTTTATCTCAATAAATGTATTTAACTCTGCGTGTATTTGAATTCCTTATTTTCCCTTTGAATGAGTTACTGAGAATTTAAGTGAAAAAATATTTTCTTAATTCAACAATGCAAAAAATGTGTCGAGCAGCATAAAAAAAAATATTAAATCTTTTGTGAACCTAATATCCAAAAACAAATTCAGCTCCAGCAGATACAACGCCGCAGCAGTGGGGAGGGCGCATAATGTAATAATAGGTTGCACGGCGCCCTTGCAAAGTGATTAGTCGCTCTCACTTAATTCTTGCCGGTTGGGGATTAGATGGAAGCAGTTAACCGGTGGTGGCCAGTCACTTGTCTCAGTCGGCTCAGCTAGTTGTTTGTTGGATATAAATTTGCACCTCACCCGCAATCAGAGTGCATTCGGCAGCGAAATGCGCGTGCAATCAGTGCTGATGCTGATTGCTATTTGCCAATTGACTGACGCACTGTATGCAAATGAGTGGGTCGTCAGGGTTCCCGGAGGCTTGGAAACTGCCCAACAGCTTGCTAATGAGCTTCGATATGACCTCATCAGACAGGTAATAGATCTAATTGATAAATTAAACAGGTAGGAACGCTTAAATTTACATTAAATTAATCTGTTTTAACTTACATTGCAAGTTTCTCACCTCAGTAACAGCTCAACATAATTTTATTTTTTACCAATATTAAAAATCTTAAAAATTAATCATCAAAATCATATAAAATATTTACGTGCAAATTTTCTTATTGCTTCTTATAGTTTCTTTTTATATTTAAGAAATATTATATACATAAATATACATAATTAATATTGTAAACTGTACCTGATTTGATTTATATATTTGATTTATATAAAAAAAATATAATTTGAATAAATTTGAATGGTAACACTCAAGGTAGATTTCATGAAAAATTGAATCCGGCAAACGTCGTTGCAAAGTAGAAAATGAAAAAACAAGGACATTTGGGATCAGTTGTCCTTTATTTTTTCTTTGCAACAAGGTTCAACCGTTTTCAATTTCATTGTTTCAAAAAATAAATTTGATTTTTAAAAAGTTTTATGTTTATGTTATATTTAATACAAATATTGCAGTGTGTTAGAATTTTTAATAAAAAAAATATGTGTAGTTTTAAATTTGCCGTTAAATTATTTTACTTTTAAATTGTTTAGAAGGATGCAAAAATTTAATAATTATGTCAGATTAATACCACATTAGCATTTGGAGACATACATCTCAAAGTCGTGAAAGCTTTTAAATTTATCTCTTTTTGGTCTAGCATTATAATTTTAAGCAGATTAATTATTTATTTTTTGACGACCTAAATATCGTTGACGAGATTCTCACATCTCTCCACCCTCGCTGGCTCTATAACCACCATAAATAAAATCGTAACGTGTAATCATTGCTGCGTTACAAGTTGTAATGAAGAGCGTGTTTGTGCTGCGGAAAATAAATTTCCGGCTGCATTAGCGGCTGCGAACAACATATTGGCGGAGACATGTGACACCAGGGATTAAAGCCGTTCCTGTCTCGCTCATTAAATCCGATCCGATCACACTCTCTAGCCAACGTCACACGTTTCCATTTGTCCACCCACACCACATGTGCAACTACTTCCTCTGCCAGACTGGCAATATAATAATTAAAATAAGTGTTCGAAGACGTCGACAATTTCATCAGATTTTGTGATTTGAATTTAGAATACAAATCTGAAATTGTACTCAACAAGATTTATTTATTTTTTAAATTTAATTTTTTTTTAGATATAAAGGATTTTTTATTCAAATGATATCTTTACTATTTTAATTAAAATAATAATTTGATCTTAAAAATAGATTAAAATTATTTCAAAATTAATCATTGACAAATTTATTTCTACATGTAATATGTTCATCTACTGACTGTCTTCCTTTTGATAGAAAGTGAATTAATTAACATCAAGTTCATTTTGAAGGGTTCAAAAAGGCCTATCTTCATTCAGTAGCACGCACGCGTACGTGTCTTGATTAAGTGAGTGTAAGTTGGGCGATAAACGCAACATTTGCGTGGTTTCGCGGCAGCCTGCTGATGATAACGCACTAAAATGTTTGCCCCGATGAACATCAATCAAGCACATTATATACGCAGGTGCCGAGATTCCCTCCCCGCGGAGGAAAATTAATGCACGCCTCTTGGCGAGCATTAGCCTTTGGACGCTCAAATAATTTGTCATCTCCTTCTCTCGGGAAAACAAACAAGCGCCCACATTTATGCGCAGCGGCGCATGAAAACTTTCCACAAAGTTAAGCAAAAAATGAAAGGTTTATTGGCGCTTTAATTTTAATTGTGTGGTGTTTAAAACATCTAGCCAAAATATATATAAAAAGAAAAAATAGAATTCTGAAATTTTGAAACGTAGCGAAAAATTCATATGTTCTGAAATCGAATTTAAATGCCAAAATTTAAGCTTTATACTTTTAAGAAAGCCATAAAAATGCAAATTTCTAGTCTCTCACACTTCATAAGCTCGGATCTTTTCATGGCTCATTAATAAAATCAGCATTTTTTTCAAGTTTGAACTTTTAATTCAAAATACCTTCAAACCAGAATTAATTTTTTTTAGAAATAATCTATTTCTCTTTGAAAAACGGCAACACTATGAACATGAAAAGTTTATTGAAAGCTCATTTAAAAACGTTTGTTTACAAGAAATTAACAATTTTTAGCTTTAATGATTGAAAGAAATCAAGCTGATTTTTAACATAATAAAAATATATCAGCGTATGTGAAAGAGTATGTACTTTTAATTTTTAGGTGAATAAAATGTAAAACCAACACAGTTTTGCTCTCACCGTCAGTCAGTCCATTACCAGATTTCCGCACCACGTAATAATATCTCTGGTTTTAATTACGCCACGCGCGACTCTAAAAGCCGCAAAGTGCCCAAAATTGGTTAATGCGAAATTTTCGTCAGCGGCTGTTTTTTTAGTTTTGAATTTTGAAGCAAAAACAAGAGCTCCACGGGCATGCTATTATTCATCAGCTCTTCGTTATGGCTTGCTCGAGAGGTCGCCGTTTTGTGTTACAACACGCCCAGCGCTACGATAGATAGGCAACCTGCTCGACGGGCATAATGAGCAGAAAGCCTAACTGCGGAACAGCTTCAAAAGATTATCAAAAGAGCAGAAGATGTATGTCCTGATATTGGATTGTTGGAATTGATCAGACACAGATGCTTAAAGAAGAAATTTCAAATTCATTGTAAGGTTGAAAATTCAAACCATGTTCATTGTTCTCACAATCATTTTAAGTTTTCATTCAAAAGAAAATTAAGTTAAATTTATTTAAATAGAAGAATTAGACTGAAATATCCTGCAAAAATTCATTTTAAGCCGTTTCGAGGAAAAAGAAATGAAAGATGTAAAAGTAAAGATATGGAGAGCTATATTATAGTATAATATTGAATTAAAAGTAAAAATATATTGACTGTGTTTTTAAAGTACAATACGAAAACCAACTTTCAGACTTTTCTCTATCTCTGTTAATGCATCATCAAAAGCACTCCGAAAAAGCACAACTTTTATGACAATGCCACATATCATGATATCAGCTGGCCTATCCACAAGTGGTTGCGAGCGAGCGCGAGTCTATTTGCTGAAAGCCGAGTTGGCGCCGGCGGCGGAGAAAAGGGGTCGATGGTGGGTGGGTGGTGGGTAGGCAAGTAGCCCCTGCTGCACAAAGGGGGTGTTTTATGCAGAATGCAGTGGCCGAAGCACCTCTTGCGCGGCGCTGAACTCCTGTTCCTAACGTCCCCTGCGCGCTGCTCGTGGGCGGAACTTCCACCACCAACGACTGACTGCGAGGAAAGGGTGGCGGCGATCGACCCCTTTGTTTCCTTTGTTCCTATCGGCCACGCGCCACTCCTCGCCATATGGCTCTCTTTGTTTGCACCTATGCTGCTGCCGGGGTCTGTACCTGGTGTTTTTTGGTCGGGCCCGCCCGAGCGTGACATCGAGAGGGCTCTCTTTTGTGCCGCGGGAACGCGTGCACGTGCGCGCCTTCGAATTTAATTATGCTCGCGGCCGTATCATTTGATAGCATTGTTTGCCGTGGCCAGGTGTGTGCAGAGTGAAAAAGCGAAACGCCGCCTGATAGACGAGAGAGCCCCGATTTTCTCTGTAGGGGGAGATTTGATTCCCCTCTCAACAATCAAATTAAATACTCTTAATCAAAGAAGACAAAAATCTGACCACGTGAAAATTAATAATTCAAAATTTCACACGGGGAGTTTTCTTTTTATTTACACCCTTCTTGAACCTCAATTTATAAATCATCATTCTTGGAGTAAAGAAAACGAAGGCTCGTCCTGGTCTAAATAAAAACTGGTTAAATTTTTTCAACAAAGGAATAATAAGAATGTACCATTTAAAGGAAGATATTTCAGATGGCCAAAAATAGTGCTCCCACAAAATCAATGATGCTATTGTAGTTTGTAAAACCTTCTAAGAGAGAAAAAACAAGCGCATCAAATTACGTTAAATAAAAGTACATTTGATTTCATGTGCATCCCGAGAGGACAATCCGAATAATAATACACCGTTTTAACAATAAACTTGAGTTATTGCGTAATTTCTTAAAAATGCAAAGAAATGGTTCCCCTACAAAATAAATAAGTTTTTTATAAGTGTGTAAAATTTTACAAAATGAAATAACTCAAGTGCATCAAATTATTTTTGAACATATTTTTTTCCAATCACAGTAAAAATCGTTAAAGATTTTTCATTTCAGGTTTTAGGTTTTGACGACACGTACATTTTCAGTCAGTTGGGCCAACCCGTGATCCAGAAGCGGAACAGCGCGAATTTGACATTACGACTCTCCGGTGACTCCAGGGTGAGTTATTTTTTCATATTTTTACGGCAGTAGTTTTTTTCTTGAAAAAATTCATGAAAAGTTAATGGAGTGACGCGCGTATTTGATATACTCCCTTCAGGTTGAGTGGGCCGAGCAGCAAACGTGGAAGCGCCGAGATAAAAGGGACCTGCTCTTGAATGACGAGCAAATTTCGCCGTCCCTCGGCAGGAGACGCGCCGACTTGGCCGTGCCCTATTTTGGCTCGATTGGATTTTTCAACGACGAGCTTTGGGACCAGCAGTGGTACTTGGTATATTCACAAACTTGTTTAAATTTCTGTTAACTTTTTTTCCACGCAGCAAGACACGAGAACTAGACCAGACTTGCCACGTTTGGATTTAAAAGTGATTCCCGTTTACGAAAAGGGAATAACGGGACGTGACGTCAGGGTCACTGTTCTCGACGACGGGTTGGAATTTCGGCACAGAGATATTTTACCGAATTACGTAAGTTAAGTTTTCCTTAATGATAAATTTTTAATGATAGTTTAAAAAAAATATACATATATACAGGAAATGTATATACATAGTCATTTTACGTTTTTTTTTTTGCGCTTTTCAATACGATTCACAGGAAATTTGCATATCATATTTCGGAAGGCCAAAAATAATGGTAGCATTATTTTGCTACAAAAGATCATATTTCAGCTTTGTGTCACTAGATATCATATATTTGTTAACGCAGCATCATTTTACAAAGAAAAAAAATTTGTCAGCTAATGCATTTGAATTTTTAACACGCAGTAGCGATGACGATTAGCAGAAGTTCTTTGATAAAATATCTTATTTATACATACATATATGTTGATATGAAAGGAACCGTGAAGAGATTAGTTTATAATTTAAAATTGAACAAAAACAATAACTAACTTTTAATATTATAATTAACTTTTTATTGTAATTTTCAACAATTCCCGGCTTAAATGTTTCTGTGAAATAATTGATTTTTTCAGTATAGGTGATTGACAACAGTCACTCCACTTAAGTCAAGTGCATTATTACCTTGAGCCGCGCATTAATGCTTAAAGTGCTTTTTCCCTGTTTTTATGATTACTTTCCGCGGCTCCCACGCGTTATAAATTTACGCTTTGATGATAAAAAAATAAACAGGCTTCTCACGTTACACGAGTCTCGCGGCCGTCTCATTTCCGATTCAACATGGGCGCGCGAGCACGCAGGTGACGTAAGAAGGACTCCTCCGCTCTCCTGAATATTTCAGACCTCTTGGCTCGCAGCATCCGACTGCTCCTTCGCTGCACGGGTCGGTGAGATTTACTGAAATTTGCGGCACGCGCGCCTTCGCAAATTATCGCGATTGCACGAGAAAAGGCGCAGCGTTACTCTTTATTTGAAGTGAGAGGCGCCACTTTTTCGCTCGCTCGCGCGCGCGTTGAATTGAAATTTAAATATGGATGAGGTCATGAGGCATATTCTCAGGAGAGAGCGTGAAAGAGAGTGAAAAAGATCTAGTTTGGGGATTGGTACAAAAATAGAACAATTTGATACAAAGAGAACAAAAGTATAAAAACGTGCACAAAAAATTATTCTCTGCATCTTGAAAGTACGCTATAAATAGAAAAATGTTTTGAATTCACTTGTTGAAACAATTTTTTTTTATTAAGAAAAAAGTTCACTTGCTTAGTATTTGTTACTAGCTGCAACTCTATTTTATGAGCAAAAAATTATCAAATAATATTTAATCAAACTGGATTGATTTTAATATTTTATACTTAATTATCATTTAAAGTTGTTATGAAAATTTAGGATTGTCCTTGTCTTTTTTAAATTTTTGCTTTACCTGATAATTTTAATTACAAAACAACTGTAAATTCAAATTATTATTATTATTTGCAACTGTTTTATTTGCTTTTATTGTTCTATATATTGCTGGGGCATAACAGATATAATTTTAATGTTGTAATTCACCCATTGTTTATAACGTCATGTCGAGATATTTTCAATGTCTATTAATTTAAATTCATTAATTTTTCCTCCAATGATATGAGACCTGCAAATGCAGAACCAAAAATTATTTAGAGATTTTTTTAGTAAAAAACGAGAGGAAAACATCAGTTCTTCATTTACATAATTCAGAACATAAGTGGAAACGTCTTTAAAATAAGTTGATTAATTTTAAATCTGACTTTTAATTTTAAGGATCCTGAGATAAGCTACGATCTAAATGACGGCGACTCTGATCCGAGTCCGCGATATTCAAGTAAGGAGCCAAACAGCCACGGGACAAGATGCGCCGGCGAAATTGCAATGGTGGCCAATAATTGGAAGTGTGGAGTTGGAGTTGCCTACAACGCAAAAATAGGAGGTTGTATAAATGATGCTGAGCAATTATATTAAAAATATCACCTGAATCTGATTTTAAAATAAGGTTTATTGCGTGGGAAAAAATTTCTATTGTTGCCTGGGAATTCTCTTTTTCCCATTTAAATTTTGATATCGACTAAGGAGAATGAATAATAATTTTTGAGCGAGACTCCACTTCTTCATTTTAGTACCCATGTGTAATACATCACGAAATTTGTGCCTTTTGAAAGTACAATAAAATTTGAAGTGAAGAGAAACGTGCTTTTTGTCATCGTCAATATTTTTTTTATAAAAAAGCGGCTCTACCAGTTTTGGTCACGATCTGCGACCCTATTTTATCAGGAAACGCGTTTCTCATTGATTAATATACGATCTATTACAATAAAATTACCAAATATTTGCCTAATATTGAAAATCTCACTTGGCTCATTTTAAGGTGTGGGAATTAGAATTTTTATACTCTGATGGATATTTTTATTTCAATCTTAAAGGAATTAGAATGCTTGACGGAGAAGCTGGAAGTTCCATGGACCGGATCGAAGGAGAGGCTTTGAACTTCGCGCTTGATAAAGTTGACATTTACAGCGCCTCATGGGGACCTACTGATGACGGCTGCACTGTTGAAGGACCTGGACGATTAGCCAGGGAAGCTTTGGAAAGAGGAGTTTCTGAGGTATTTCTGATGGAAAAGATCAATACAAATTACTTTTTTTTTAAATTTGTAATCAAATGAAAAAAAATGAATTTAATTTATCTTGTAATTTATTTTGTGTGCCTTATTAAGTGAAATTTATTTTAATTCTAATTCAGACATTGAGATTTTTTAATCAAGTAAGCTTCCACTTTTTGCAAATATTAAGTTTCATAAACTTTTGCAATGAGCTTTTCCCTAGGGATCTTTTGTTATTTTAACAGAAAATTAATTTGAAATGCTTAGAAGCAACTTGATTATTATTTAATAGGCTTGACTTTGATGTTGCAGGGCAGGGGTGGCAAGGGCGCCATTTACGTTTGGGCCTCGGGGAACGGCGGCAGCAAAGGCGACGACTGCAATTGCGACGGATACACATCAAGTGTGTTCACCCTGTCCGTGGGAAGTGCGTCGGAACGCGGCCAGTTCCCTTGGTACGGCGAGCGATGCGCATCCACCCTGGTTTCCACGTACTCGAGCGGCGCCTACTCGGATCAGATGATCGCAAGCACCTTTCCATATCTTTCATCTCTTTCCGCTGATCGTTGACTCAAAGAAGAAATTCGCAGAATTTTATCGACCAATGTGTATAAAAAAATTACTCGCAGACTTTCCTGCTCTTTGAGTCAACTTCGCTTTTATTTGCACATCTTATCATATTTCTTTTACCCAGCTCTCGATTCTATATTTCCTTTGACGAATGTTTTATTTGAGCTTCTCTGAAGTGAAAATTCAACTCTTTTCCACGTCATCAAGCTTTTTGCTTATCAAAGACATTTTTGTATTTGTGCTTTTTGATTCAAAATTGAATCCGGTTTATAAAATGCATTATATACTTATTTTTTTATACCAGAAATCTTTCATCTTTCTTTAATTTTACGTTCAACTTGCTCTATCTATGCGTTCTGATTTGATTAAAAGTCTTATTCTGCGAGTTAAATTGATGAGAAGCGTAATTGAGCGAATTTCCCCGCAGGCTACAACCGATCTCTTCAATTCTTGCACTGTCAAGCACACGGGAACATCTGCAGCAGCACCGCTTGCTGCCGGAATTATTGCGCTTGCTCTCGAAGTCAAGTGAGTTTCTAAATTAATATATACACGTCGTGACATTATAATTATATTTTGCGAAGCGGAATTCTGCAAGAACTTTATAGAGCTCATAAAGTTGGGCAAGAAACACAAAAACTTGAACAAAACAAGTACAAAATAATTATAAAATTAATTGGATGTTGTTTTCAAGGCAATATTTTTTTTCTCAAACTGATTAAACCTTGGAAGATGAAACAATGTTATTCAAGCAACATGTTTTGTATTATTTATTCTAAACTAAGTGTTACATGTAAATATACAATAATTAAATTAATTTTCGTCAATTTTGAATTTTACCGATTAATTTTGTACATAGGCTGATTGAGATAAATTGTTTAAAATAAATATTAGAATATTGTTTTAAATGTACTTTGTGGCTGCAATAAAAAATAAATGCCTGAGAGCTGCTTAAAATTTGGATGATGTAGGTAGAAATTTTAAAATAATAAAATGAAATTTCTTCCTTACAAAAATATATGCTGTGAAGTTCGATTAAGGTTGAAAAGAAATTTGTTGATGTTGACCAAATTCAATCAATGCTAATTTGCAGATACAGTATCTCAGTAAAAATTAATATTTGTTATTATTATTTATATAATTTAATATTACCTCAAATATAATCACACCGAGGAATTTACTAATTAATCTCTTTGGCAGTCCCGAACTAACCTGGCGGGACGTGCAGCACCTGGTGGTTTGGACAGCTGACGTGGCCCCATTGGCGGACAACAAGGGTTGGCAAAAGAACGCCGCAGGGCTGCACGTCAATCGTCGATTCGGCTTCGGTCTCATGAACGCGTTGGCAATCACTCAGGCGGCCGCAAATTGGAGCACCGTGCCGCCATGGAAACATTGCACCATTCAGCTCAAGTGAGGAAAATTAATCATTTTTAGCGGCTGCTATTGATTTCCGACCTCCTGCAGCTTTTTTGCACCCTCGATATATATGAAAAATGAAAACTCGCGTCAAATGTGATTTTTCGAGTGTCAAAATTTCAAACTTTTTCACAGACTGTTATTTTCCCTTCACATGCATAAATTAAAATTTATTTTTTAGAAATATTTAATAGATAATTAATAAAGTCCTCCAACACTCCACTTCTTTCCTTATACTGCTCCACTTTTAGAAATTCAATACCATTTTGGTGGCTGTACGAAAATAGCCTTTGGATTTCCTTTGCGATTCCCTGTCAGGAACGTGGCCCATTGTTATGTAATGGAAAATATTTGGCGAGAGTCAATTTCGCGTACCTTCGTGTGTCCGTAGGGGAAATTCGACGACCGAGACGCAAACGGAAGGAAGCGCCCGGCTGGTCTTTTCAACGGCAGACTGCGAGGAGCACGTCAACTTTTTGGAGCACGTCGAGCTCAAAGCCACGATCGAGCATGCCATCAGAGGACAACTCGAGATTTTCCTCACGTCGCCCGCAGGTTAGACAGCAAGAGGCAATCAATATCATTTCCTGGCATTTCTCAAATTATCGTCAATAATTTGAAATTATTTCATTGGGAAGAGCTATGTTTAATTTAATAACTTTTTTTAGAAAGCAAGATATTAAGAAAAATGGTATAAAACATATAAAATTAATTTAAATTGTTGTTACATGTTTCCTTTTTCATCGACATAAAAATTCAAATGATTTAAGAAAAATTAAAATAAGAAAATGAAATTTCTGCATTTTAAAACTGTTTTTACTTAACATCTTCAGAATAAGTCTTACTCTGACCTATTTTTAAACGATCCACTAACATTCTTCATCTCAAATCTTGAAATTTTCCTCCTCACGTGTGCATTTTTTTCCCATGCCCTACTTTCCAATTAACGCGTGCGAATATAATAAGAGTTTTTCATGTGGGCAGGAACGAGAGTGCAGCTGCTGAGTCGGCGTCCCGAGGACACTTCGGGCCAGGGTTTCAAGGACTGGAGTTTCATGTCGGTGCACACTTGGGGCGAGAATCCTGCGGGAGAGTGGACCGTGCACATTGTCGACACGGTGAGCAAACACCGAGCTCAACAAGTTGCGAATTAAAAAACTTTTCCTCCAGTGCGTGCGCGACTATGTTTGCGTTGCTCTGTTTTTCCTTCTTTTTCATTTCAGTGTGTTTGCAGGACGAGGCGAAAAATCGGGCCGTCGTGAGCAAATGCGAGTTGCTGCTGCACGGCACTCAAGAGCGGCCGCGGCACATGCGAGAAGCGCCTACTGAGCAAACTGAAGAGAACGAGGCTGGAGACGGAACACCCGCTAAAGAGCAGCGAGCAAACAGGCAAGTAGTTCACAAACCGTGCAAATAGGAAAAGGCTTTCCTTACATAAATGTAATCTTCAATATCAGGATTAATTTTTTCCGAGAAGGATAAGGAAAGGATAATTTGCATGATTTGAACAATTATTTCTATGTAATTACAAAATTATATGATGCCAAGTTCACTTAAAAATATAATTAACAACACCTGAATAACACAAAAAGCAAATTCAAGGTAAGGTTTTCATAAACCATGTCACATATTGATTTTTCAAGCTTTAATTATTTTAGATATAATTAAACTTTATGTAATTATGCAATAATTATTAATATAATTATAAATATTTTTTTGGCAATAAATGTTTATTCATAAATAGGATTATTTATTTCCTACACATTTCTGATAGATGCAACGTTTCTGGAATTAGTTTAGGATTCCTAAATAAGGAAAAAAGAATAGAAAATAAACTACGGGATTCATTAATAATTTTCATTCAGTATACTTAATTGTTTTCTTTAGCAAACCTGATTGAATTTTTTTTTTTACTTACTAATAGCTACATTTTACTTTCAGGCAATGGTTTAATTATTGGAATGACTGGTCGTGGTATTCCCTTAGACAATACTTAAGCAACAACTAATCATCGCTCACATTTTCTGATCTCTGTTTATGCATGAATTAATTTATGATTACTACACATATTATCAATATATGAATAAATAATGAAGTTCTTTAATGCCAATAAATTTCTATTGGCTGTGGGTGTATAATTATGATTGGACGCATTTGAAAATCACAAGATGGGGAGTAATTTAAACTGTATTTCTCAGGTGAGAAAGATAAATAAATAACTTGCAAAAAAGCAAACGTTTTTTTGTTTTCTTCTTTTGATGGAATTTACATGTCGTGACGGCGTTTCTGCTGATTTCAATTTACATTAATTTTGAAACTTTTCCCACTTTGAAAAAATCTGCTTCTCAGAAAAGATAGGTGCCAACAAGCGACGAGAAAGTGAAGTGAAAATCGTGTTACAAAAAGATGTATGGAGCGCATTTCCTCGCTGAATTATTCATGCACTACTTTCGCTGTTCTGCAAAGCTCAGATAACAACGTAAATTTTTCTAGAAAAAGGCAAAACTTTCATCCTGTAATTTAAATTTTTTATCTTCTTCTCGTATGTTGTATTTCCATTAATCTACTTTACGTCTGAAGATAATTCCGTTGCATTTCTTCCTCTAACCTATTAGCGAAGGACGGCCATGTGTTTTTGCGCGACTGTCCATCAGCATCGTTGCTTTATTTGACTCGTAAAAAGTTTTCGTGGCGTCTGGTGGCAGTGGCAACAGAGTAGACATTTTTCATGTGTCTACACTGACAAAGTGAAAAAGAGACTTTGAGCCCCCATGTGATGATGGATAGAGACGCGACTCAATGGAAAATTGGTTCAATCTTCCGAAGAGACTTTTTCTGCTAGATAAAATCTAAAAAAAAAAAATTCATTATTATTTATGCTTCTCTTACTTACAATTAGTTAGTCAAATATACAATAAAAAAGATTTGAATTTGAAATAAAGGGAGAAGAAAATGTACCATTTTGGAAAATATGTGCTAGAACGTAAATGACATCAAAAGGACCCAAAAAAATTAAATCCAATGCCAATTTTTATTTTTTTTATTTTTTATTCATCAGCAAAACACAATACTATTCTGAAATTATTGTACAATAATGGGATTTTTTTATTTTAAATTTAGAAAATTATAATTCTTTCCCACTTTTGACAGTAACAATAGTCTGTAAAATTTAGAGACAAGACATTGATTTATTTTTTATTGTTGAAAAAAGATTTAAAATTGAAATTTTAAGTTATTAAAAGTTCATAATTTGTTGTAATGACGTTTTGAATATTAATCTACGACTTACTGCCACAATAATTTAAGCCTAAAAATCATAAATTTGATTCTCCAATGAAAACCCCTTTACTTTTGGTATCTTATTGTTCGAGCGCATGAAAAAACATTAGAGAAAACGTCCCCAGCAGTATCTTGAATGTGAATCCCTCCACTCCAAGTTTTTCCACCGAAAAAAGTTAAAACGAAGATAAATGAATTTTCGCATCAAGGTTCTTCCGTAAGCGGCAGGAAGCGCGAACAAAACTCGTTTCAATTAAGCCGAAGAGAATAAGACCGGGCTAGAGAGTAAGAAGAAGCCCAAATTTCGTGCCTTTTTTTATTTTCCGGCCGGGAAGAAAGAAAGCACTTAATTAGCATAATGAAGACAAAGCCGCGGTTTTTGTGTTGTTGTTGTTTTGTTCGCCGGTGGAACGCGCGTTGCATTTTATATACGTGTGGGGGTCGCGCGGGCGGGCGCGCGTGCGTTTCGAGGGGGTGGGCGCTCACCGTATCGACCACCCTCACTCTTCAACCTGCGTGTTCTCCAGCCCTTCTTCAGCCGAGTCAGCGTGATCACTCGAGCCGGCGCTCTTGCTGCGAGAGCACGCGGTCCTTCGTCAACCCGCCGTCCACCGACGACCCTCGACTCGCCGCCGCCGACACAAAACCAAACCACCTGCCGACATTAAAGAGAAAAAACAACTTGCCAATTCAGCATGTAAGTACTTCTTGATTTTTGTTTCCAAAATTTCTTAATCCTTGGTAAATTTCTTATTCTTGAAATTGACGATTGCTGATAGGTTGCAAGATTTGATACGAAATGGGCATTAATTAAACATGATTTCAAAAATTTTAATGAGATTTTCTGATAAAAGAACAATTTATTGAGAAACTTATTTTAAGTTCAAAGTGAAATTGAATAAGGAATTCTGAAATAGAGCAAATGCAATATGCTTTGAAATAAAATTTAAATGCAAATATCTGTAAATCTGATTTCTGTCAATACTTACGCGTGTTTTAAATTAATCTAATTTAATTTAATATTTCAATAAATGAGAATGTCATGAAATATTCATCTATAATAAATGAAAACGAACAAAGACATTCTCAAAACGAAAAAGGATAATTGAAAAGACGTAAGGAAAATAATTTTTTTTTCAATTCAGATCATTGCTTTTTAATAATTTATAGTGTGTATGTTGAATTGATGAAATATAAATTGTATAATTAAGTTATGTAAATTAATATAGTTTATTTGTGTATTTTAAACATCTGCAAGTTATTACATTTATATATGTAAATGAACAAATTATTAAATCAATATAAAAGTATGAATAATGAATTTTAATAAACTGGTAAGGATTAAAAATTTATGGGATTAAATTCACTTTTATATAGAGCTGAAAAAATAAAAATTTGTAAATTTAAAATATTTTGAGCATGTACAATTTGAAGTAATTTCTTGTGTGGAAAATGGAAGCTCTATCATAATATGGCGCATCTGTGTAGTATTAGTATTTATTTTATTTACAATAAATTTTAATATTATTGATATATAATAATCGAAATGAAGAGAAGAAAAACGGGCTTTGAAAACAACGAGGATAAAGCCCATTTTTCTTCACTTCTCTTCGAGTTCCAATATAATCACTTGTGTAGCAATAATTTTAGTTTACTTTTCATTAAAATGAATAAAGTGAAGAAGAATTTTTTTTGTTTAATTATGCCAGATTCCAACCTAACCCTTTCATATCACCATTGAATGCAAAGCAAGGAAATGAAAACTTTTGTTGTCCCGAAGGTAAAATTGATTTAATTTTAAACTTCATAAATCGCATCTCGCTGCCACGAGCAGACTCACTTTCGCGAAAATCCGATTCGGAAGAGCAAATGAAGTTACTCTTGCCGCTAGCAGATGTGAGCTCGCTTCAGGCCTTTTTCCGTCTTAACAAGTCAGAGCTATGCAAATTCGACTGAGAAGTTCCCGCCACCGGCGTCGCTTTATTCTATTCAAATAATATGTGCATTCACTCGCGCTCAAGGCTTATTACAAAATCGCTGGAATTCCTGCCGGGCGCGAATTAATTAGAGCGCTGATAACAGCGGGAGATTTACGAGCGCACTCGAGATGAAAATATTTGTCCTCGCGGTGGGTGCATTGGCGAATTCCGGCCATTCCACATCTGCTCCGTTTATTTGTTTCTCAAGACGGTGCGTGTCTTCTGGCTAAATGTGAGGATCAAAGGGGACAAAAAAAAAGACTTCGTTTTTACAACCAAATTCTTGCCAGCTCCAATTCAATAAAGGAATCCCATGTTTTCGTCTTATAAAAAAAAATCCGACTTATTGTGATATTCAAATAGTTTACATTATTCGTGATAATTATCAAAAAATATTTGATACTGTTTTTCTTTTAGCTTCAAATGTCTAGCGGTGAAATGGAATTGATTCCAGTATTGAACCAAATTATAAAAGTAAATATTGGAATACATACCAAAAATATACAATTATCATCCTGATTCACACCAGACTAGTTTTAAATTATGTTTTAATTAACTGATTTGCAATAAATCCTACTGTTTTTAGAACTGGCTTAAACAAGAAGAAAATATCTGACAAAATTTAAGTTTACTAAAATTAATTAGGAATTTTTTCCAGAAAATTTAGTGCTTTTTTAATTTTATTACGGTTAGTGTCTTTTGGCTAAATTGAAGGATCAAACGGGTCTTTGTTAAAAAATCCTACGTTTCCTTACCAAGAGAAATTCTTTACTGCTCCATTTCAAAAAGGAAACCGATATTTTTCTTGTTATTAAAAAAGTTTAGTTAAGGAATGCAATCGAAAGCAAATCAATTCGGTGCAAACTTTCTGCTTTTACTTTAGTGTAGAAAGTTGTCAGGCGCCACTTGTTATGGGACTTCCATTGCGTGGAGACACAAAGGCGGCACAAGTGGTTGTTTTTTGGGGGGGTTTTTTTGTATGGTCGAAAATGTTTTTGTCTTGGCTGACTGAGCGAGCTTTGAACGTGTGCATATATTACAAATGCAAACGTGGTCACGAGCCAGCCGTGGCGAAACAGCAACAAGCTGATTTTTATCGACGTTCAAAAGACCATTAGCATGGCGGGTCGACCGACGGAAAACTGGCTCGTTTTGCAGCCGCGAATGCGCTCTTTATACGCCGGCGAAACGTGTGGACGGAAACTTTCATTGTTCGCTCAAGTAGCCGCTTTCTGAATGTTAAATAGGATAGGAGGCTCGGGGAAAAGGTAATGGTCGACGTAATGGTGAAGTGACGTGTTTGGCCAATAGACTAGAAAAGCCCCTATAATTTGTTTGAAAAGAGATGGCATTGTGCGTCGAATCTTCGGAAAATGGGTCCGTTCATAATAATATATGAGAATGTTCAATGTAAAATATATGAAATTTTGCAGTTTGAGAAAAAAATTGGCAGCAATAAAATCAAATTAACAATAACTATTTAATATTTTTTATAGTTTTGCTTTTAATTTATTTTACTTCAAGATTAAAATTGGTTGGTTAAGTTTAAAATTTGAATTAAATAGTTAGAGTATATTTTGTTGAAAACTGTAATTTTTTGTTAGTTCTAATTAATCAGTTACAATAAGTCACAAGTCTTTTGTTACCTTTTTTAAACGACTTTTGTTTTATCCTTAAAATAAAAGAGTGCAACAAGTTGTCACCTAGCATAAACTCAGAAAATAAATTTTACCAGAAAATCAAAATGAACTAGATATTGATGGTTTAATATGCTAAATTTTAAAATCATTTAATTATAAAAGTTTGTTTCATATCAAAAAATTCTGCAATCCTTCAATTAATCGCATTAATTCAAAACACCAGATGAATCTTGCTAACTTAATACATTAATCTCGTATTACGTTGATTAGAAGTTAACTGCGGTGTAAGAGTGATTTGAAACAAATGATTGTTTTTGAATTTCATCAATATTTTATATTACAAATATGCAGTTGCAAATTAATCCCAAAAATCAAACAAGGGTATATTTTTCCGTAAAATAAGAGACTGAGTTCAAATGAGCTAATTTGCAACAAAATACGCAAATGAGTTTATAGAAGCCACACCACACTTTCTTCCTCGCCAAAGAACTTCATGAAAATTTTAAAATGTGACGGAGTAGCTCGAGAGTGATGTTTCCCAACAAGAATTTCTCAAATTTCCTCTCGGCTCCTCTAAAATTATTCGGGCCCCTCCCAAACCAACAACTTGGAAGTACATGCGGTGTACGTAAGTAGCGGCGTGTCTATATTTACACTTTATTTATTATGCAATTACCCGTTCTGACCGACGGTCGGGGTCGCAGGCATAAATTTGAATCAGAAAGCACGGAGGCCAATTCATTTTCCGCAAGGTAAATTACGCGCCCCCAACCGTCCGGAGGGCCAGGCGAAAAAAATCAAAATGAGCCACTGCTGCTCTTTCGGCTTTTTCATGCATATTTTATCGCGTGCGCCTGTTTTGCTCAGTGACGTCAGTGCGCTGCGATCTCTCATCTTTGTTGCGCTCCACAGTTAGCTAGGCCGACGAATCAATGCACTCTCCGACACTCGACTGCACAGCCAGGCTATTTTCAGCACTAAAAATCTCGACTGCCAAAGGACCTACCCACTCATTCACAAATTCTCTTTGTGTGTGTTCTCATTTGGGCAAGCTTAAAAGGTGCAGGAAAAGGTGACCAATTTGCTTTGATATATTATTCAGACGTTGCCAGTTTTTGAATGGGAGTCTGCTGGTACCAGAGAGGACAAAATTAGCCCAGGCTTGCTTCAGTTTGAAAATAAATTTGATAATTTATTATATTCAATAAATTTTGAAACGCACTATTTTTTCCCACACTGGTGCAATAAACCAATCATACATATTTTTGTAAAAAAAGTCTCAAAATTTAGTTAGAAAAACAAAAAATAGGGTAAGAAAGTGTTTATATCGAGAAATATTTTTCAAATTCAAAGGGATATTTTTTTTAAAACATGGATTTTCAAAGAAAATATTATTTCTTATTTTGATTCAAATTTAGTATGCATTGCGACGCTCCCCATTTACATCATGGTACAGAAAATCACAGTGGAAAAACAAAAAATATCAATTTACAATAATTCCAAAAATTATAAATAACATTCTATAAATTTTAGATTTAATCTGAATTTTTATGTAATAAAATTTATGGAAAAAAAATCTTGCATCCTACAATAATAGAGATACTTACTGAATCAAATAATGCGTCGAATTAATATTTTAACCACAAGCAAATTTTCAATTATGGAAAATTTCCTGTCCACATTCGAGGAATAAACCATTTGATCGGCTTTTCGCCCATAGAGCAGAGAGCAAAATAATTCAGCAGTGGTCTGGCTGGGTGGTTGTTTGGTGGAAAAGCGCTCGGGGGAATTCAAATATGGGTATTGTTTTGGTGTTTTGTTTGCTGCTGAAAGCAGCAACAATGCACAAGGGCTAGGCAGGCAATACGCCAAGCACTCGGGTCGTGCGGGCTGCCTAATCAGCAAAAACGAAGGCGAACTAGACGATTACTTGCAAACCAGTCCGGCGGTTTGCCGATGTGCAAACTCGAGAAGTTCGCCGCGGTTGAGGGCATGCACGTAGCGCTCTTGAAATGAGAGACGCATAGGAGCGTTATAAGGATGATGGATAGAGGAGATTATCTTTAAACAAGCTAAAATCCATGAGCACTCTCGGCGCGTTTATTCACAAGTAAAAGTTTCAATTTTGAGCGTCTCAGGTTTAATTAAACTTTGGATATTTGTGCAGCTTTAAGAGAAAATTACATTATTAGTCTTTCAAAAATTAATTAAAGACCTTGTGAGTAAGTCTGTTTTTTTAGATAACTTATATGCTCAAATTTTTATTCATGAAATATTTATAGAAAAATTGATTTTTATATAAAATTTTTTAAATAAGTCTTGTCAGTGAGTATTTTTATTTAAAATTTTGCGAAAGTTTAAATTTAGGCAAAATTAACAGTAAATTTTCTCTAAAATGTAAAAATGATTTGTTTTAAAATTGTGATTTGCAATTGTCAAACAGAAACAATCATTATCACAATAAAAATTAAATTTCTGAATGAAAAAAATACACAAAAAAGTTTCATTAGTCCGATTTTTGTTGAAATAAAAAAAAATCTACAAATATCTTTTTCATGAGTTAGTCAGAAACTTCATTTTATGTAAGTATGTACATATTATTTTTAGAATGAATTACAAAATAACAATAATATTGAAAAGTAATATTCAAAATTTAATTATAAAACGAAGCCTGAATTTGCTAAAATCCACCAGTTTAGAACTATTTGAAGGCAAATTTTACAAAATTTTAAATAATTATAGAAAATATGAACCATAATTATATTTTCCGCGAATTGTGTAATGTGAATTATTTTCCCCGCCATGCGATTGTGCTCCTGTGAATCGATCGGGCGTGGAGGGAATGCAGGGTGGGGGCGAAAGAAAGACCCGCAGCACAACTTCATTAATGGTTCATATTCATTATTATTATTTGTCGGCTGCACAGGTGCGGCGGTTTTAACGACACCCTGGTCGCGAATAAAAGCAGCCCGGCCGCACCAAACTCCTTCTTTTTGTCGCTGTTTGTTTTGTTGGTGGTGTCACAGCCAGCGAGCATTTTATTTATCGCGCCGCACGGAAAAAAGCAGCTGAGGGCTTTTATCCCTCGATCGCGTTTATCGCTTTTGTCTCCCTTTGTTGGCCTGATTTCGGCGCAAAACTCAACTCGAATTTTAAGGTTGGGCTGCTTTTCTGTTTGAATTAACAGCAACGCGGAAATTAATATCGCGTTTGAGGACAACGTTAATTATAATACCCAATTTATGATAAAACAAAAGATTGATTTCAAAAATCAGCTTTTTTCCCTCCATTTTCAGTTTACCATATTTATATTATAGAGTTTCCTAGAAAAATCGCTTAGGTTTCCACTTTTTGAGGGGAAAAAATGTAACTTTTTTGTGCACTTGTACAGGTTTTTTTTCTTTTTATCACAGCGACGCTCAACTTAAATCTAACAGAAAAACACTTCTGGTGTGAGCAAACAAACGCACACAATGCAAGCGTTTAACAAAAAATGTGTTTAAAGCGGCATGAGTTGATTGTCGCGCTCGCGAATGAAATCACCTCTCCGCGCGCAGCAGAGGGAAAAAATCGTCACCGGCGCCGCGAGCTGGCAAGCAGAGTATTCCCCGAGGCGCAAAAAGCGAGTTGGGTTGTTTTCGAGCTTTGAAATAAATTGTTTAGCGTTCCCTCAGTGGAGAATCGGGGTAATACGAGGGGGAAAGAATGGATTTGGGCGATTTGTGGAAATGTTGGAAAATGCAGGCAACAAAACTGAAAATCAAATTAAAATGTCAAATTGTGACGAGATTTCACGTGTGCAGACAGGTTCGTAATTTTGGGCCTCTCTGTGTTGGAGCATTTATCATTTTCTATTTCCAACTTGGCGAAATTATACACAACCGCAGCACCAGGGCTGAAATTAATGCGAATGCGAGGAGCCGCGAGAGCATATGCACATGCCATTATTATGCTCAACTTTTACGACACGTGTCCTGGGGCCCGGCCCGGTTCGAAATGAAACAGAGGCAGCATTAGAAATTCCATCAGAGTGAGAGAAGCAGCACAGAGCACAGATGCATTGTTGAGGACGCAAATGTTGCGCCAGCCCGTTGCCAGTTAATGTTGCATGGCTTGCAACTTGCGAACCTTGAGCTAATTATTCGCATATAATTTGATATAATATATTAATTTTGCATAAAAGGCCGTTTTCAAGATACAAAATACGGTTAAAGATAAAAGTTTTTTTTAAAACTATTCTTCTGCACAATTATTATTAACAATAAAAATAACTTTAATGCAAAGCGGTTAAAAGTTGCAACATAGAGAAATCAATTATCAAACGCCTACTAAAATTAGGTTTTAATTACAAAATAATTTATAGACCTCAAAATCAGATCAATGATTGATCAAAACCAGAAAACCAATTAAAATAACTTTAATAATAACCAAATAACGGAGACGGACGTTAGATTCGAAATTTTGACCATGCACGAAATGGACAGTTTGCCCATGGGCAAGCGCTCGAACGTTCAGGGGTGAGAAGTGAGAAAATGCCTACCTTGAACTGCTATGGCCGCTCTTCCTGCTGTCCCGAAGAAGCGAAGAAATGGTTTTCCTTCACTTTCACGTTGAATTGACACGTGTTTAACTTGTGAATTAATAGATAGAGGTCCCGCGAAGTCATTTTCTGTCAAAATTTACCACCAAAAACTTGTAAAGTGTTATTTTCCTTGCTTCGCTGCACACGCCAAACACACAACACTGATGAATTTCTTTGTTTACGTCTAACCCCTCTAATCATCTAAACATGATTGATGACTTTGGCTAATTCCACGCAGATTGGCCGACCTCCTGAACTGGGCAATTTTTAAATATTAATTGCGGGAAGTCATTGTAATAACCTCGGAGCAAATCACATCTTCATCTACGTACGAAAGGGTCGTTTATTTTGTTTATTTCATTTGTAGTCGCAACATCCAGCAATTTTGGAAAAATTTTATTTACCATGAAATTAAATCAACCAAGAATATTAAATAATAATAATTAATAATAAAATTTAAAAAAAATTATTATGAAAAAGCGCATAAATTTTGTACCAATTAAGTGATATATTTAATTACCTTATTTTTATATAAATATCAGATTTAAAAAAATTAAAACATAAGCTATATTGTAAATTATTAATCTTGATTAATAGAATAAAAACATCCACATCTTCCCAATTATGCTAACACTCTAGGCAGATTTCATGTAAACAGCAGGTTAGGGGGTCGGCCAATCAGTTGCGTGGAATTAGCCAAAGTCATCAATCATTCTAAATGATTTGAGGTAAACAAAGAAATTCAACAGTGTTGTTTGTTCGGCTGTTCGTTATTGTGTGTGGCGAAGAAAGGAAAGTCGCATTTTACAAATGTTTGGTAGTGAATTTTGACAGAAAATGTCATCGTGGGGTTGTGGGGACCTCTTTCTATTAATTCGACGAGAAAGTGAAGGAAAACCAGTGCTTCGCTTCTTCGGGACTTCAGGAAGAGCGGCCAGCTGCACGTACAAGGTAGGCATTTTCTCACTTCTCACTCCTGAACGTCTGAGCTGAGCGCTTGGCCTTGGGCAAAACTGTCCATCATGTTCATAATAATCTAGATATTCCTGTTTATTTTATTTTTACCCTCATAAAAAGCAGTAAAAGAGATGATCATTTTACTAGTATTTGCTTTCCTTCTTTTTGCATGAATGCTAGGAACGTGCTTGTTATCTGTGCTCGTCATCAGTTCCGAATCCCTTCCGAACAAAAGAGTTCTATTTTCGCACACGGCGGCTCACCCATCTCGCTCTCTCATGTAATTATTCAGGCATCGAAGCCCGTGCAAAAGTCCAAAGTACACTCGCTTTTGAGGGAAAAAGGATTGCGCACAATTGGATTGCCCAGCTGTAGAGGCAGTCGAGAGCTCATTTTCATCAGGAGCCAGCTCGTTAGTCGGCACTTGAAAGAGGCAGGCGCTCGGAAAAAAGAATAAAAGAAACTCTTCACGAACGAATGCTAAATTTCGATACCGCGATGTAATTTGCATAGAAAGTTGAAGCAGGTCAAGTGGGGGGGGGGGGGGGGGATCAAGTAACAAAAATTGATATTCAAATTATCACAAGTAAAAAAAGGAAGCATAACTGAAGAGTGATGAATTTTAAAGAAGTAATTATATAATAATTATGTGATTTTATTTGAAATGCATTTGAGTCAAACTTAAACCTTACTTAAATTTTAATATATTGATTTGAATTATTTATATAAAAAAAATTAAAATTTAGAAGGACAAAATAATAGAAAATAATCAGGTGAAAAAATTAAGCTAACGTTGCACAAGGCACGACAGCGATTGATATAAAACTTAAAATTTCATTACAAAGAAATAAAATTATGAAAAGCTGACATTACTGACCCCAAAAGGCGATCTGCGATCTGATGCTACTTAAAAAACTTAGGGTTCTGTCGGTGAAGATTAGATAATTTTTTAGTTTCTATTTTTATAATAATCCTGCACTATCCCTGTAAAGTTAGTTACAAAATAGAGGCAATTAAGCAACAACTTAACTTTTCTTGCAAAGTCTTCATTTGGTTCACAGATTCACGCCAACTTTGCACACGTTGACGGATTTAGCACATACAGATTGTTCTTACTGGAGCGGAAAATTGAAGCGAGGAACTTCAGCTTAGAGTTTGGATTTAATCCTCTCGCGAAAGTCGCTGAGAATTTATGTGACTTGAAAGCCGCATTATATTGTAATGCGCCGGCCTCCTTGACCCCATTCCACCAAGCTGCCTGAGGACAAGTTCTTTTTCTCATTCAAATCGTCATCTCGATGATCCAGGTGAGCACCCCTTTTTCTTATCCCATGCAGATCACGCTTGAAAGCGCAATTTTCCGCTTTGAAAAACAACTCCAAAGGATGTTCAAATAAAAATTGAATTATAATAAATTATTTGTAACTCTTATCGCCTTCTCCGTGGTTGCAATTAAACAGCATAATTAAAATATTGAGCGTTTTTAATTTGCGGGCTCATTAATGAGACCAATGTAGTCGCGCGGAAATTTTTAAATATAACTAGCAAGAATTAATTGCTTGGTTTGTTTGTTTGCTGGATATGTGGCTGTTGCCCGCAGAGTTTGGAGTTATTGAAAGATTCTCTCTAATTGAAAGCACATATTTATCGAACAAGTACCATTTGCTCCGACTAATGAGGAAAGTTTTACCTGTGGGCTCTTGCTCCTGCAAATGGGAATAATTTTATATTAGTTGCTCGCAGCTTATTATTACGCAACTTTTTGAATACATAATTGGAAAAAATGTCAGCAAATAAGATCTTTTTGAATGTAATTATCATTTTATATTAATTGTCTAATCAATAAGCAAAAAAATTGGAATAGAATGAATTGTTGTTTATATAGAAATAATACTTTTTTTTAGAAATAGAAAAATGCCTTTCCCCAGCATGATTGGTAGTGGAAAGTGAGCAGGGTCTGGTTGTGCGAGTGAACGAAAAGAACAAAAAATACGGTACAAATTTTTATAATGCTTCCTGATTTTTACTTTAAATAAAAAATTAATTTAAATAAAATTTGAATATAGTAAAAAGATTCATTGTGCTATGCTATTTCCAACACTATATTTTTTTAATAATCGGCTTTTATATTTGAAAATAAACTTGGATTCTAATAATCATAGCTCAAAATGCAACATGCTTATTATATTTTACATGAATAAATTCAACAGATCAGGTATTTAACGAGTGGAAAACAACTCTCTGTTGCTCTCTAGTCTCAACTGCTGCCCCACACATTTGAGATTAAAAAATATCGCATTCAATAACAACCAGTGAATAAGTGTGTACGAGCCGAGCCAATAACTCAACATCCCAACTCATTGAGCAAACATATTGCTTGCTGGTACACCACTGACGTCATTCAATAAATGTATCCATTTGCACAAAAATTTACATCGGCCAAACGAAAATCTCCCTCAATATATATTTGAATAAAAATTCAGATATGGCCAAATTACCAGAGTTGAAGATAAAAGTATATTTCTCATTTTGTCCTATTGATGAGGTAGTGAAAGGCTGAAAATTCCGTGTGCTGTTTTGATTAACCTTCCTTTATATACCTTCGCCAGGCAATACACACGCGGCGTTTTTGTTTTATCATTAGAACTCAGCATGACGCAGTTGTGATTCAATATCGCAATTTCCTCCCATAAAGTCATCTCCGGTGAGCACGAACAAGTAGAAGCCTTATAAGCTACGTTTCTACGTAGAGAGAAATAATGTGATTTGGAGAATGATGCTTGTCGAGTCGATTGGTTTTCGGACAACTGGGAAAGTGAAACAAAATAAAAGAAACACAATTTTTAATATTTAAATACTATATTTTGGGATTGAAAAATAGTTTAAGAATAACATCGTTGTCTTAAATTTTAATGCTCAATCCAATATAGCATAAAAATTATTGATTATGATATGACAGAAAACAAGATTCAGTTGGAAGCCACAACGAGATTTAGTCTTGAGGAGACGGAGACATTGACTTGCATTGACTATTTGATTAATAATTTTATTTTCCTTTTCACATATTTCTGTTCTGTTAGAGGAGGAGCCCAACACATTTTTTTATCCATTAAAATAAAAATAATACCATCTTTAGACAATCCTAACAACAGAAAAGTTTTCAATTTTAAATTCTAAATAAAAACATTGCAGTTAAAAAGTTTTGCCGCATCTTATAAGATTTTTGTTTGTTTGGAACTCAAAATCTGTCTCGCACTGCCCCCAGTGACGTCCCGTTTCTCAGAAGCAGGGCCAAAGTCATTGTGCGTGAGTTCTCTTGCCGACGTCGCAGCAGCAGAGCAGAGATAACTTTGACAATAATTCAATTGCCCCGAGATGCTTCTCAATAGCTCGGCTGCGAAATAACTTGCGAGAAGGGAAATTATTGGGCCCAGATGACTCGCGCTCCAGCAGGATTCGTTTTGCATTGATCTTGTCTGCACGGGAAATAAATTTAGCTCCCTCGGCATTTCTCTCTTTCTTCTGCTCCCACTTTAAAAAGCGTAATATAAAATATATTTACCTGTGTGGAAAAAAAAGCAACCACCATCGACAAATCAAGCCAAGTGCTGCCGAAAGCGCAAAGTTTTGTATTCGTTTGTTTTCCCGTGGCCGAAAATAAACAGGAAATATGAACGGAGATGGAAAATTGAGTTCAACACTCGAGTACTGGTGTATCGATTTGGAACTTTTGTGTGTTGGTTGAAACACTCATTTAATTTCAGCGCAAAAATAATTAGTACTGATGAAATTGCTTATAGAGGGAAGATAGAAATAATAATAATAAAACATGCACACACAAACAAAATGATCGCGGTCTTTGCGAAATTGTAATTTCAGGCCAAAATAAATGTCATCGCACATGCTTAAAACAAAATAAATAAACAATTCTGAAAATTTAAACTAAATCAGACCTACTGACAGCTCATTTATATTAAATTTAATCAATACAACCATTACTTTTTATTTATTTTTCACTTTATATAAGTGAATGAGCATAGACGAGCGCTTTTTGGCTTGGCAACAGGCGTTGGAAGAAAACTCGGTGCTACAGAAAACAATCAATGCGCATCTACTTCGACAACCAAAGCGAATTTTCTGGGTCAAACAGTCATCCATCCGAGAGCGAGTGCTTCTTCTCGGGTTGACGCCTCTTTTGTTTGTAAGGCGAGAAACTTGAGCGACGAGGACTTTTTCCCATTGGGCGTCTCCAATAAGTTCTCGGATTAAACTGATTAACGCCAAAGTTGACAAAATTGCATCATTGCAAAAAAGGTTAGCTCTCTTCTTGGACACAAAAGTTTTCTTGCTGCTCGAAAGAAAAATAATGAAAAACGTTTCCATTCGTTCAAATAACAAAGTGCTTGACAATAAGAAATGTTAAAATTAAAATTTATTAGCCTGCATTCTGCAAACATATAAATTATTACATACAGGAATTTTTTAAAGTTATTATGAAATAAAATTGCTGTGGTAATTACTTCTGGATTCTGCTTCAAGGCTGCTTAAATGCAAAATTATCTTCCATGCTCAAGAAGCGCAGAAGTTTAATGAAGACGCAAATTTGTGCTAGCAACGTTTTGAAAAATAAATTTCCAATTGTTTGGCAATACAGATTTTTTCTGAAAACTTTTATTATTTTTCAGTCATTTTAAACTAAATGTACTAAATAAATAGACTGAACATCTAAATATTTGATCAATGTAATTTAAATTTAACGGAGTTTTTCCCCACGACTTTTTTTGGAGAAAGAAAAAAATGTCCCTCTCATTTTGCCCGTTTTGAGCTAATATTTTCATTTAATTAAAAACGGTAGACCGTGCGTGACTCTGAAAGTTTTCCTCCTCCACCGTAGACGTCACAGTTTATGCGATGGTAAGAACATTTCTCCGTAATTTCCTCTCTCTAGCTCACTTACTGTGTGTGTTTTGCTCTTTCGCGGCGAGTTGTCAACACGCGCCGCGTCGGCAGCGAGGTTGGAAGCAAAAAGTGGAGCAGCGATGCCTTTAATTGAAACTGCCAATTACCCCACCGGGTTGCTGCGTATCGAGAAATTGCCTTCAACTATCAATTCCATCGCTCGCCGCCGCCGGAAAATTACGACGCAGGGCCGCACAGTGATGGCCTCATTTGCAGAAAGCCGGGCAAAAAAAAGTGCATGAAGTTTTATTTTATGGCATTCGTGTGCTGATGGAATGGGTTAGCTCGATGGTGTGGCATAAAACGTGAGTTACGAGGCTCGCTTATCCGCCGATGAATATAGTAGATCGCATCCGTAATGTGGTTATCGGACGGCTATTAGATGGCTTTAGAGCCTGAATGACTTCGGAAATTGCGCAAAAAAGTGCACATGCTGGTAATTAAACCTTTGGAATTATGTGTCACCTTGGAAAATTTAAACGAAGAGAAAATATTGTAGATTATTTTTCGAAGCAAGAGAAAAAAAATGGTGGGAATTTTTAAAATATTTGCACATATTATTACAGAATGGGTGATTTTTTTTACAAAATAGATATTTGTTGATGTAAAATTTTAGGGCAGCTTGATATTAAATAGGGAAATAGGTGGGTTTGGCAATAACCTCTATTTCCTTTCCCTAAATTAATCCCTTAAAAAGCTAATTTCATTATTAATTTTGTGCTGTTAAATTTGTCCTAGTATAATTTTTACAACATTTTAGTTCAAAATTAATATAACAATGATTTCAATAAAACATTAGGTTTCATTCTATTTTTAGATATTTTATTTTTAAATCAGAATTATTCACAAATCATTTAAATTCTATGAAAAAATTTGATTGAATTAAATATAAATTTATACATCATAATAGATGGGCCTTCTGCACCTTCCTTGAAATTCAATAGATCCTTCTCTGCAATTACCTCGCAAGGGAGTCGTCTGAAGGGATTCTAAACAAGATTTGCGACGAGGACGGCCAGAGGCGTCAAATATGACTGGACAATCAGATCCACGCGCTAAGTGCACTACTTCGTCATCATTTCTTGTGCCGTAATTGCCGTATTGAGCTGATTAACAAATTTTAATAATCATAACAAGAATTGGGATTGACACTGCACTAAAGATTCAATAAATAAAAAGAAGTTTAAGATTAAAAGAAAGAGAAATATAAAAAGAAGCAAATTTTAATAAAATATAAATGGAGTTGGCTACATAATAAAAGTAAGTTTTAAAATAATATTTTCTATATTTTATTTTACATAATTAGGAATAAAATGATATTCCATGAAAATTTTAAGTGACTTCTGCT